CTGCAGTTCCTTATCCATTTTCAGGGACTGCTGTGCATCTCAAAACTGATACAGCTGGTACCACTATAGACAGCACAGAATGGGAAGACGAAATGCTAACAAGAATGATGAGGTGCTTGGAAGCATTGTGTAAATGTTGAATGAATGTGGTGATAAAGAGTACAGAAAAGTAAAGGGAAAGTGCTGGCAGTGATCAAGCAAACAGTAAACACTGCTGCAAAGAGGAACAGAGTAAACTGTTGGTGGTGTTTAGTGGATGGAAACAAATAGCTGCAATTAGTTATAACAAGGCAGTCTTATGTCAGTGTCCTGGTAGAAAGAAAAACCCAGATAGCTTGGCTGCAGAGAAGCAGCAAATCAACGTCTGCTGGAAGTGACACTGCCTTCAAGCAAAATATGCAGATTATGGGACAATGAGATTCCTTTTTTTGCCCTATTTTGCTATGCAATATGTTATGATTGTTCCTTATTATGAAGAATTCTACTTTCTTTTCGTGTGGATAATGCGGAGCATTAAAGGTAGAAGAAGAAAAGCAGTCAAGATATCAGTGCTCTTGTGGGGAGGGAGAAGATCCAACTAGGCTCCTGTAATATTTTTTATTACTGTACTTCAAGTTTTGGATAGCTTCCTTCCACATTTCATGTAAGAGCCTGCCCCCCTCAGGGTACATCCTTTTCTGAAGGAATATCTGAATAAACTTGAAAATGGCACTACTGGGAAAAGACAGATAATGCATGTGTGATTCCCTGGTGTGATGATTTCCTGAGATGTGATAAATAAGGATAAACAGTTCCCAGTTCTGAATCAAGAAGAGGATGAAAGTAAATCAGTGTATTATTTGAGTGCTTAAGATAAAAGCCTAGCAGTTTACTTCTGGACTTTTTTTAGAAGGGGAAATCAGAATTGGCAATTCCAGCTGAATTAGACAACAGTTTTTATCTACATCATCAGTCCTTGTTTTTTTTCTAAGTCTCACTCATAATTTCTGAGAATTCCTTTTTTCAGTTGCTGGTTTTCTCTGTGCTTTGAGCTTGACCACTTACCTGTCAGCTAAGGATTCTGCCCAAGAGTTAAGCACTGTAACATTTAAATGCCCTTGAAATTCTCGAACACAACCCCACTCCTATTTATGTCATTGCTCCTTTCTTAACACCTTTCTTTTTGACCTTCAGACAAAAAAAAAAAAAAAAAAAAAGTCCATGCATGAAATAGGAAGCAGATTGTAATCTACCTGGTCTGTACACTGAAAACTTCCTGTGCCCAAGAGCCACCAGTCAGTGTTTCTGGTGCACAGAGAAGCAGGAGAGGAGCGCTCGTTTGGAAGGGCTGGAATGCAGGAGATGGCTTTGGTTGTCCTGTGAGCTCAGTGCTTCATTGTGGGACATGACTGGGCTGAGTGCCTGGGCTATTCTGATGCTGTTGGCCTCAGCAGCTTCCCCTGACTCACTTCCTCCCAAAGGCAGGGCTTGGATTACCCAGCAATGCCAGCAGACCCTCGCTGCCAGTCATGTGCTGTGTCTTTGGCATGGAACTTCATTTGAAGTGTGTGTGACCTGTGAGCAGCACAAGGCTAGCCTCTGCTGAAATACAGAGCCTAAAATTATTCTGGCAGTCCTTCTCCAGAAAGAACTGTATGTAGTTCTTCTACAGTATATACTGTATTGATTTCCTAGATGTGGTTGAAAATATCCTATATAGATAACCAAGACTTGTTTAAAAATAGAAATTGTAATAGAAAACATAATTTGATTTGATTTGTATTTGCTTAGAAATGACACCATAAAGTCTTGCTCATAGATTTACATACTTGAAAGATGAACCCTTTAAGATGAACCCCTTAGCCAAGTTCATCAAAACCCTAGACTCTGACTTTTATCTGGAATTTCTCTCTCAGGAAAAAGAAAAACATCACATGATTCTGGTTATCAATAGAATATAGTATTTCTGTACATAATTAATGCAGTATTTTTTTTTCTCTTAAGGATTTTAATACATGTATTTCAAGTACATCATTCAATGTACTTTTGCTAAGTATAAGGTTCTTTTTGTACAGATATTGATTGGCTCAATTATCATGCTTTTTCCAAGCTCATGTCTAAGTTTTAAATCCCTCTGGAATTGACACCAGCTGTCCTTTTGACACTCTTTGTTAGTTTTATTGCAATGGAAGCTTTCTTCTTTCAGCTTTTTGAGAAATTTTGTTTCACAAAGTATACTTAACAACACTGTTGAACTTTCTTCCTGATTTTGGAGAACCAGATAATATGAGAGCACAAAGCTTGTTTTTGAAATCAGAATCAATTGCTTCTGTAGATTCAAGACTTAATGGTCACAAAACAAGCTTGTCACACCTGAGATGACTGATTTAGATTTGCTTTTAGTTTCCAGAGCTTGAGTGGCTGCTTGTGCATGATTACATAATAAAGGATGTGTGGATGTGATATATTGTAACAATGATCACAAGCTAGAAAAAGTGATCTTCAGTTAATGCTTGTAATTTTCACAGTTTTTGTAGTATTCCAGACACAGAGCTGGGAGATTTTTTCCCAAACACTGGAAAAGAAGGAAGATACCTTGGTTGATAACTATCTGCTTTACTCCTGAATGCAAATTTGGAATCTTTCCAGAAGGATGAAGTTAGTTCTATGCAAAATCTCTCTTAGCTAATGCCCTTCATCTTGGGAGCCACTGCCTGCCACAGTTCTTCCTTGTCAAGGCAAGAACTGAAGGGATGATGAAAGCTAAGCAAAGCACAAGCACTGTGTTGCAGTGATGCCATCCATGGTGACCCTCAACAATCTTCTGGCCATTTGTTTGGTTGGGATGGAGAAGGAATTTATTACTTTGATGGTATTTTTAGCTGTCACAGAAGGTGCACAAAGACACTTTGGGAGAAACTGGTTTCCCCCAGAGCTTTCAAGTACAAATACATAGGACGCATAATTGTTAGGAAAAAAGGTTTGACAGGTATTTTTTATACAAAAATTAAGTGATCTGTTTCAGACATGCAAAGTCCATGAAAACTTATAACTAAGAAAAGATTTTCTCCCACATTAGCAGAGGACCATCTCCTTCTGCCTGCCAGCTGGCACTGGTAGTGATGCCAGGGATCCCTTCTGGTTTTAGAGAGGGCACAGCAGCATGCAGGAGAGGAATGTTTGTCTCATTAAATTTTGACAGAATTAATATAGCTGATGCATTAATAATCATTAACCAGCAACCTGATATGTCTCCAAAACCTGCTTTATAGTGCCAGGATAGGATAATAGGAACTGGGAGGGCAAAAAAATGGGAAAATCAAGAAGTGATTAATGTATCTGCCTTCTTGACCATTCAGTCATACTTTTGGTGTACAGAATATTTAATAGATATGTTTTCTTACAATAACATCCACATTACAGGGTGTAGGAGTATCTTTTAGGAATTACAATAAACTGTCCATTATGATAGAACATTTTTTATCAAAGAATCCTCCTAGTGGCTGTTTTATCAGCTCACTGTTTTCCTAAGACAACCTGTAACTATTTAAAAGTCATTTATCCAAATCCCCGCTTTAAAACAGAAAAAAAAATAAAGACCAAAGGGCAGAAAGGTGTCAAAATTTAAGTGCACTTTAAGTGCAAACCATGAAGAAGACAGTAGGTCTTCATAAGTTAAAAGCGGTATTAATACCAGTTAAACAAGAGGTTTGCTTCTTGGTGTCCTAAACAATGAGGATGGGTTGCTGACAATGATGACAATGACCTGAATTTTCTTGCTCAGCCTTAGCAGAGAAAGGTTCAGATGAAACTCCTAAATATAAATGTCAGACAGCTTTGAGAACATTTTCTAGACTCCCTGAATGGGACAGTGCATTGCCAGATAACTATCTTGTTCTCAAAGGGAGTAGGATTACATACTAGGCAATCACTCTCCTTAGGCTGGTTCCTTGTCCAGGCATGGAGTAGAGCATTGTGTTAGTGCAGCTCAGTAAAGGATTCACAATATGCAAGCACAGAGTCACACTCTGTGTATTGTCTCTCTAATACTGACAGAGAATTAGTAGAATTCTGTGAGAAAACTAGTTAGATGGAGCTATTGTGAATCCAAACAGAAGGCAGATAGATGGAAAGGCACAGTTCTGTAACTGCTTTGTGCTGGATTCTCAGAAAGGGATTAGCCATACAGGAATCAAATAGAAGTGAAATAATGTTATTTTGTGAATGAATATTATTCCCAACTGGTAACACATACGGATAGCAGCCTGGGGGGAAGAGAAGAACTTACAGGTTTAATTAGTTTTATGCTTGTGCCTCCATGAATGGAAGAAAATCTTTCTTGTCTATATACTGTCTGTCCATGTTCTACACTTGTGGTGTCAAAGTATTTGTTTCTGTATTTAAGACTACTGAAATAATTTACTAATTAGAGTCCTTTGTTCCTCACACTAAGTTGAATCACAAAGGATGTCACCAGCTGCCATAATGGGTGTTACCTGCATTTGTGTTTTCCAAGTAAACCAGGGGCGTTTTATGGTAAATCTTATTTAAGTTCATTCCTGCATGGATGGCAAGAGTTCCCTGCAGCATGCATTACTCAGGTCGTTATATTGTCCCAAATATGCTCTGTGTGCTCCAGGACACACCCCCTGTTCAGCAGGCTTCATGGAATGCAACTGTGAATGGCGCAGCTTCAGCTGCATATTGGGTTTCCAGTATCCAAGTATGCTTTTTATATCATACAGAACTCCATCTCCTTCAAAATATTTTGGGAACAACCTTGTAAAACTTCCCCCAGCTCTCACAGCACCGACTGTAAGGAGTACTGGAACAGTTTATTCATTATTACAGTAGATAGCTGGGTGCAGCTGTCATCCTACAAAAAGATCACCCTGGTAACACCAATCAACAAGCAGAGTAAGATGATCCAAATATATCTGAAACCTTCTAAATGTTGTCTTTCAACTGAAATACAGACTCACAGCTTCATTGCAAGCTGCCTGATGATGTGAGATATTTGAAATGTGTGAAAAGCCATTGATTTTCAGTTTTATTTACATAGAATCTCAGAAAGGGCCTACATTATAAGGGAGCTGTGAGAAGAAACAAAATTAATAATTAGTTCAGCATTGTTTGGGAAAAGTTATTGGGAAAAGAGAATCTCCATGTGAAATATCAAACACTGAATCCATCCTTCTTTCTTCAGCTTACACTGAACAATGACCAGTACTAAAATTCATACCAGAATTTATTTTAGCAGTAAGAGGAACTTCTGGATAGGAAATCAGCTTACCCTTATAATTGTAAACAGAGCTGATGCTGCAAAGACGTGCTGCTGACAACATAGCTCATCTCTGGAACCACAGAAGTAGCTTTGCACTTGCCTGGTAATCATAGCCACAGAGAGGACAGGACATAAAATGTATTGAACAGGAGTCAGAGCAAAACCACGGCTGATATTCCATGATGTCATCTGGAAGCCAACTCATGGGAGAGAGACAGAGGGAAGGTTTGCTGTAAGAGCACACCTGTGAGACCACTACCTGCAGTACTGGAATTCAGATGACCCATACTACTGTTTGCAATTCCTTCTGATAAAGTCACATACAGATAAGGAACACAACATTAGAAAAGAGAAGAGAACATAGAGAACAATGTTGGGAGGAATTGGTTTTTTTGACACTGTATAGTGGTGACACAACAGTCACGGAGAAAAGGTTGAAACAGAGCATCACCTTTCAGCACATTTTCTGTGACTCAGTTCCTTAAAATCAAAACCAACAAAGACATGTTCAGTGCTATGTGTCAGTGGTTTCCAGTTACAGTCTATTGTATTCAATGCATTGCAGCAATGAATGGGCACACAACTTAGTTATAAAACAACCGTGAATTCATTATTACCATGTATATATTCTCTAAACCAGTGGCTAATTAAATATTTGTCATGTCTTAAAAGAAAAATTATTTTGGATCTATTTTTACTGAATATTTTCATGGACAGACATTGATCTTGTGTTATGCTTCACACGTGTAGCCCTCTAAAACAGGTACTTCTCAAATTTTATTTTCAGAAAAAATCTCCTCTGTCCACAGATTTCACAGGGCTTTGTATCCTGAATCTCATCAAATTCATATGCACATCTAGGTTGTTTTTCAATTTTTGTATGCAACCAAGAAAGCTCCCTGTCATGCTACCTTAGCATGAAATTTGATTGACTCATTGTTCTTTGCTGATTTTCTTAGTATCTGCTTATGATCATACTCCATACTGCAGCAATATATAGATGGTACTACACAGATTAATTCACATTAATAATCTTTCACATAATGTTAAGGAATTAAATTACTGAATAGCTCCATATATGCAGTAAAATCACAATTGAACTCACAATTATTTTTATCAACTCTTTTAATAGTAAAAGAAGTGCTTAAAATTCAACAAGAACTTAATGTTCTGCTCTCATTCTGTTACCTTGGTGAACAGAACAAGTCAGTATTTTAAGGGCCATGACAGTAGTTTTTTGTCCAGCAGAACTGGCTATAAATACATATATATAAAAATATTGCTCCTTCTCTGTATGGAGATATCTCAGTCTCCAGAAATTTTCCAGATAATTTAATACAGTGTGACCTAATTTCAATAATCCTGTAGAATTTCTGATTTTTTTCTCCAATTTTTATTCATTCAATTTCTAATTTTGGCAGAGTACACTCTTGCTATATTAGTAGTGCCAAGAATTTGTAGAAAATTGAGTGGTGACATTAAAAATGAATGGATGGGCTGCTTCATATATATAAATATATTTTTAAAAGAGCAGTTGGACAAATTCTGCTTGACTCCAGCTCTGCGGTGCTGTCAGTAGCACCACCATAGGGAAGGGTCATTTCAAAAGGGAAGGAGGGATGGAAAACAAGAGACTATGAGCAAATTCTTCCTTCATAACTGAATTGAGATCTTGAGTAATTTCTTGTTATATGGATGCTCCTCTATCCCTGTAAAGCATTGGCAGACACACAGGAATGTTCAAACTACTAAGAACCAGTACTTGGAGAGAATTGCTTGGAGATACATCTTTCCCTGACCATCTACCTTATGAACTGTGGCCAGTTCATGCTGAATATTATCTTTTACCCTGGAGACAATGCATAATGCATCAAGGTGGCATTTATCAGATTGCTTATGTCAAATTGCACAGAAAAGTACCTGAATTACTTCTCATAGAGGAAAGAGAGTCCCACTTTCTGTCAGGCAAGCTTGTTCCTGAATGCAGTGTAAGCCACAGTGTAATCATAGGCAGGTCCCCTAAAGGAGTGTATAGAATCTTCACCATTAAGTATTTTATAAAAGCCAGAGGACCCTTTAGCACATTTAGAACTTCTGGAGTTGCATCTCTGAGTTGCATAAGGCTTAGCTTTTTCCAGCAGATATTCCACCATTGTGGATATAAGACTATACAAGATTATGACTCTATAATGTCAATTTATCACAGTGCTCCCTGCACTGCTACCAAGTACAACCACAAATCATGAAAAACATCTGTAAGTCCCTATAAGCAATTTGTCAGAATACTTTAAAGTACATGTATAATAAATGAAGAACACATGTTTCATAGGAACCAAATGAAACTAGAGCTGCACCGAATGCTTTGCCAGAGACTTGAACAGCTGTGGACATCACCTCTCTCTCCCCTATCAAGCTTTAAAAGGCATTGTTTTCTTTTTAGCCTGACAGGTGATGTTTACAATACCGCTGATCTTCCTAAAAGACAGATTGCCCAAATATCTCTGTAGACCACTTCTACCTCCTTAAATGCTGTCTTTGAATTTTCATTTTAGATATTTGGCACTTTCTGCAAAATTACAAAGGGTCTTCACTGTACCATCCTTGCCAGTTTCTAAAAACACCGTGGTTTAGTTCTGAGAAAATACCACGTTACCTTCTGCATAGCATTTATGTCTGGAAGCTACAGTGAAGAAATGGAAATGTTTGTTCACTGGCTATTCTGTTCAGAGTGTGTGCACAAAAGAACAGCCCCTCACATACATATTTCAGGGTTCTAAAGAGTTTTGTCTGACTTCCCTGAGCTTGATGCCTCAACAAGACAGCTTTTGAGTTCTTCTGTCTAAACACACTATAAGATGGCAGTTCCAATGTCTCTTTGCTATTATGTTTTGCATCTCATATTAAGGTGACAGTTTCATTTTTATTCAGAATGATGATTTCTTTACCTGAGAAAAACTTAGCAATCCACCCTTCCACCCAATAATATCAATTGAATACTGCCACTTCCATGTAAAACCAGGGCACACAGTTTCATTATCTCTCTGGTCTTCCTAATCTACTAATTTTTGCTTTCATTCTCAGATACAAGCTTCCTGCCTCTCTCATTAGTGTTTCAGATCTATTTACAATAATACCAATAATCATCATATCATCATCATTGCGAGTGGAAGATGTTTTCTCTTATTAAATCTCTAGATATTAACTCCCATAATTTTCAGGGTCTGCAGTGATTTCCTAAATCTGAGGAAGGTGCAAAAATATTTTTACTTGACAATCATATTATAAAATACATTGATACTAAATTTTGAGCAATCTTTCAAAATGCTGAATGGTGATATATTCAAGAAAGGTGAATGAATTTGAAGCATTCTATTACATAAGTCAATCTAGCATTCACTATAACAGATAATAGATTTATAGTTTTACTTTGTTTATCTGCTTGAAAAAGTAGCAGGAATGTAAAACACTTTTTTTCTGCCCAGAACATATGCAATCATCATTATGTATTTAAAAAAATACCTGATGATTATAAAATAGTTTAAATAGCCCCAAGTGTCCCTGAAGAGCTACTGTGTGCTGTGTAAAAGCTGAATAATCCTCCCCATGTCAGAAGGTGACTCTTCAGCTGTTCAGGATCATGAGCTGATGTACTACCACTCGTAAAAAAAATATTCAAAACACAAGAACATACAGTTAGGTAAAGATCACTGTGATGGTCTTGGAATTAATCTGCAAGAACTGACAACACTGAAGCCAATCTATCAAGAACGAGTAAAGAAACCTTAGCTTTTACTTAAAACCAAAACACACAGAACACAGCAAATTCACACCAAAGTAGGTTCAGTGGAAATATTAATTTTTTACATCCTATTTGGCTCATTTTTCTTTTACAAAGATAGTTTAGAAAAAAGGAATATGTTCAAATACACTTTAAATACATACTGAATGCACTATTTATATAACACCAGAAGTGCAGGTTGTGCAAAAGTACTCCAAACCATTATTGCTCAGTGTTCTGAATAAAATACTTTAACTTATTTATGAAGGCACATTGATAGAAGAACAGGTGTCTCAATCATCTGTGTTTCCTTTAATCAACAAAATAGGGGAATTCGCTTTGGCCCCTGTGCTTAGAAAAATATTACTTTGATTTTCAAAATCTCCTTTTCTGTAATATTTACTCCCAGTATTTACATGGTTGTTTCTTCCCATTCAAGCTCCACATCACCTGCAGAAGAAACAGATATATTAAATTAGCCTACCTTGTAAACAAATAGTAACTTATGGCAGATAACTGTTTTTCACTGAATTTAAAAGATCTTGCATGTAAAAACATGGGGAAAACTTTAGCAATGACCATTATTGTCAGGGGGAATAAAGAGCAGCAAAAGGCTAGATGTTTATACTTTTAAAGCAAAAAATGCATGTCAAAGGACTTTTTTGCTCCTTCTCAGTCTGGAAAAGTCATTGCACCTTCTGTGAAAAAATAATTTGGGTTAGGACACAGTTTGTATCTCCTTACCTTCCATGGCATCCAGAGAGTCCATCTTTTGCAGTGCTGAATAATTTACAAAACATAAGGGCTGACTACTTCCCTTGGTTGTCAACAGATCCAATACACATTGATGTAAAAATATATATTGTGCCTGCAAAATGTGGATTTAAAGATGCTTGATTAGAAGAAAAATCTACTGGCAATACTAAAAGGGCTTTATAATTTTCTATAACACCTAGAAAATCTCAAAGTAACTGCAGTTTAACTCAGCAATCTCAGTACTTTGGTGACCATATTGTATATGGCTGATCTGATTTCAATTATTATGAAACATAATGCTTTAAATTTGCCAAAACATATTAATCCTTATGAACAGTAAAATATATGAAATTAGACTGACCATTACTGAGACTAACAGACTACTCCACAATTTTCTGTGGATGTTTTTAATATGAAAAGACATTTTGCCACGAGATGCAGGCTGAAGAAACTGAACCACATGAACGTAATATCTAGATAAGAAAAATTTCCTCTTTCTACCATAGAGAAAACCAGCAGGGTGCACTCAAATGCAGAAGTTCAAGTAAAACTAAACCTATGTGTTCTATGAGATTGCACCAGTGCTAGGAGCAAATCAACCCAGTGTTTTGAGTGATACTTCCCAAGCCTCATTTTTAACATATGACAACACAAAGAGCAGGCAACTAAAGTTAGTTTGATACTTTTAAGGACATAAAGTCTGAAAAGAAGAAAACAAAATAAGGAAATGTAAGAATGAAATAAAGGAATGAAAATAGAAATATAATAAATTGATTAAACATATATTCACATAGGAAGAGTACTGTATATGTAGATGCAGAAAATAAGCCAGGTACATTCAGATTGGAAGAGATGTCTTGAGACCACCTGGTGCAACAACCCACTGCTCAAGCTGGGTCAGCTAAAACATTTTGCCCAGGACCTTGTTGAGATGGATTTGGAATATCTGCACCAAAATCACACTCTTACCCTTGACTTTTGCATGGGTAAAAATATTAGTGTAATTTTTTTGGCTCAATAATTGCTATTTTGTTTCAGAACACCCATCAATTTGCAATTCAAGTATCTCAGATATATGAGAGAAATTTGCTTACATAGATAAGAGTTACTGCCACAGCTCCAGAACTGTGGGTAATTAAAACAGCTTTTCACAGGTCCTCTGAAGCGTGCAGCACCATTACACCTTGCTGTAACTTTCTTAGTGAAATAAATGCATGACATGACTTCAAACTAGCCCTTGTACTTGGCAAGAAGATAAACTTTGAAATGTCTGCTGATCAAGAATGGATTTCTAGAATGAAGGTCTTAAATTTCAGTGGAGTTTAGATTGGTTATTCCAGTTCAGAATGCAGCCTCTGAAAGCTCTGTAATCTCTTGCAGTCGTTTCTAATGATGTAGCAATAAAAATCTTTCTGGGTTTGCCAGGGGAGAGTGAAGCAGGCTACCTGGGCTATTTCTGTCCAACTAGATATTTTCTCAGAAACAATGACAGTCTTAACTATTCTCATCCATTGGTTACAGTAATATATTGTGACTTTGTTAACAAAAGGAATATTATTTTGAAGCTATAAACAAGCAAAATACAGGTCCAAGAGCAATCAGCTTTTATTTATGTTACTCATAGATCTTAAAGATAGTTTGACTGAGAGATTTCTATACTGAGTTCTGGGAAGGAATTGCTCCTCTCTTTTACATCTTATGTGCTGATCACATAAAAGCTGATTAATAGGCAACTCAACAGTGTTTTATAAGAGAATTCTCAAACAGCTTGACTTTTGAATCCACCATAAAACTTTACAAGATTGATTCCCTTTGGGCAAGTTCTGTTGCTGATCTGACTTTTGTAGTCTTGCAAATATGAGCTAGAAATGACCTGGACAGAGAACAGGCTATCTCAGAATTTTGCAGCTAGCATACAGATGGATACTTGATTTGTTAGAAAATCTGAACTCTGACACCATCATCTTGTACTGTATTTGGCCACAACTTTTCCTAGCCCCTGCCAAAACATTCAAGTGAAGAGATACAGAAAAACGATGCATGTTTTAAAAACATAAAATTATATTATTGAATGTCTCACTGTTTCAAGATTTTTTTTGTGAGTGCTCCCATTAAATTGCCCTCCAGCCTTTGATTTATTTCTAGATGATTCTACTTCTAGTCAAAAAAGTAAAACAAGAACCAAAAAGTATTCCCAGAATGCATCATCACAAGAAAGTACTGGCAATTGTTTAGTTGCATCAAAACTTCAAAAGGGAAAATTTAGAGCACATGATATCCAGATTGCACCTTACAAGATACATCATGTCAGAATATCACCAGAACGTCCCATAAAATCTTCTGAAGAAGGACTAACTCCTTTGTGTATTCTGTCTCACTTTTTACATATTCTGATGTGATTTGGAATAGCAGAATTTCATTCCAAATGGAGTAAGTCTCCTTATATTAAAATCAGTTTAAATCCATCAGCCGTGTAGAAGTTCATCCTGAAATTACTCATCCATACTGAGAAGTTGGTAAGTCATGCTGTAGACTCTAAAGCTTCAGGCTGCCCTGGGTTAGATCTGGCCAGCACGAGACTTATGCCAGAAGCCTTATCCAAACAAAGGCTGCTTTCTGTTCCACTGGGCATTTAGTATCAGCTTTAAATTCTAATATTATTTCTTTACATGTACTCAGAATTCCAGATACAGCAGAAGGAAATCTTCCTGACTTCCTTCACTGACTACTGTCCATACAAATTAAGTCTGCTAGAAATGTACTTTTTCTAGACCCAAAACCCACCATTGATTTTGAACAATTTGAAATCGGTGATTAAATCCGTCCACATGTACTATTTTATTTGAAGTGATTGAAAAAGAATTGAGAAATCAATAAAGAGATGAATATTTTAAAGTTTGTTGGTTTATGTCACATATGCGTACACAAAAAAAATACACTAAAGAAGTAAATTAAGTCAAATTAAGTAGAGAGTGATAAATTATTATTTAGGTTTAAAAATAAATAGCACTCTTTTCAGCATTTGTCAAGACTTTGCTGGCTAAGTGCACTTAGGTAGATACAGACATTATACTTCCACAGTGCTTAAAATAAATAAAAGCAGGATTTGGTAGAAAATGTATTATACAGCAGATTGTTATTAGCTTTATAGTCCTGTTTTGTAGATCATGTGAAGAAATGACTAATTTTTCAACAACAGAAAAACAGAATGGATAAGTCTTACCAGGTTTTGTACCATACACATCCTTTCACTTCTTAGCTCAGCTACAAGTCCGTAGATATCCACAAAATCATGGTCATTTATATGTTGGGTTAAATGGTCAAGTGCAATATATACGCCTGTTCTTCCAACACCAGCACTGCAAACATGATAAACAAGATAAAATAAAGCTTTTATGTTAATGCTTTCAGCATTTTCTTCGAATATTCTGGATAAATTGTTTATTGTGAGAAGAAAAACTTCAAACAAAACCTAAATATTTTTTTTCAGTATTTACATCTAGTGAATTTCTTTGTGAATTGGATCAAGTGAAATCTGGATTTGAGCCATTTTCTAATTTTGATTTCACATTTTCATAATTTTTGATTTCTCATTTTCATCCAGTAAATGAGATATTACTCGTATATATGTTCATATGACCCAAACCTGTTTGAGTGGGAAAAAAAAGATCTTATAGCTTTTCTGTGAGTTTTTTAGAGCTCATTAATTGAGAGAAAAAAAAATCACAAGGTTTTGTGAAATCACACTGGGGTTCTGTAATACTTTTGGTATTTGAGACAAAATAACGTGGGATCCAGCAAAAAAATTTAAAAGAAAATGCTTTTAAAATTTAAAAGAAAATGCTTTTAAAAGGAGGATGAGTGTGCAAGATGTGCAGGTAGGTAGTGTTTTATTTCAAGGTCTTATAATGAATAGGATTGTTTCCAAATTACTATCAGACTTCTCTGCAATTGGTGTAATAAATGCAGGGCATATTACTGCAGATAATCAACAGATGTATAGCAGAGCTCTTGAGTTTGCAATATCTAATGAGAAAAAAGTAATGAATGAGTTTGCTGGATATGAGAATACACAGTAATGCTTTATAACCATCAGGAATTTGAGCACAGGGGGAGTATCAGAACCGTGCTGGCCCCTTTACATATCTCCTTTCTGAAAAGAGTATAGGGTTCCTGGCAAAGAGTTCCCACAGAATATAGGTGTCCTGAAAACATGAAGACTGTGTTGTTCTCCACTGTCATAGTCTCTCTGGCCCTTGCAGTAGTGGGAAATGTTCATTAAAGACAGCAATATTAAATGAGTAAGGCTTTACTACCCTTTGTGGGTGGCACCCATAGGATGCTGGGGACAAATAATAAGAACTCCCATACATGATAAAGTGGAAAAGATTTGTAGCATCAAAGCCATTTTTCCCTTCCACTTATTTCCAGACCCACACCAAGTGAGAATGGGGCAAAAGCTCAGTAGCAGACCTATGAGTTCAGATCCCTTTTATGGAGCATGCCCACACATTCAGTGGGAACACTGACCTGCACAAAATGCAGGTCACACTCATTGGTTTCCTTAAGACTTAGGCCACCCCACACACTTACCCTTTGAAACAGAAAAGTGTTAATGAAACCAGTGGAAACTACGACAACTGAACACCTTTAACCACCAGACCATTTATTTAAGAGCCTAAATATAGGTTTTAACTGTTAACAGGCATCCAAGTTTGAAATCTGGCTTATGCAAACCCTTATTTCTATTTGGCATTCTCAGTGGCTTCAAATAGTTTCTTCCTTATGATATGCGACATATACATTTAAAATAAATTTTTAATACTTGCTTCTTAAGAGGAGCTCTAATTATAATAGAAGTAATTTAAACCAATACATGTCATTTGCTATTCCTCTTCTTATGATTAAAGAGAAAAATGGAGAAAAATCCAGCAGTGCTTTATGGTAAATTTTGGAGCATTTATTTCCCCAACATCACCTCAGTGGATTTCCATAAATGGCAGAATAGACATTGGTGTTTTACCTTCTAGAAAGGAGTAAGAAGGACTGCTAGAGAAACATTCACCTCTGTCCATCCTAGAATCATTCCTGTGCACTCAGCCTCCATGGATGTTCTTCTGGCAACTTCCCTGTGCATCATTATGCACTTGAGATTCAAAGCTACCAAACGATGGTTCGGCGGATGTACTTACCTGCAGTGCACCACCATCGGTGTGTTATCGTGTGCTCGACTTGCACGGATGAGTTTTACAAAATGGATAAATGGTGCAGTCGTTTCGGGGACTCCATGTTCTGGCCAAGAAGTGAAGTTACACTGCCGCACCATCATGCAGTCTCCATGCTGAAAAATACATAATAATGCAGTTTTTACTGAAGAAATGCTATAGAAGGGTCAGTAAGGTACATGTAACCTTCTCAGGATTTTCACATAAAAAATAAAGTTAGAATCACCTAATGTTTATAAGATTACTGGCACGAAGGGACAATTTGCTGTGCACAGAACTTCTGGCACATTTTTTGAGGGATGGCATCAAGTCCATCTTTCAGGAAATGTCAGTGTTTTCAGTAGTGACTCTTCATTTGTCTTTAGTCATCATATCTATAATTTGCAGATTGCAATTTGAAATTTATATGGCTCATTTAGAAATTTAGTGAGCTGGGATGACAAATTTGTTCAGGAAAAAGCAACCACACTAAGACTGATCCAATGTGGCAAAGGCAAACACATACACTGGGTGAACACAGATACATATTCTTTCATGCTCTCTCAATGAAAGCAGCAGCAACAGTAATCTCAAAAAAGAGGTTATGATCTAATACTTCAAAAGATTACTTTTGAAGGATGTAAAAAATGAAAGAACAGGATCATGCCAAAGGCCTGTCTACATCCAAACGCTCTTTCCAACAGCAGTCAAGAAAACATGTTAGGGAGCATTATAAAACATGACAACAATGTAGCTGTAATTCCCCAGAATATCTTTTCCATTCTGAATAGTTTGTGACTTGTGAATTGACTCAGTGAGAGACAGTAAATGGAAATTTAATAGTACTCATCTGTATTTTCTTCTACTAATTTTTATAGATTTTTTGAATCCCTCTAAGTTTTTAGCCTTCACAATATCCTGCAGCAAGGAGTACCACAGTTTAATCAACTGTTGTGTAATGAACCAGTTTCTATTTTTTCAAATTGCTTTTGAACCAATGATTTGCTTCTTTCATACTGTAAGAAATACTGAACAATGGCGAACAATTATGTGTAGCAACTACTTTGCAGTTGTACTAATATTTTTAAACTGATCAACATAAAAATGCAAGAGACATTCACAATGGGAATGATTTTGACTTATTTGCCTCACATATGCTTTTTATCTTCACTGGAAGATCATCAAGCATTCACTCATTTGTGAAAGGACGTACAATCTTTAAACGAGCAATACAGCAAATTTAATGACCTGCTTATAAAGGGCATAGCTTCTTGTGCAGGGTGGTTCAGCTACAGTAAATGGATCACCCAGTCAATTCAGATTATCTTCTTTCAGCCTCATCCTTGTTAGCACAAGTGACTTGGCATTTCACTGGAATTCATTTTTATTCTAAATAGTTCTTTTTCCAGTCTTGCTTATCCATGTTCTATTTTTAGCAGAAAAAAAAGGTTTATCTTCTCTCAGTCATTTTTTAATGTCCCGTTTCTATGTACTCTGTGCACAGCATATCCCTATGGGTTGACTGCTGAGACCAGCTCCCACCTGCTGTGTGCCCTTTGTCACAAGCATATGCCACAGGATGGTAATGCCTGCATTAGCACAGCCAAATTCAGGTCCTAGGATCTGGCTGCACTACTTTCAACACAGAACAATTCTCAGAGTGCAAAAGAAAACTGACTTAATTTTGGGTCTTTATTACCAGCTTGTTTTTTGAGCCCACCTGCTGTTCCGAGTTAATGCTGGGTTATAATTTTTCCAATACATGAAAATTGTAGTTGTAGGTCATGGCAAAGGTGAAGGTCTCTGCTGTACCCCTGCTCCTCCTTCCCAGCACAAAGAGTAGGAGTAATACTGATGATTCTCATTCATATTGGGTGAATCTCCTGGGGGTGGAGGCCAATGGCTGGTGGTACAATGCAAAACAGCTGCACCAGAGAATCCTGCCCTTTAATCTGAGAGGGATGCATTCAAAAGGATTTGTCTGATCTCAGAATGGTTAAGATTACTCCTTTCTAGAACAGACACCAATGTGTCCAAGTAGAAACCTCACCCCCCACCAGAAGTTCAGTAACCTTAATAGGCCCTTCATAGCATAGTGGACAAATATCTGAGCTCTTCATAACAAAAATTCTCAGGAAATCAAACATGAATTAAAATAAAATACAGGACAACCAGGCAGTACAATGCATATGCACTAAAAGACTAAAAGAAGAATATTGAGGAAGTAGTTGGGTGGGAAGTAGTATATCTGATGTTCTTTCAGGTGTTGGATGAATTTTTTTCTATCAACTTCCAGCGCTGGCTTACCCTTTCAATTTTTAGGTCTCTGATGGTCCAGTCTATTTGAATATCTTCCATCAATTTAGTAATCACTATATCCCCAAACACAGTCACTGGTTTATTATCTTCTGGCCAGTACTGGTGACATCTTATCTGCAGAGAGATGATTACTAAGTAATTAACAATTATCATGTTATAATCTTGACAGAAACTACATACAGAATTTCCAATTATGTCAAATGCTTTTAATCAGTTCACTGGTAACTTACACGTCCTTTTTCAAAACATTGTGTGAGCATCACAAGTGTTTTAGCTCTTGTCTCCCACACCATTCTCCAGAAATCACCCACTGTTCCTGGTAATGGTCCCTGAGTTGCAATAAACTCGTTTGGACATAAATAGCCCTAAGAAAGAGAAAATGTTTAATACATAATGGTTGGCAAGGAAACAAAAGAGTTTGCATGTGAATCATAGTTGTGCCTGTATCTGCCATGCCAAAGGCTAAAATCATGTAAGCCCTACTAAGCGAATTGGCATATGCCTCAGTAGTCACTGCACGGCAGGCTGCCTTGGAAAGCTAAAAGCGAAATGGCTTTTTTTGGTAGTCCAGTTATGAACCAATACTCTACTACAGTGTGGGAAGTGCCATGGTAATAGAAATGCATTTAGCAGAGATATTACAGGGACATCAGGTCATCAATTCCCATTTAAAAGTATCTAAGTCTTCATATTATACTTACTGCAGATCCAGCTAGAGGCCTCCAAGAACTAAATCAATAAGTGGCCAACACAGGAGAATCAAATAGTGCTAAGGAGCATTGGAGCCAGGGAAACAACTAAGGAGTAGTCTGAGAGCCAGTGCAAGTAATACACACACTAATGACCTTGTTCTTTGCTGATTGTCTGGGATCTGCTATAACCTCAGGCTGAAGCTCATTGAAATAAATGATCTCCAATCAAAGGTTTTCAAGAAACCTACTGAAGGTGTTGACTTTTATTTTAGTGTTGGCTTTTGCTCTTTGGTTAATTTATAAATTCTTGTAAAACTTGGGAAGAAGGAAGTTTATTGAAAAAATCTATAGATGCTCTGAGTGCATGGTTTGACATGGATCTGGTTCCTCTTAGAAAAGAAGTACACCTATAGGAACTATTATGTACTACACAAAGTCTAAAATAACAACAATAGCAATAACAGCAATAAATTTATGCCATAGAACTAGCAGTTCATAATATCACAGTGTTCTGCTTATTGCTCAAAACAACTGACACAGTGGTTTATAGCACCACCAAAGCTTCTTCTTGGAATTATGGCCCTATAATTCACAGCTGCCTGTTACTTACTCCATCTATAATATAAAGAACAGGTGGCAGTGGGAAACTGTGTTAATCCTCCTTAGTTTAAGAGTGAGGTGAGAAACTGTAATTCAGGGATGCAAAGCTCACAGTTCAGTTACTGACTTTGTTTAACCAATGAAAGTCAAAGTAGCAGCAGAGTTCCCATTTGTTAAAACTAAGTACAAGACTTCTCTTTTCCTCTCTTTAGGGAGAGGAGAAGCATGCATATGTAAACAGGCCTAGGTAATTAGGTATGTAAATACACATATTGCATGTTTACAGCTATATGCATTTATGTACTTATACATCAACAAACATGAAAAGTGAGAGCATATAAAAGGTGAAACTTTAGACTTGAGAAACCATAACATTGGAATTGTCTATTCACTGATGAATGGTCATCCAAAATGTATGCACACAAGTCAAATCTCAGCAGGAAACACTTTGTAGCTGGGTTTTTCTGAAGCTTTTTGGAAGTCGCTGTTAGTCGCTGTTCCCTGCCTAGGGCTTGGCCTGTCAGTGGCAGGAAGAGTAAAGACTAGACCATGCTCCAAGATGCCTTCCTTAGCCATTCTGGGCAGTCCCAGCACCAAGTGGCATGGCTCTTCCTATCTGCTAACTCTCAGAACAAAGACATGGTGGGAATAAATGCTGTTTGCTCAAAGAAAGGAAGATCTTCTGAGCTCTACTACTTATTCTCTGTAATGTCTCTTAGTTACTTGCAAAGAACCATTTCCACTTTCCTTTGTGTTGTCTGTTTTGACTACACTCTGCAAGTCTTGCTACATTTTTGAAAAGCCTTTAATGTGAATCAAGTCTTCACCTCATGTGAGATCTCCAGCCACTGCTAGAAGAGATTTGATGCATAACTATAATTCCCACTTTGAGCTATAACAGGACAAAAGTGAGATTAAAATATAGGTGAAGAATTTACTGACCACAAAATAAGAAAATGGGAAAGTCTGTGAAGAAAGATGAGGATGAAAAATGTAGTGTTACTTTCTTCTTCAAGAAGCCTACTTTCATTTTCCTCCATCATAACTTTCACACAATAATAAGGAGCATGCCAAAACTGTTAGCCATTTCTATGAAAGTTTTCAGTTCAGTTATCTTTGCATTGTCCTATTCATATACAACAACTTTAACTGTTGAATCAAGACACCAAATAACACCCATCTAAACAATTTAGCTCAGAGGGAGCTCGACTGTTGACTTTTATGAAAATGGTATAAAATAATTTATAAAAAGCAACTTGCTGGACACAGTTTTGATTATTTTTGGAAATCATTGCTCAGCAATGAAAATGAGATATATATTTTTTTAACTTGTAATTTTTAGTGCCGTGGGACTTGAACAATGTCATGGCAACAGTGGCTGTAGTGAATGAAAGAAAAATTAGAATCCTATTTTTGTTGCAAGTTATTTTTTTTTTACTCTTCTACCAGAAAACAAATACAGCAAAAATATGAGAGACTCTCTACTTACAGACACATAGCTGGCATTAATGTAGTCAGATCCAGGAATACCAGCATCAGGCATCAGCTTTACTCTGTTGTTATTATCTATCATGGAAGTAAACTCTAGTTAACTAAAAGATTGGTTCAAAAACCATAAAACACGTAAAAACTGTTCCTGGAGTGCTAAGAAATCAAAAATACTATTATTAGCAGTAACAATATTTGATGGAGCAGAACATTAATTACAAAGGTAATTTAAACATTTTCCATTACTGTATGGTCTTTCTTCAATGTTCCAGACATGCTACAGATACTACTTTTTAATGTAAGTGGTGAATGAGCCAAAACCTCCAATCTGATGTATATATGGGAGAATTCTGCACCTAAAAGGAGCCTGTGTACTCCAAGCCATGCTGTCCTAGCACACACAACTTCTGTGTAAATAAGAGGGCAGGGTCATGGATCTGAGAGTTTTTCCCATTTACTTGCTGCCCAGGTCACTGAGCCAGATTCTGGCACTTTTATATCGTTTTGGGGGTTTTTAAATATAAGGTTAAGTCATTATTTAAAAAAAAGTAAAATGTTTAGGGTTTCTGATTTGGTCCCACAGCACATATGCAGAAAATACAAAATCCAAGAAACATATCATGTGTGTAACACCAGAATTTTGGTGTTTGGTCTTCAACTCAGTAAAGAATATTAGAATACAAAGTTAAATATTTATGAAACATATCTGTTTATGCCTTATTGTCTGTCATGAAGAAAAATTTTTAGTGACTGTGACTTAGAATATGTCTTGAACAAGGCAGCAGATAGAAGGAACAGCTGCTCTGAAAAGTAAATAGCACAGAATGTAGCATTATTAACCAAGGAATGCTATGCACTCCATCTCACATCACAGCTAATGCCTAAAATAATAATGACATTTCTTGTCTTATTAACTGAAAAATGAAGCAGTGTTGAGTATAGAGAGACAGACTCCTGTCTCCTGTGATAATATCTAGCCTGGGCTTATAAGTTATCATACAGTCACTGTGATCTTCTGTGGAACCTTTGTAGCACATGTACACATATCCACAAGAAAGCATATCCAGACTCCTGAGGTAGCTGAATGCACAAACATGTGGATTTTATATGTTTAAAAAATTACTTCTTACTAAAGGGGGGGCGGAAAAACCAATGAGGAAGAATTTTAAAGAGTTTGCTACATGGCTTGAATTACAAAGCCAAGAAACTATTGAGGCTACAGTTTCTTGCACCTGCATATTAAAGCTTGTGAGAGCAAGTTGAAAGCTACTTGCAAATAAAACTGTCTTTAAAAAAACCCGCAAAGTAAAGACAGATTACTTGACAGAAAATGATTTCATAATGTGGACTTGATTGTGCTGCTATTTCAAAGACAGATCAAACAAAAATACACTTGCATTCCAAATATCTGTTACACTATTAAAAGTAAAGAGCAAAATGGAGGAGTTGGTCAATAAACACACATACATGGCTTTATGTTTGGGAAACGATTCTTAGACCTGTTCCAAGGCAGATCAGCATCTGTTGAAGCAAGGTCTTCAAGAAACTTGGGAAGTTCCTGCAAAGGAATAAATGTTTGTTGGAAAACTTTTCCACTTGACTTTAAAATGTGGCACAATCATCCAGTATGTAGAAAAACACCACAGTTTTGCAACAGTCCATTTCTAAGTACAGCTGGAAGCATTACAGAGCTTCCCGCCCCACTGTCAACCCCAGTTAAATCAGCAATGTTAGATGCAGCACTGCAGACAATGCTGTCAACCTGAACAATTAAGCTTACATGATCTTTCACCTTTAAAAGCCTGGATAAAGTCAGTCTATCACGTTTTGTAGTTTTCTGATTTTTTTCATGAAGTCACATGCTTGGTTACCATGCCCTACTGACTCAGTTGAATAATGTATTTTCCTGACTGCTGTAGTTTGGGAGTGTTTGTGGTACAGCATGAGAACTGATGAGAATTCAATTAAGTTGAGACAACTGGCATTAAATTATTGTTCTTGGGAGTGTTTGTGAAAGGGGTGGGAAGAGCTATTTTGGGTTGTACTGCAGCTTCATAACTGGCCATTTGTTCTATTACTGGAGGACAGAGATGGATAAATCATTCATGCTCAGGAACTTATTTGATGGGGATGCTTGTGTGCATTAACAGGAATCATTTACAAAGCTGATTAAAAGAGTGGTGACAATTTCAGAACTTGTTAATGGAGAAAATTTGTTAAAGTGATGACTTCAGTGTTAAGAGAATAGAAGATATAGAAAATCCAGAATTCTAAATACATTGTTAATTTCAGTAGAATTTTTCTTTGTTTGACAAATGTTATTCACAAGTCTGTTTTTTATATCTATCTATCTGCTTATCTACCTACCTACCTACCTACCTACCTACCTATCTATCTATGGTATAAATTAAGAGGTCTACTTTTTGCTTTGAATGAGAACAATACAAAATTTTGCTGAAATCCCTTCAAATTTGTCTTTTTATATTAGCAGTTACTGTCTGCATGCGCTACTTCCAAAAGTTGGGCAGATAGCCTTTCTATGAGGCTCAGTATTAATTATGCCCTTTTGCCAAGGTATTTGAGGCAGTCTGTCTTTTATGAATAAAATTTAATGGGAATCTCCTAGCAAATAAATAAGAGAGGAAATGAAAAATGGAAATCATGACTGTTTTATTTCAGTCCTTTTCTCTCATTGCTAATTGAAATATTTTGTCATCCTGGTGTGTAAAACACAGTCAAAGGTGGAGATGTTAAAATTCCTCTCATTCAAAAAGCTGAAACACTCCCATAAAATTTCTGTCATTGAATATTTTCAAGAAGGAAGGATATACACAAAATGCCTATTTTGAATAATGTTTTGGGCCATGGAATCCCGTGTCACGTGAACTTTAACTTCCCTCATTTGCCTCACTCCACTGAATTTTAGCTTGCCAGTAAACTACTGTAGAAGTAGCACCCTTATACAGCACTTTGTAGTAGAGAGGAAATAGAGAAGCAGATCTTGTTATTTTCATAAGGATGCTTCTATAACCAAACAAATGCTCAAAGGCCTCATACCAATTCTCTGCATTAATAGGGATTTCAGTCTTATCTATTATTTTCGTATTTAGGGGAAGAGTATTTGGGTTCCCAGACTCAGTAACAACTTGTCACAGAAACCATGTTTCTTTGCAAACTCATAAAACTTTGAAATAAAACATTGGCATTTTGTTTACTGTAGCACATTTGTGTCACTGGTGACTCTTGGAAGGACTTCAGTTTTTTTTACTCATGAGCAGAACTTATCATAAATCAAATATTATACAAGTATTTCTGTTTCAGTAATATGCCAGTTATTAGAAAAGCATAAGTTCCCAAATGTATTGAGAGACGCAGGAATCAGCCGGAAAGTTGGCAGTAGCTGCCAGTTTGAATAGCAATGAGGGGACGCCCATCATTAGTTACTTTGGCTCCCTATGGTTTCTTTAAACTTGTCTTTTTTGACAATAAATGGATCCAGGTCCATTCTGAAGTCCAGATTCCATTCTCATCACATTTACACACAGGTCCTGTTCACCAAGATTGAACCAAGACTGGCCCCTGAAGATGCCCTGGCACTGAAGTTTGGTCAGTCAGGCAAATTAGACAAAGCTGGGAATGTCCATGGATTACAAGAGTAAGTGAAATAGAAAGACTCACATTCATGCTGGAAAACTCCAAACCATATTTGTTGTCCACAAACTGCCCGTTGTAAATTATCCCTAGTCTACCAAAGCATATCTTGGAATTGTCCAGGAAGACTGTTAGGTGAAACAGTCCAAATCCAACACAGGGAATATACTAGCAGTTTATTGGTGTAAATTATCATATCCTCATATTCCGTTCCCAGTAATCTTGAATTAACTCTTCCAAAGACAGACAGAGAGCCCAAGCAAGCTCAGCACTATGCTGTTCATAGAACCATAGATCAATTTGAGTTGCATGGGACATGAACATAATCTAATCCAACCCCATGTTGCCATGGACAACCTTCCACCAGGTCTGATTGCTCAAAGTTCCTCTAACCTGGGCTTGGCCACTTCTAGGGCATTCACAGCTTCCACAGGAAACTTGTTCCAGTTTCACCACTTAGTTATGTGCTTCAGATATGAGTTTACATCATGTTCAAGGGTTTATGTCTTAGCTAATCTTTCCTACACATGTTGCAGGACCCTCAAGTCAAGTCATTTATGTAAAAGTAGAATTATGCATGAGGACAAAAACAACACAGATCATGAGGTCTACTTGTTTATTGCATGCACTGCTTGTTCCTGAGCATTGTCATTACCAATATAATTTCAAGTGTGCTGCCAATCCTATCATTTATCTGCTAAAACACGTGCTACAAAAAACATGGATAGACTCATTTTGAGGGACTGAACATGCCTTCAAATTCTGCCTGCCCTTGGACAAGTCATCTGGGAAGATATCACTATGCTCTGAAACATGGCAGCTGAAGGTCAGAGAGTAAAAAGACTGAAAACTTTAATGACATATAAAACTGTCTATTATAGGTTGACTATATACATTATTTTAAGGAGACCTCAGCTTCTGGTATTTCTCTAAATTTTAAGCAGATTGCAGATTGTCATTTGATAAAACACTATTGTTTAAGATTTAAACTGTTGCAATGCAGTAAGGCTTAGCCAACGTGGGTTGCATCTAAAGAAAGTAATACTAGAGACCTTCTAGTAATGAATGTTAATATGTAAAGTGTTATTGATATTGAAAATTTTCATCTGTTCAGTCATGCATAATGTAACTATAATCATTTTTTGGTCAAGTGAAATAACACTTCTACTTTATTGCTCTGAGAATTTTATGGTGCTTTTTATCATTAAATCCAGACGGATTTTACCTAATGAGCATAACAAAAAAACCTGTAGGTAATACCATTAATATTTATACACTTTTGTTAGTGCTTTCTTGGAAACTGAAATATATCTAGCAAAAAAAAAGCCAATTGTTAAGTTTTCATTTTTGTTAATCCAACTGGTAAATTATTCATGGTAAATCTATAAAATAATAAAGTCACTGGACACTGACAAATTTTTTTTGGGCAAACGACTGTATGTGTTAAGAAAGATAATGATGATAAAGATTCTGAAATAGCAAGAAGTTATTGTTGAGAAAAAATTATGATAGCCATAAAATATTACTCAATGAAAATAGTGAAAACTTTGAGATTTAAATTTGGAATTATACATGTATTATATTATCTGTAATGTATATTTTGAGAATGAGGCCCCTTTCAGAAATGCAGGCTGGCTGTGTTCATCTGCTCATGTAAGGAAATGGAGACTATTCATTTGGAAGCTATTCTAAAGAGCATAAGAAGTATGCCCTATTATGTGTAGAGGAACAAAAGCCAAAGTACCATGTACAAACCTTTGAATTTCTGCACCAAAATCTATGAAAGAAAAACATCCCTGAGTTTCATGGCAGTATGACTGAGGCCTGAAAATTTTACAGAATGTACATTAACTCTCCTTTTGGAGTCATCAACACTCAGGAAAACAAACATATTTATAGCAGTTAAATACACCTGTGTATTTGTTAGAAAACTCTTAACTTGTTCTTAGGTAACCTACATATGCAACAAGATATGTAAAAGCATAAATATGGTGGTCTTGAAATGTTGGAGACTAAAGAAGATCATCTTTGGCTGACACTAAGGTGAATAATTCTGACCAGGTTGTAGTATAGGCTGCAGAATCAGTGTACTGTTACTTTCTAAACAATCAACCTGGTAATTGGGTATTGATTATCAAGGCCAGAGTCCTTCATGGCCTTGCCTGCTTAAAATGGACGTGAAATGTGACACATGAAACGACTGAAGGTCTTGCGATGTTGTGACAACTGCTAGCAACATACCGAAAATTCTTCCTGAAACTTTAGGTTGTTGTTTGTGCAAAGCTCTTCAACGTGTTGTAAAAAGGATTTCTTGCTTATTGGCCTGAAAGTAAAGACAGAAGAATTAGAAACCCATAGGGAATATCTTTGTCATTCTTTTTATATGACTGTAATTTATTAATAAACAATATTTTCCAGTTCAATGGAAAATTATACTTATAGGCAGAAAATTAGAAATTGCTTACAGCATGCTTATTTGATTTCTTTTCGATCACTTAAAAGAGAAACATTTTATCCCCTTATTGTTCCCCCTCACAACATTTTTAATTTTGCTAATGTTAACAGTACTGTAGGCTGTGATTGTTTTTATAGGTAATAGCATTTCAAGCGAGGTTTTGACATTAAAGTAAATTTGTTATTGCATTCTAAGGTACATAATACTTCTTTGTCAGACAGAAAACATTTTACACATTGCAAGGTTTTAGACATATAAAATATTGCAGTGACCTCATTCTCATAATGACATGGTTTTTAAATCCTGAGGAGTTTAAATAACCCTGTATTACTTCCCAAGCTAAAACACAGACATGCAGGCTTCACCCCAGAGAGAGAGAAAGCATTTCTCCAGTTACCATGCAATTAGTCATGCTTTTATGATTTATACGCAGCTTGGAGCTTTTTTCTAACATTGAGGAAGGAACCACACATTGAGACTCACCGATGAACACATAACATAAAAATCTTTAGTAAACTTACTTGATGGATTTTCTATAACTAAGCAACCTGAAATAGAGATCTTTGTTAAATGTAGCAAGCTGAGAGTTAACCAATGTTGTGCATTTTAATAGGTTCTAGATTAAATACCATGTACCTAAAGATTGGTTTCCCTTATGGATTCAAACTCAGATACCTTGTGTGATTGTCTTTATTAGTTCTTATCTCAGGTATCGGCAGATATGAATTACATAGGTACAGTTTCTGTCATTTTCTTTAGATCACTTACAGTTCTCTGGCCTCATATGGCCTTGAGAAACCCGTACTTGCTGCACACCACTACACACACATTGACAGGCTTCATTTTGCATTCTTGACCCAATGTCATTCTCCTAAGGGCCATTTCAGAGCATCAGAGTAGGATCAATCTGACTGAACACAGACGCCTACTTCTCAGTCACTCTAGATTTCTTTTATAATCAATGAGGAGAAATAGGTGTAATTTCATCTCATTTGAAGCAGATATCTAAAATGAGTCACAGATGAGTCATGATACTGGTGTGCTTCTACAGAAACCACAGCTGTGGTTGTTTTCTAAAGATTTTAAAAATTAGTGTCCTGGTTTTATCTTCATTTTTCACATGTTCATGGCTGGTTTTGTCTATGTCAATTTTAAAAACTGTGATACATATTAAATCTTTAACTTGATCTCACAGCAGGTTTCATGAAGGTGAAACATGAGCATCTATACTCAGAGGACTTTCAGATGGCCTTGAAACTTCGTCAAAATTGCCTCTGAATGGATTTAGAAACCAAATTTTGAGCACTCAGACTCAGAAAGCTTGTTTAAAGGACCAAGTAAAAAGGTTTGTAATAATTCAGTTTTAAAGATAACCTGCTCCTTCAAAAAACTCTGACTACCCCTTTTATACGTCTGTTCCTCCAAATATACATCCTTACAGAAAATATTACAAAAAATGTTCTATAGTACAAAGTCTACTGTATTGCTGCCATAATTTTAATAGAAAAAGAAAAATTGCTTTAAAAAGTTTATTAAACGACTCTTAATTATTTAAATTTTAATTGAGATAATACAATGAGATTAATGCAATTGTTAATAATTTATTCTTAAGCATCAGGGAATTTAATTTCAAAGCTATGAAGAATGCCTTTGTGGCACATACTTTTTTAGAGCAGTTATCCTGAAACAAAGCAAATTGGCTATGAAAGCCTCACTAGATCAGTCTCACTGGAGTTAAAAGTATTTACAGAAATAAAGGTGCTTACTAAGAAGGACAACTGAAGGACAGCTTTAGAGTGACAAAGAAGGCAATAAGATAAGAAAGCATGCCACTCTATTTATTCAGAATGTTTAGACATGTAGCTTGGGCTCATTGTATCACATAAGTTGTTTGTATTATGTGGTAGATGAAACTACCTTCTAGTAATATTGGCAACATTACAGAACTAAAGATCCCTAACAAAAATAAGGACTTTCAATAGTTGTACCAAAGTACTGCACACAAATAAATGTTTGTCTGACTAGAACGGAAGCATTTGTAGGCTCTTTTGGGGGGTCAAAATTATAAGCAGACTTTGAAGGCAAGTTCCATTTCTTTTTCCTTTGAATTCACCTATCTTCACCACAAAACAACAGAAAAGTCATGTCCCAGTTGACATTCCAGTAATTTTTCAAATACTCTCCTCTCACATTTTTAACAATGAGGGGTTTACTGCACATAATTTGCAATAAGAAAATGCAGTTTGGTCATTAGGAAATTAAAATTATTTCTGTGCTGTGCATAATCAATCCAGGTAGGTAATTCAGTGTTTCAGGGCTGAAGGTATATGGATCCAACAGTGTAAGGGTTTTTGTTTAAGAAGCAAGGGATCTATGGCTTGACATTTTAACCTATCTGTAGGAATTTAAGTGATTTTTAGAACTGCTGAACTGTCACACTTTTGTCAGTAGCAAGTGCACATAGCAGTAGCTTGGCAGCTCATAAGATGATTTACTTTAAAGTGCTTATAGGAAAGTTAATGTCTAACTTGTCTGACTGTGGCAAAGGTGTTGGCTTTGCTGTGTAAGGACCTTCAGAAGGGATGAATTTTGTGTTCTCACTAAAGACTTCCAGCACTTCTCAGTTTCAACATCCTTAGGCTTAAAAAATAGTATTTTTCCTATGTGTCTTGACTTGGAATACATAGTAATAATCTTACAGTATTTTGTCAATGAACAAATACTCATCTGTATGTAATCTTGTCCTCCAGATTTCCCAGTGTTTTGTACAAAACTTAAAAATATTAATATCACTAGATCTTGATGAGCACAATTCAGAATGAAGCCATAAAGTTGAAAATGTCCTTATTTCAGCTGGACCATTTCAGATTCCCATTTGCCTGACTTTGATATGAGGAAAGAAAAACATTCTCTAAGATAAAGAATGCTTTATAGCATTAAATCTGATTTTCTTTTAAAACCGTGTATTGTTTCATGTGTGGGGTTTTTTTGAAGACTATCAAAAATCTGAATCCCACTCAGATTACATATGATAGAGCTAGAAAGAAGCCATTTATTTGTGTTGGCAGTGATAACTGAAGACATATTGTCACACAGACTCAGCTTTCTCTCTGGGTCAATCATCTGAAATCCACAGGGAATTAAAACTTTGTCCAACCAGAAAACTACAGAAATTACTATGTAGGCAAAAGGCTTAACTCATAAGCACCACCGACACTTCCTAGGACCAACAGAGGAACTAATTTTTAGCAAGTTAATTGAGAGCAATATTGAGCTTAACCCTTCCTACATATTAAAGGCCTAAGGAAAGAGAACACATGGCCATTTCTTCCATTGAACCAGGACACATAGATCCACAAAGCTTGTTCTCCTGGAGCACAAACTTCAGGAAGCCTCTTTTTGATAGGTAATTACTAAAGGTAAACCTGTTAAAGAAAAAGACAAGGCAGAAGCCAAGCCTATTCCTACTCAAAGGAAGACAGGTCTGTCTACACCAAGTATCAAGCTGGTCTATAGAAATAAATGTGTGTGCAAAACTGTTACCTCAAATATAGACACCCACTGAATGCGTAGTATATAGGAAAGATGAGATCAGACAATCCTTTTCTTTACAACACTTTTCCATAAGGAGTTCTAATTACCTGGTATTTGCAGGGGCTACAGTGGCTGTCATGCAGAAATATTTCTTCTGACCTCACTTTCTTGACAAGCTGTCTCACATAGCGTGAAACAAAAGCCTAAAATGGTCAACCACAAGGTTCAGCTTCTCAAGGACAGATTTTTAAAAGACAGGGATCTAAATAGCTTCATCCTTGCTGTGGAAACCACTGCAAAAGTAGGGTGCCAGAGAAGTTGTCTCCTAGGTAAGCACCTGGAACAGGGAGGAGTAACTTGTATCTCACCAAATCTGGCGCACACTGAAAATTTAGGGATAGAGTTTATTCACAGAAGATTAATGTCTGCTTTGAAGAGCGACTTGGCAAACCCTGTGGACATGTTCTAAGTCAGGCAAGTGATGAGTGCATCCAGTATATATATATATATTCAGTGAGTTTAATGAAACAGTGTTTAATCCAGTTTAGATTGATGGGCTATGTATGCTTTGAACAAGGTTGTTTTTTACTGTTGTCTCACACCATCTCCACCATCACGGAATGCAATGTATGTCCCAAACATTCAAAGTTAGCATTTGGGATTCATAAAGAAGATCGCATTTTCCACTAAATTCTTTATAACTTAATTCCCTGCATGCCCTCTGAAACTACATCCAATTGGTCAAATGCTTAAGAAAGACTTGCTGAGAGTGAGTGTATATGTACTAGCTAGAATTAGTAATTTTAGCCACTGAAGTTTGTCAATAATGTTTTTAATTATTTTTATTATTTTAAAATACTAGTATTGATTTTCCTTTAATTTCCTGGTCAAAAAGAAAAAGTTACCCACAAAAAAGTTTAAAAAATTGCCAAAATGTAATGCTTGGCACTTTTAAATTTCTCTTTTCCTACTCAAATTGACTTTTACAGTGCAAAGTACTTAATATTAAAAGATTAAAAAAATGTGTGAAATATAATGTTTTGGTTAACCTATACTAAACATTTGCTGAGTTTCAAGCTGTTGAATTTTTGATCTAAAAATTATGAAAAGTGTTTACAGTCATATTCATACAGAAAATAATTTTTTCTAATTTATTGTTTTTTCATGAGATACCAGCTGCAAAATTTTCTGAGAATATGAGCCAAGATCATAAGCTGCAATCCACCAAGTATGAGAGAATGTCTGAGGAGACAATGGATGAGAGAAAGGCAAGAGGGATCTCATGGAGCAGTCCAGACTATTTTGATTCTATGGATGAACTCTGTCAGCTGCAAGTGTGTGCCTTTATTGATTTATAGTAGCTGAATAATATAATGTCAGAGTAGTGACAAAAAAATCTGTTTTCCAAAATACCCCCTTCAAATGAGCACTGAATGAAGTGATTAGTAGCTAGAGAGAATAAATCTATATTGTTCTGTTTTCACCTAAGATTTTCACACAAACTCCCCATTGCCCTTTCAGGGTGAAGCTGGACCAGATTTCATTTGATTTTCTGCTGCCTGAAAAATACAAACATGCCAGTCTGGAAAAGGGATCTGCCCATCTGTGCCCTCCTCATACACTTGCAAGATGCCACGAACTGCAGCACAGCAAGCACTGCAAATACAGCTGAGACAGCTGCCTAAATGCAGCCAATGTAGGTAGTGCAGATGCAGTGATGCCCATCCCAAACACATGGGAAATTTGTGAAGGTTAGACTGCAGTCATCAGCATTAAATACTGTAACTAAACATGCTGACATGTCGCTGCTTTAGCCACAAATCATGAGAATGATCAGGTCAAGAACTGGCACTATGACTGACTTCAGCATAGATGTTCCCCAGTGGCAACAGGTACAAAAGTTCTTTTATGGTGCAACTGTGGAAGTCTAAAAACAAGAAAACAAAACATTTAGTTATTAGGTTTTGCAGTGAGCTGCCTTGGTACTGCTGCCATGCTTCTGCCAGGTCTCTGTTACAACTCATCATTACCAGGAAAGATTAACTATATTAAAGACAGCACTAGAGACACCTACAATGTCCCTTCTTGTCATTGACTTTATCAGAACAGAATATTGCACATAGTGAAAGATTCTTAGAGGCTTAAAAAAACAAAAGCCAAAATAAACTAAAGAATTTTTGACAGATAAAGCACATCCTGCCCCTCATTACTATATGTATGTTATCTAGGAGAGTTCCTTGGGGCACATTTTCTGTCTTCCAGATGAAAAGATGTCATGAATCCTGTCCTGAGGAGCTCTCAATTAGTGCCTACACTTCATCAATTTGTCATAATGTTCAGCAAAGGACCTGGGCAAGGAGCCTGCTGTAGGTTCAGTGCCAGTGCCGTTTGGAAAATAATAATCCAAAATTTTAACAGCTGCATCCTGTGCCTTACAATGACAGAAGTAGAAAGTCTTTGCTTTTGGCCATTAAAGGACAGTTAGAAAGAGGGAAGAGGAAAATAGAGATGGAAGGACATGGCAAATTGCAAACCAAAAAGTGAGACTGACTCATGAAAATAAGGGTGATGTAACTAAAACTGCTGAAGCACTGTTGAGTAAAGGTCTTGCTGTGCATAAATCACATAATGAAATGTACATAATATGAAATATTACAGTTTTCAATTACTCTTTAGAGTTTGAGACTGTAAAAATTTCAAATGCAGATAATTCAGACAGAAAAGTGGCAGAATGGTATCTGCAAACCAACAAAGGATTTGACTGTGTGGATATGTTGCTGAGATTTCAGGGGCATAGTATGAAACAGCTGCAGTGTGAGTACAAAAGAAAGTTGAGGAAAAGACCAAATTTCTCTTAAGTATATATATCCTAACTTCCAAAGGAAAGAAACAGCATGTTTCTTATGTCACATTTACACTGCTTTTGTTTCAAGGATAGGTTGTTTATACCAAGGCTATATTGCCATACTGTGTTATAATTTCCATTTAAAAATTACCCTGATTTATTTGAAAATAGTTGTGGGAGCCCTATAATTCAACATCAGGGACTAACAACATACATTATTTCACTATAAAAAATACCATTGTTTGCCATTAGAATATCTGCAAAGATTGATGCCTCATTCTGATTAGCTATATCATTTGCTATAGTATGATAACACACAGGTTAAGAGAAGAGAATGGAAAGCACACCATGTTGTTTCAATAATACAAAAACTTACTGGATGACAAAAATCTCCTTGCGTCTAAAGAAAAATGAAGAGTATCTGGAAGTAAAATCCATTAACACTTTAGTACATAAACAACATTAGTACTATTCTTATTCAGCTAACAATGTGGAAACAAGGTAATTTTGAAAATCCATGGAGATAATTTATCTGAAGCAGAGTTACTGCAGTGCATTGGCAAGGGTTCTGCCTTCAGAGGATGCTTTGCACTGTTATTAGCAGTACTAAATTCTGCTATCTGAGCAAGTGCCCCGCACAGGACATACCCCAGCCCTTTCATCAATGAGTTCCAGATGATTCCCAGTATGTTTTCTCATCTGTCACCAGCAGCCATTCTTGCGTGCTCTATTTTGAACAGGTTTGTACATGCAATCAGCTTGCTCTGTACCACACACAGACATACACAAAAACCCCGGGTCAACAGCTACAACCTTTCATCTTCCAGCTATTCCTAGTTCTGCAACAGTAGGATATCTGGCTACTAGGGCAAGACTATTTTGGGCTTCTCGTCTTTAAGGAGACTGCCTACCACAGTGTTTCATCTGTGAGACAGCAGGGAAAATACAGACAGGTGAAGAACGTTCACCAAATATTTCTAACACAGTTGGATATCACATATTATTGATATCACCATTATATTTATATTATAATCATCATTGTATATTTATTTGTTGAATAATATCAACATTTCTGAAACTCAAAAAGCAATTCTTCTAATAAATATCTGTGACAAGATTTCTTGTCAGATACAAAATGTGAATTGCTGCATGCATCTTAAATGAGTAGATTTTAGGATAGCCAGTATGCTGAGCTCCACAGAAACCCAGATGTTATGTCAATCCCTTTTTCAAAAAAGACAAATGTTTTCAAAATGTCAATTAACAATGACAGATTTGCTCTTGAGCTAGTTGATTTGTTCTTGAATTAGTTGTCAGGGACTTCCAGGAGTCTGGCTGTTTCAGAAAGCTTGTGCAATTTTGCAGCCTAAACAAAAAATTGGGCCATTAAAAACACTCAGAAATTCTGCATGTTTAAAACATGTAACCCTTCTTTGGCTAACAATTAAACAGTGATTTGCACTTAGATTTTTATCTTGTTGTAAAAAGGGCTTAAGATTAAGTGATTTTCTAAAAGCTAGTGAGAAGTGTCTTGAGGATGGAGGTCATTCTTTGAAAAAGGATCTCAGTGACCTGTGTAAATAAGAACAGCGCAAACACTTCCAAACAAGCAAAGGTCAGAAAGGGGTCATGGCTACAGACCCTTCGGGCTACTGTTTTGCCTAAGGAGTATGCTTACCGTGTAAATCTCTCATCCTTCAGCTCCAGGTCTGCCACTGTGATCAGCTGATCCAGTTTGAATTTTGTGTCAATAATTTCGGCATCTCGTGGGGAGTATGTGCCTCCCTCTTTTTGCTTTTGCCGAATTCTAAATGGAAAATAACAGTGAAAAATACACATGCAAAATATTTAAGGACACATATGTCAATGCTTTGATTTGACAGGCTGAAACTGAAAAATGGTTGCCAAGAATCCTTCCTTGGCTTTTTTTGTTGTCTCCCTCATAACGGTGTAATTTAGTCATTTATGTTGCCTAAAATTCAGAGGAAAGAATCTACATGATGTGTTCTTTTAGTTTTCCTACATAAATTCTTTGGTAATGCCTGAATAATGCAGCTGAGTAAGAACAGAACTGATGAATGAGGAAACTAGCACCATGTGTGCAGTACACATCCTGCTTCTTTACATGGATATTTTGTTCACTACTTGAATTAAAACTCAATTGGTGTTCCCCATGTGAGAATTCAATGTATTTAACTGATAAATTTATTAGGAAAACAGAAAATATAATTGAAATATTTACTTCATACCCAGCTGTAGATAGTATTAGCCATCATGATAACTACAACCAGCTGACGCTCTGATCTGTCAATAGAGAAGTGGCTCTGAAAGGTTAAGAAAGGCCACCACTCTGATTTACCCTCTGGAAAAGTTGAATTTTCTTCATCTATGGAGGTTACCCTCACTAGACTCAATTTTTGTGAGTTCTCTCTCCCTAAAGTTCTACATAAAAAAACAAAACAAAACAACCACCCAACCAAAAAATCAATACATTTTGTAATTACAGATTAGTTGCACTTATAGGACAGTTTCGACTCTTCTTTAAACCATTATTGAGTGTTTTCAAACCAGCTATGGCAAGAATGTATAAATCTCACCTTGCAAAAGCATATACTGCAGCCACCAAAAGAACAACTGAAATTATACATAAAGTAACAGCAAGGACAACTTCTACAGATCTTCCTGTCAGTCCTTCACCTGCAACAGAAAGCAGAAAGCTAATACATCATAGACTCTTTGGAATTTTTAAATTTCTGACCACATGAAATTAGGGAATAATGAAAGACCCTTTCAGTCTCTGTATAACTGCACCCATGTTATGTTTGTTGAAGAGCTGCTTCAGAAAGAAAAGTATAACAAAATGAGAAAGAGTTTATGTAAGGGTTCCTAAGCATTGCTGATCTATCCAACACATTATTTTAATACAGCTGTATGTGCAGGTGTTGCCTGCTGTTTTTCAATTTTGCCTGCTGAACAGGTTAAGGTCAGTCTATAGTGCAGTAACATCAGTCTGAGCCCTGGCCTGAGTTCAGCTCCTGCTTCAGTCTCTGCAGGACTGCTCCAGCTCCTCAAGTGGAAAAGGGAGACACAACTCTAAACAAACAAGACTTGCAGCTGCCACTCACAGACACAAAGTAAAACATACTATTTTTGGAGGTATTTTAAGGGTGCTGAAAGAACTGAACTAATGATGAGATCTGAACTTTATGGATTAATCTGCCTCACTGACCAATAACTCATGCTCCTGGTTTATGTGAGAATTGGTGATATTGTTAGGAATAACCACCAGTAGTAGATCAAAAGTAATCATAAAGGCCTCTATGATAGCAAAGTAAAGGTGTTAGTATTCCAATCAGTCCTTCCAGGTGAGAATGAAAGTTCATTCAAAAATTGATAAACTATTTAGCTTAGTAGTTTCTAGATCTCTTTCTGAACTTCTATAATGCTAAATTTCTGGGGCTCATTTAATTTCCCACCCTTCCTGTGATCCTGTACCTCAAATGAAACTCACCCTATTTTTTGTCTTAGACAACAGTGAAAATAAGAAAAGCAAGGGAATTCTACTGCAGGTATTGTTCCCTTTTGTTGACATTCACCTCCACTTGCTGGTCCACTGTAGAAGAACTTAGCTCCTGTTTAGCCTCAGGGAGAAGGAGAAAATGTACTTTTTCCTGCCATATGAAACTATTTCCCAGACAAGGAATGACACCCTCCCAAGGACACACTGGAAAACACCATTGTCTTGGCTTTTTGGATGATTTTTTGGATTTGAGAGTATATTGCAAATGATCTGGACTGATGTACACAAGAGAATGTGATTAAAATTCAAAATGATCCTGATTTATCTAAAGAAGTCACCTTAAAACAGTAGGATAAACTTTTGTAAGAACAAGTGCATGGTTCTACATGTAGGCAGGAATAATCAGCTACAATAATACAGCATAGGAAGCAGTAGGCTAGTTAGAAATTTATCAGAAGAAAGCACAAGAATACTATAGATTGACACTGACATTAATAAGCAATATCAGGCCTGTATGAAGTGACAGACAACAGAACTCAGTAGAGTTTGAAAAACACCTGAAACAATCCTTCTACTGCATTAGTAAAATTTTAGATGCAACACTGGACATTACAAGGTAAGAAAAAGTTTAATATTCGTTTAAGATAATAGGATAGAAAACCAAGTACATACAAAAATATTTCAATGAGAAAAGGAATGAAAAAGTTCCTGCCACTCAATTTTCACAGTGATAGGGCAAAAGTGTTAGCAAAGTGAAAGAAGAGAAGAATATCCAAAGAAACCTCTACAAAAGTTATATCTATTTTGCACTGCACATTGAAGTCTATGTTAAAATGTGCAATTAACATTAATCCAAAAAATGCAAATGTTATTAAACAAAACATTGCTGGTAGGATGCCAACCAAGAATTAAAACCTCACATTTTCTCATGCTTTTTTGCAACAGGGGAGGACTAAACATATCTTTATAGGAATGTCTGTAGAGATAATCATGGGCATGGAAAAGGAGACAAAATATAGAGAATATTGTGATGTATAATTCTGAAGTACTGCACTCAATACATGATGATAAAAAATTGCAATAATAAAATACCTTAAGGTCAGTTTCTATGCAAAAGACAGTGTCAGGAAATCCCATTTTGATTATTTCCTGTCTCATCAGCTTTATATTTAACATGGAAAAGGTACACTTACACAGAACTACCAGTTGCCCCAGAGTGATCTACAAAACCAATGGAGATTACAAAAAGGTTACAAGCTGCCTTAATGTATTACAAGTTTAAACAGTATTTATCACTGTACCTTAATTATCTTATGGAAAATGCTGACCTTTCATTGTAGCATGGACAATAACTTTGCAATGAGAGTCATGCATTGTGAAGAAGAAACTCCCCCTCTCAAAAAAAGGGGTCAAAAGAAGGTTGTGGTACAACAAATATGATTGGGTGGGTGGGCGCCCTATTAAAATGCATCCTTTACTATAATTAAAAAACATTGCAGCAGCTGTATATTTCCATGACTTCTGCTTCAGTGTTCCTCCCTAACAAAATTCCTATTATCTACAAGAGCATCTGACATGTCTCACAAAATGATTTCTCAAGATTTTCTATATTTTTTTCTGTTTCAAACACATAATATTAAATTGCACCAAAAGATTAACTTGCTTATTTTCCAAATCAAAGATTTTTTATATCAGTAGATTTAGAAACCAGAGCAATGTAGGATTTTTTGAACTGGCATGAATACATCTGCCAAATTTAAATTAATGTTTCAGCTCATAAAATGAAAGTATAATGTTGGAAACCTACATTATTATTAAAGATTATTATTAAAGAAGCTATCTGATTTAAAATAAAATTGCAATTTGGATTACAGACAGCATAAATTTCTCCTGGAGAGCAGCTGATGTTTTGAGTGCAGTAGAAGTAATTGGGTTGCAAAGATTTATAAAAGCTGACTTTTTGGCATCTTTTCTGAATTATATTTCTAGAGCAATCTGCAAGTTCCTATAACAAAGCATCTTCTCTAAGGAAACTCTTGGGCAAGGTTCCTCATGCCATGTGTCAAGAGAGTGCTCTGTCTTCAAGACCGTTCAACTGCAGTAGCTGCATCACTTGTGATATATCAACTTGATGTTGATTTCCCAACACTTGTAAGAAAGCTTTCGAAGAGATTTTGATTATCTATTCCACATAAAATGGAATTACAATGAAATTTAGAAGCTCTGAAATTTAGAAGCTAAGACCAGACAAAAGTATGCTGTAATCTGGCCCTAAAAAGCAGGGCTTGATGTTAAAGTTTAGCATAGAAGGCATTGGATGAGTATGAGGAGACCCATTTCTCCTCATAGCTGGGGAATTTATCCCTGTTTTGGTTTTTTCCCTGCTGCATTTTATTCAGCATACAAACAGATCTTGTTATTTATCGTGTACAAGGTAGAAAATGTTGCAAGTTTTCAGTAACAATACATAAGGCAATGAATTACACTATCTCCCTGCCACTAAGTATTGTGGATTTTTCTGTTAGAAAGGAGAAAATTACCCAGAGGATGGGATACAGTTGGACTCATTTCCAGTAAATTTGTTTTCCCTGATTGGACACACTATCTTTCCCCTACTGGTAAAAATATTTGCTTCATTTACTTAAAACTTTTAAACTCAGAACATATAAAGACAACTTTTATGTTGCACTTTCCAAAGCATTCTGGGCTGGAGAAATAGTACCAGATCCTTTCAGATTATTCAGGTAATGAATTAGCATTTCAGGGTCTTCAGTATCAGATCATGTAACAAATTCCTAAAATTGATTAGATGAATAAGGGAGCTCATATCACAGAAGATGAATGCCAAATGAAAAATATGTGCCCACTAAAATTCTTCTGGGTAGTCATCCAGTTGTCTTGATATCCATTTTCAGAAAGTCAGGGCTAAGGATGAGCTAAGTAAGTTTTTGACTTACAAATATATTAAAAGAACTAACAGATCTTATTGCAATCTGCTACAAGAGATGCCATTCCCAGTTTTGGGGGTATATCAACTTGGCCAAGAAGGAATTATGTTTGATTTCCAACCAAATAACTGCTGGCCTATTTGCTAGTGACTTTAGAACCAGATGGATTCTATTAGACAATATTAATTTATTAATATAGAGCTTTTTCTATATCTAAAGGATGAAGGGGCTAAAGGGTCATGCCCTCAAATGACCTGCCATTAAGCTCACTGAAATATAATAATAGAATCATTTAGATTTGAAAAGACCTTTAAGATCATCAAGTCCTACTGCTAACCCAGCACTGCCAAGGCCACCAGAAATCCAGTCCCTAAGTGCCACATCTACACATTTTTTGAATACCTCCAGTGATAGTGACTACCACTTTCCTTGGCAGCCTGCTCAAATCTTAGCACTATTTCTGTGAAGAAATTTTTCCTTATATCTGACCTAAACCTCCCCTGTCACCACCTTTCCTCTTGTGCTATTGATTGTTACCGGGCAGGAGAGTTCGACATCTATCTTGCCCCAACTTTCTTTGAGGTAGAGAGTGATAAGGTCTCTCCTGAGCTTCCTTTTCTCCTGTCTAAATGACCCCAGCTCCCTCAGCTGCTCCTCACAGGACTTGTGCTCCAGACCCTTCATCAGCTCCATTGCCTTTCCCTGATCATGCTCCAGCACCTCAGTGTTTTTTGTACTGAGGAGCTCAGAAATGGACACAGGACTGAAGGTGTGACCTCACCAGTGCCAAGTACAGGGGGACAATACTTGTACCTGGTCCTGCTGGCCGCAATATTGCCGATCCAGGCCAGGATGCCATTGGCCTTCTTGCCACCTGGGCACAGCTGGCTCATATTAGGCTGCTGTTGCCCAGCACCCTCAGCTGCTTTATCCCTTGGGCATCATTCTGTCCCCAGCCTGTAGCACTGCATGGGGTTGTTGGGACCCAAGTGTAGGACCCAGTACTTATTGAACCTTATCCAGTTGGCCTTGGCCTACTGATCCAGCCTGTCCAGAGCCCTCTGCAGAGCCTTCCTGCCCTCCAGCAGATCAACACTCCTGCTGAACTTGTGTTATCTGCAAACTGACTGAGGGTGTCCTAGATCCCCTCAGCCAGGTCATCAACAGGGACATTAAACAGGACTGGCCAAATAGTGAGCCCTGGGGAATTCCGCTAGGGACCAGCTGCCAGCCAGATGAACTCCATTCAGCCACCATTCTTTGGGCCCGGCCACCCAGTCAATTTGTCATGCATCCAGTACTTGTTCCACATACAACACACAAGGAAACAGCACAAACAGAACAGCTACTGGCAGTTTGCAAAACAAGATGAACTATCCTGGCAACATTTGTACTGGTATAATTGAATCTCTGCAAACAAACTCTGTCAATAATGCCTCTTCATTTAACAGTCCAGGCTGTAGAATCCCTTGACTACCTCAAAAGGACATACAAGGCAATGGATATATTTCTTCAGTCATTCTAGTTGAACTGCATCCAACAACGTAGAGATTACTGACTTTGTGGAAACCACTGTATTAAAAAGAAGCATAGAATTGTGTAGACTTCAGAGAAATACTTTAGTAAATTACAATCTTCTTACCCAATGTTTTGACAGGGTCAGAATAGTCAGAATCTGTAAACTGCCCTTTAATGTTAGTTGCTCTGAACTTAAATCTGTGAAAGAAAACCAGGAGAAGTAATGAAATAAAGTTGATGCGCATTTTCTTAAATATGGTTTCACTTACAAACTAAAAAAATATATTTAAGTTTAGTATAACATAATTTTAAATCATTATTCACCTGCAAAAGTGACATTATGACAGACAGCAAGAAGTGTGTCAAAATCTGAAATGTATAAAAAACCCCAATGTGAATTACTTGTCTCAAATTTGGATTTAATTTAATAACTCAATAAGCATCTTTTTTTCCTTGAAAATTTTGTTTAAAAATTGGATACATATGACGACCAGTTTTCCTCCTTTTCTAATTTAACTGTATGTTTTGAGTGTTTGCATAAATCTATATTGTACTTAAATCTTTCTCTTGGAAAAACATGAAGACAAATGTACTTACAGGTACTGCCTTCTTGGTTTCAGTGGGCCATTGCATATTTTGTCTTGACTGCCTGATATCAGACATGTAGTATCAGCACCTATGACATATATCTCTTCTTTCCCACTCAGATCTTCTTTTCCTTCTATGCATGGTGGGTTTGGAAAACCCTCATTTGTAAAATATGGCCTTGGTCTGTTGAAGTAGGCATCATACCACTTGGTAACATTCCCATCATGCTGAGCTATTGTCAAGAAAAGAAATCACAGATATAATTTACATTCCAAGCAGACTGCAATTAAAGAAGTTACATAGGAAGTTAATTTTTAAGAGCTCAGCATGCTATTGGTGCAATTTACACAAATAAGCCTATAACTGAATTTCCACTTAAACCTAAATTTCCTTACTATCCACACTATCCATGTTTTGTTAACTCTGAGTAAGCCAACTAAATCACAGCTAGAAAAACTGAGGGGCAATTTCACACAGTAGTTCTGCCTGTAGGGGATATTATTTGCACAAGACGCTCGACTTTGAAACTGAGCATGGCTAGCTAGCTAGCAAAGGATTATTTCACAATTAAATTACTAGATATCCACACGTGGATAGTACCCAGCAGCTCATGAGAAAAATCTTCACAATGTGGCTTAGCATGGTATTCATTTATCTTTCAGTTCAAGAGACTCTTCACTGCAATAGTTACGAACTAAGTGTCATTAGCATTAGTGCTAAAATTCAAAATTCAGAAGAAGGTGAGACGCATAAGGTGTGTTCACTTAATGTGCATACTTAACTTCTATACTTTGAAACCAAGTAAAAATAGGGTATTTAAATACCTGGAGTCTGTCCTTCTTAGGAAAAGTAAGCCTGACCCTGAGCTGTCCTATCATAAAACTCCCACTCACATTGGTAAGCAATTACTCAAAAGGTTTCACAGCACTGTTCACACACGTAAATGTTCATCAGCCCATACAAGGGAATAAACATTCTTACCCACAGTGTGCAGAGGGGATTTATATAACTCTCTGCCCCCATAATGAAATGGAAATATCAACTGCACATGGCTGCATTCCTTTACAGGCAACACTAATAGCAACAGAAGAATAACCTTGCCAAACTCCAAAAGTCGCATATTTATTTATACTCACAAATGTGAAATGCTGCAGTGGTTTTCAACGAAACAGAAAATAAAGAACTGTAGTGATAAAATTAGGGACTGAATAATATCGGTGGCTTAAACAGCATGGAAGACACTTCACTGGAAATCATTCCCAGAATCCAGTACCCAGCCCACAGGTATTGTGTGCCCTTAGTGCTGTTGCCACAGCAGAAGTGACTTTGTTGTCTGTCTTCTAAAATGAAATTACTGAAATCCAAGAAACAAATTAAAAAGACAAACAGCCTCAACCTGAAAAGAGTTTTCAAGGGAATTTATTAAACTCTACCTCCAGCTTCCACAACAAGGACTTGTATCTTCTTGATAGGGCCATGATCATCACTGTAATAACATATTGGCATTCTGATTGTAATTGTTGTATCTGTGACAAGTAATGCTCCATTGGTATCATAAACTGGTGCTGGTTTCTTTTTGGGCCTTGGTGGTTCTGTTTTTAAGAAAAGATATACCACATAGTTCTGTTTTACAATATTTTCACTGGAGGTACGTTGTTAAGGCACACAGCTGAGTTATGCAAAAAAAAATCTCCAGCATATTTTCAGGGACAACTTAATGTTTCACTTACTGTCTTAAACCTCTAAAAACTATATTCTGATAAATGCCTACATATATAATTTTCAATTAAAAGAAAAAACAGTAAAAAGAGTGATTTTAATTTTTCCATTAATATCAATCAATAACTTTGACAACTGTGATACTGCATACTTAGCTATTCCTATGTCATATCCTAAGTTGTTTGCTGATAGTGATTGAAATATTGAACTTGATATGATTATTTCAATGAGTCTGCATGTGTTTGACAGTATGCTTCTGATACAAATAGTAAATGATCAGAAAAATGAACACTACAATTCAAGGGGATCAATTATACATTCCTGTTCCTATATTATGCATCCCCTAAATACTAGCTCAAGGCACACAGCTGTGTAATCACAGGTGGAAGAGCAATTACTTCAGAATTTATAGAGATTTCAGACGCAGCATACTTTATGGGACATACCTTTGATATCCATGGTTATTTTCAATTGAATTTTTGGCCCTGCACCAGCACCATTAATTGCATACACCTTAAAAAACAAACATTTGTTTTAATGAGTATTTTAATAGCTTCATATTTGACAATTCTGGATATATCTGTAGCAACAATAAATGCTGAAACACTCCTTTTGTCATTCACACTAGGCTAGAACTTACTTTATATTGCTTTGAAATCTTAAGTGTGGTAACACTTCATTGCTTATTCATTGCAGGATGCAGCTCTTAAAAAAGGAGTAAGTAATTTCACTCAAAGAATGATCATTCCTTGTCTTGTGTCCCAGCCTCTGACTATTTCAAAGTACTTCATGCACATACTTCTAGCAAGCTCTCCTTGCAGAACTGGACCTTTCATGTCCAGTGAGCAATGCCAGTACTGGAATTAAGAGAGACATTTAGGCTTGTGCTTGTGACTATGTGTCACAAATTGCTTTGCTACATGAACTGATCATCCAAACCAGTGATGCATCCTGCTCCCACTTGCTGTATCCTGTTCATTGCTCCCCACGTTCCTCTCACTTGCCTCTCTTTGCACCCCAGCTAACATTCTTGGCATGAAAATCTCATATTCAGCCAAAGTTTCAAACTAATCTCACACTTATATCAAAGAAAAAGAAATACTTCCCCCCCCCCCCGTTGCCCAACAAATGTATCAGTTCTTACGCTGACATTATAGGTATGTCCTCCTTTAAGTCCTTCTATCATGGCAGTGACTGACTGATCTTTTTTTTTAATGACACTAAGGTTGTGGATCTGGATGGCAGCAGGGTCATCTTCATTGTAAACCATAGCTTGATACACTTGAATATTTCCATTTGGTTCAGATGGTGGCACAAATGTTACTTGGAATTTTGTTACTTCATCTGGTATCTTCTGAAAAGTTATGTTGTTAGGTGGGTCTTCAGGCACTGAAATAAATATTTCAATGACCCACTTAATCAGTTTACTACTATTACTATTAGAGTAAAATCTGAAAAATTAAAATTATATTTTTTGTATATCAGTATTATTTCATTGATATTTTCTGGGTTGAATTAAAAATTCTCAAATACTTATTGCATATTAACACAATAAATACTTACTGTATCATAAACACAATAAAAAGTCAAATATCTACTGAAATCCTCTTCCTAATGATGGTACTGAATGCTACAAACTTTTAAAATAATGATTAGATAACAGTAGTGATTACTCAGAAATTTTTTTTCCTGATTATCTATTTAAAAAGCCTGAAAGCATCATTATACCTCAAAACACATCTGGGGTTGACAAATCCTTGCACAAGGTGACAAGCAGGAAGCACGAGTCAGTGAGTATTCCTTTCTGAAAACAGCAGAGTATTCCTCTGTTAACATCAAGCTCTCTCCCAACATATAAACAAGCCACTGTGCTCCTAAGGGTCTCTACTTTTCACAACTAAATCTTTGGGAAAATTTTTCCACTAACTGACACCCAGACACAAAGCACAACATGCATTTTTCCAGGAGGCAGTATCTTGTCAAATGCTGATTCCAGTAGCTTATTCTGAAGACAGCAGAGGTATAAATCATTTTCCCGATGTCCCTATCTGAAGGAAAAGGCTGTAACGTTCTTTCCAGGCAGCTAAATATTTATTGCTCTACCTGAGAAGACAAGGATGTGGCGTGACCTCTAAATAGTGAAATCAAGCAATGGAAGGTAAACATATTCCCTCAGCCAAGGAGTTAGATGCAGTCGTCCTATTTCCCAGGTTTTTTATACCAGCCAACAAATGCTTACTGAGGCTTCTCTGCAATAAGTCTGTGTCAACTGGTCCTGACTAAGCCATATGCTAAGCTGAACAAACCAGATGAAATGAGATGGAAAAAAATAAACCTGTTTGTCTCCAATTTTACTGCACCTCCTAATGTATCACATACTCATATAAGGAAGAGAGCTACCAGAAAAGGCACCACAGGATGCTGTCTGTCTCAGAATAGACCCAGCTACCACATAGCCACCCCTTTTTCCACAGCAAAACAGCATATGATCTTCCAGGCATAGAAATAGGTAATGAAATAATTAGAATTTATCTTATTTAAAACATTGGAGATATCTATATCATCTATATCTATATCTATCTATACACATACATATCATATGCATATAGTATCATTTCAATAGGGACCTTGGATTTTCATACATCAAAGGAAAGATAGATGATAAATAAAGTCACTTTGTAGTACATTTAAATCTGACATTAACCTGAGTAGGTAACTAAAAAGTTGTTCTGCAGCAGACCCTCTAGAGATAAGGTAATTATGCTTTATACACAGATGATAATTCGTTAGAATGAAACAGAACGTCAATACCTCTTGAGAAAATATTTTTAGTGTTTTGCTTGTTTGCTGGTTTAAACAATGGAAAACAATTCAAAAACAGCAAAGAGAGTAGACAGACGATAATCATAATCTATGTATGTAAAGTTAGGACTAAGTTTTCCCCACGTACATATTTATATTTCTGTACTATTTAAAGCTTTCTAAGCAAATGCAAATGCTGTCTACTTTTATTTAACATCTCATTTCTCAGTTTTATTTCTCTGACTAACTTAACAGCATTATCTATTTTTGTCACCTTAATATCTAGCTCAGTCTCCAGATCGTTTAGAATCTGTGGAAGAGCTAATTCAAGCAAAGTTTCCTATGGGCCTTCACTAGCAACCTCCTTCCACAGAGAATACACAGATAATGTCCTCAAGTCTGCACAGATACCACTTATAAACGGTAGGATTCACTTCACCTAATTTTTAATGTTTAAATTTTGCACCAAAACCAAGGACGTTGTGTGAAGTTTTCAGTAGTCTCTTAACAGGTACCTCCACAAAGGAGTCACCCCTGACTAAGACAGGCATCTCATATACACATGGTAATGTATAGATAGAACCTCTCTCTTCATTACCCATAGAAGTAATCTAGTTGGCTGTGTTCCACAAAGCCAAATTTTACGTGGAGCAAGATAGGATCCAGCATAACTGAAGGTAAATCTTAGTATTTATAACCATTCCTTTTTTGTTGTCTTGACAACTTTTTAAATATTAAAGAAAAAATATTGTGAGAACAAATCTGTATTAAAAGCCCACATTGTGTTTAAAGTCCTCATGTATTTGCCAAATTAAAGAAAAACTGTGAATTTTGATCTGTATAAAGTAGAAAAATATTACAAACCTGCTTCAAAAGTGGAGACAATTACAGGGGAACTAGGCTTGCCTTCTAGGAGTGCAGCATTAACATCCCCTGTGAAGGCAATGATCACTACAGAATACCTTGTAAATGCTTTCAAATCAGAAATTTCTAAGATTTTATCCTCCTCATTTGTCTTCAAAAACTGAGCTTTGTAGTTGTCATTATCCACCTGTAAAAAACCAGTAAAATAAAAAAAAAAAGTTGTTACAAGGCTTGAAACAGCAAAAGCAGGAAATTATTATTTTGTTATCTTATTAAAGTTTTATTATTCCACTTCCCTAACTAGTTATATAGAAGGGGTCACAAGGAGTCTCTGGATCCCAAGTGTACAAAGCTGTGCTGGGGAATCCACTCCCATCTAACCCATGTGCTCCTTTCTGGCACTTCATGTAGTTTGTGCTTAAGGGAATGGGCTCTTTGGTTGGTGCTGCCTCACACCAAGCAAACATGAACCAATTTGGAGACACTGGGCCAACGCAATTATGGTGACCTGAAACAGGCATCAAACTAGGCAAAGATCCAGAAGATGAGCATCTCTATATCAGAAGATTGTTTGGAATACTATTAGAAAGTTGGGCAGCAACATATAATGTTGATTCAACATTGGAAGGTGCAATTCTTCTTTGGATATATTCATAGAAGCTCTTTTTCATGAGACAATTGGGAAGGATTAATTCTCCCAGCAGGAACCTGGAAAGATTTAAGGTTCATTCTAAAAATGGGTGGACTATAGGAGACCTAGTAATAACTTTAAAATACAAAAAAAGTGTTAATAAACTGAAGATAAGCCACTGTTTACAGTGTTCACAAAAATACAAATAGAAATTTTGCTTACCCAAAAACCAAACAGAAATAAAAATTACACAATCTGCATTGATAGACCTAAAAGTGTAACTAAAACCGTGACTAGGAATCTAGTTATCAGGTAAAATAATATGTTGAGGGTTGCTGAGCAATTTTCAGCACTGGATATTTTATGAAAAAGACAATTAATAGTTTTTGAGGAACACTTTAGGTACACTTGTTTCTGTGTTAGAGCAGGCTACAGGTTGAATTACATTGTGGATACTTCTGATCTTTACAACTCAAATAATCTGTAGTTCTGTAGAAAAATCTCCTGTGTTGGACTTTATATCCAATTAATCACTTCTAAGGGTATCTTCAAAAACAACAAAAAGGACAAAATGGGTGCTTTTCTAGTGTTTCATCAAATATCAATTACAAAATTTTATTTATGTATATTCCCACTGCTTCAGTTAATAATGTTTTTATTATTGTTTCTTCAGTGTGTAATTTGAAAAGAGAATTAGGTAGCTGTACAGTAGTTTTCCCACTGAACAAAATCTGTATTAAATGCAGCTGATAAAACATTAGAACAGCTCAAGCATACCATTTATTTGACAGATAGGCATATATCCCCACTGAGAATTAACCTGAACTAAACTTTCTGATGAATTACACAGACATTCATTTCCTGGGATGGCCATCAAGAGCTGAAACATTTTCTTCTTTCTGACTATCAAGAATCTGGCATATAAATATTTATGCAACAGCTAAAGTACAATCACAGCACTACACCACTAAATTTATTTCTATTCTCCATGAATTTTAATGGTTAAATTCCATTTTCCTTACCTATTTCCATGAATATTTTATTCAGAATTACTCATTCAGAATTACAGTACAACAAACTAAAACATGACTATGAGGAAAAATAATGGAGTAGTATTTAGCTTTTCTGATCCTTAAAGCTGCAAGGCACATCCTAGTAATTTAAGCAGAATCCTAATATTCCTATTCAGTTATGAATACTAATCATTAACTTTTAGTATATAACAGAGGAGAAATCCAAATTATTCTGTTCCATTGTGCTATTTTTATAAATATTTAAAGATACTCAGCTGAGAATAAGAACAAGTAAAATTATACATACTGGAAATTTGTGGAATTTGGAGTCTTCATAAAACTTTCCCACTGGGACAATAAAATATATACTAAAAATTTCACCCAGAAAGACTGGGACAGCTTTACTGGTCTTTAGGAAGGAAGAGGTTTGTCTACTAAAATTCTCCAGAACTGGCACCTGTAGTGCCAGTCATTAGACTGACAACATCTAATTACAGGGAATCCATAAACATAAACCTGGTTATCTGAAATATACTTTGAAAAACCCAAAAAATTCACTTTGTAAACACGGGCTCTCCAAAGTGAAGATTTAAAACAGTTTTTTAAGTTCCTTTCAAATGCTGGCAAGTTCACACAGAACAACAGAACATTCCATAGATCATCTTCCTTCAGGAATTTTATTATAACTTATATTGATAAGGTATTTATAATATTTTTAGAGTGTAGATTGAGATGATATCATTGGTAACTTTGGAATTATCAGACAGAGAGGAAATTGTTTCAATGCAAATTGATAAAATATTAAATCCCAAAAAATTCAAGCTTTGAAAACTTAATTTTTAAGTTTTATAAAACCCATGAAATGTTCCCCTGCTGATGCACTAAAATGCTGCTTAGTCAAAAATGACAGGAATTCTTTACAAGGAAGAAGTATTCTCTTACTTTATTAGGGAGGAAATAAAACTTGCTATGTAGTTTTTAGTGACCTACCCGTTGGGCCAAGCAATCATCCCTGTAAGTCCTCCCCTTGTCATACATCCTTCATCCTGCCATTCTATTGCTGCACTAAGCCTGTTCAGAACTGAACAGATTTCTCTCTGCATGTTGTACAATGAACTTAGAGGAAGAGAAGATTACAGGACTACACATTACTCTTTCTTGTAACTTTTCTGAGTAGTTTAAAAATATTTGGGTTTTTTTTTAAACTAATATCCTTAGACATTTTGATAGCAGAAATAGCTCAGCATTAATATATTAGCAGATCAGTAATCCTTATGACACATTCAGAAAAATTAAATATACACACATAGTCTTACTCTCTTCTCAGAAAACTTAAATGCCTTAAATAGTGTTTAAAGGCCTTAAATAGTTTGAAGTAGACTTTAAATTTTTTTTTCCTACTATCAAACAGAATGATTCAAAATTTTTGAAGCTGTAAACAGCAATTTTGCTCAGGTAACATCTGGTAACCTACATTTTATTTACACTTACAGCCCTGTCTGTATAATTCCTGGCAGAACATGGAACTTATATTCTACTTTTCATGGGCTTGAATTTAGAAAGATGCCTATCTTGTCACAGGGCAGGAAATGGGATTTATTAATGGTGGGTTTAAGGAGTTTTGTAAGTGCAGTAGAGGATGAAAAGAGAAAAGCCACCAGAGTTTTCCTCTTATGTCAGCTTTTTTTGGTTATAAAGATCAAGGAGAAAGAAGTGTTATTACTGTGCTTCCAAAATAGGACTAATCTGATGGACAGAGCACCAAGTGCAAAGTGGAAAATCTAGCTTGACTTTAAAGTTTGCCCTCTGGTGCTGTGTAACTTGGTACAAGTAATTTCCTTTTGCTAGGCTCTCCGTTTTTTTGGTTTGTAAAATCACTGCGATGAACCTTTCCTTCCTTTGAAGAAGAAAAGGTCATTATGGTTAAAAAGAGGTCCACTTCCACTAAGCTCAACTACTATTCTCCTGTGTACATTTACAGGTACACTTTTTTCCCTGCAAGATCTCTTATTAGCACATTTTTTAATATGAACCAATGATTTTATCTCCTATTAATAAATGAATAAATGTACAATTAATTCTTAAGAGGAATTTCTGTGGAAATAGACACACTTAAATGGTTTCCAACACACTTATGTCTGTAGTGCAATTTCTGTTGCTGTGGTATTGATGTCCCCAACCATCTGTATAAGCTCTGAGTAAACAGGGTTGCCTTACTGAGGTAACATCTATGAGGTAGCTCGTTGGTCCTGTAATGATGGCAGGTTCACTCCAGCTGACATTAATACTGTGAGGAGATGTAGCTAAAACAGTCACATTTTCTGGAGGACCATCTGGAGCTGTAGATAAAAAAAAAAGTATATGTGAATGAATCATGGCCAACAAAGTGCACAAAAAATAACCCAGTATAATTTTAATGTCCAGTGGAGGTTTGAAAATAAAACTTTATCTCACAATTAAGATTACACACTGCTTAAATAACTATAATTTTTCTCTTTTTTTCATATGTAAATCAAACTGTGTGATTTAGAAATACATCTTTCATTATAGCCAGTACAATTTTTCTAGAGTATGGACTGCCCATGACTTCATTTTAAATTGAGACTATGGGGTTATTTAATTGCAAGTTCTTTATAAGTATTTCACATGACACAAGCATAATATATGCAAATATTCATACAAATAGTCAAGTATATTTGTTTATGTCAAATGAATCATTCCAAGAACAAGAAATTGTGAAAAGACATAAAATTCTGAATGCCAGAAAAAATTTCCAGCAGTATCAGAAAGTAGAAGTAGAAATAATTTTCTGCATTTCCTTTCAATTTATTCTTAGCATGTTGGGAAAATACAGAAAACCCAAACAAAAGAAGTGGTAAGAATTGCAAGAGGGCAAGAATGCTCACATTAAGAAATGAGATTTCCCTAAAATTTCCATTTGTTGAGCTGATATGTGAATTAACCTAGTTATTTCTTATTCATGAACAAGAAATTTATGAAATCATAATAACAACTCAGCAATTCTCAGCAAATGGTATTATTTTTTCATAATAACCATTTAAATTTCAGGGAAATGCAATTTGGAGTAGAATGACAACAGATTTGTAGATAATCACAGAACTTGGCTCCAGGGTGCCTTGCTTTTGGATGCACTACAAAAAAAGAGACAACTGTATCACTGAGCAGCCTGGCAAAAAACAAAAAAGTATTTGTGTGTATTTCCACAACTTGACTTCATTGTGCCTTCTTTTCAATCTACCACAAAAAATCCGTATCAGTCAACAGTATATTATAAAAAATTACTGAAGCAATCATAGCTATGCTATCAGAAGATGCAGCCTCTTTTCTCAAACAAGATTAACACATAAATATGTAGTTTTCCACTATTTAACCATTAAGTAAGAGGGCTAAATGAGGAAAAAAATTGGAGTATGTAAGAAGCTATTTAGTTCTTCAGGGAGAACAGGGTAGGAAAAAGAAAAGAACACGGAAAGAAGTATGTAGCTGTTGCAGTTATGTGTGAAAGATTAATGAGGAAAATAATAAAATTTTGCACTAAGAAGGTGAAAATTTGGCACCATCGTTGCAGAATAAAAGAGAAATATTTGGGATTAGGTAAGGTACTGAAATGAATTTGGGATGTTGGATACAGGAATTAGATTCTCGTGCTGGGATTAGCAGGAATATACAAGACTTTATAGGCAGGATCAAATTCAACCATTGGAAGCAGTCCCCAAAAATACTGAAGAGTATGGAACAAATGAATGGAGTGTAACTGAATGAACTGTGAGTGCACATGGGGGGTGGCAAAAGAGGAGAGTGCTCAGAGCAGGCTGGCTGTCAAGTGGGGAGCTACAAAAAATAAAACAAAATACAAGGGAAAGCATTGTCCCTGAAAATTAGAATAAGCACAAATTCTATTTTTCAGGTAATGCATGTCAGGCTTGTTACCAAACAGCCTTTCAGTGTAAACAATGCTTCTAGTAACTATGACAATGATATTTATCAGCTTTATTGCAAAAGGAAATTTCTGAAAAACAGTATAAAAGTATATATATATATGTACATATATATACAGTTCTTGGGCCTTAGTTTTCATACAAACCAAGTTTCCAAAGACCATTTTCCATTGTTTTTTATAGAACTAATGGACTCTGCAGTTATGCAGAGATGGTGTGAAATAATTTTAAAGCATAATCTCATCTACAAATTATACAGTCTGCAGTTATTTACGTGGTTAATTTCCATATGCAGTTTATATTTGATATATTTGTAGATATTTGCAAGAAAATTCTGATTGACTGTGCTATATTTAAGTTACTTGTCTAAAATACATCTAAATATTAGTACATGGTTTATTTTCATTATGCAAAGTAAAATATCAGACATTAACCAAATAATACTGAAATATAGGAATATTTTCTGAAATTGTATGTATAACTGGGGAGAAAACCAGAAAATGAAAGGTATCTGACATGTATTATGTCTTACAAAAAACATCTTTTTTTAATCTCTGTTTGATTCAGTGGATGACTGCCACATTCTGATTTAGGTTTGTTTGTGAAATGAATCTGGTCAGTATGAAGCCATGATATCACTACCCCCTTTCTCTTATAAATCACAGCAATTTACTCTGGAGAAATGACCTAGTCTTATTCTCTCATTCCCCCATAATCCAATCACTTCCTCTCATAAGCACTTTTCTCCTGGTTTTCACAATAATGCATTTTCTGTAACTAATAACCATCATTTCCTGATTATCATGCTTCTATCCTTGCACAGGAATGTGGGTCTTATGGAGGTCAGGGTCATCTTTCCCATCCATCTGTGTCCTGATGCTAAGGCAGCAGTTAAGTGTGTTAGTTTGAAGATAAGTCTGGATAGCCCATCATTTAGCATAATCTTCAAAAATAAGACTGAATACTCCAGTTTTCTAACAGAAATTTATGCTTGCCAGTTTGGTTAGGATCAGCTCCTTTTTTTTCCTTTTCCCAGTAAAAATAAAGTGTGTGCTTCAGTTACTTATTTTTTAATCATCTGGGTTATTTTTATGTAGTTTTGAACAGTTATATTTTATATTAGCCCATAATTATTTTCAAATGTTTACTTTTAAGGAAATGTAACAAAAAGAAACACATTCTCCCAGGCAAATCTTTCCAGAAGAAAGCACACATAACAAGACATAAAATCTCATTACTTTTCATCACACAGAAACATTTCTTTAACAGTACCAAGCAACTGGGTATCAGCAGGGACTGGGAAAGAAGGCGCTGAAAAGAGAAGCATAAACCTCTGCCCCATGCTTGTATGTCCTGGCCTTCATGGGACATTGGAACATCTGGGATTTTCCTTTGTACCTCAGTGTATCCTGGCATTAGGGGACTTGGCAGTTTACCAAAAAGCATTGTATTGTGTAATTGTATGAGATCCAAAATGAGGTCAGTGATCTCACTGTCATTCATTTTCCATCTAACCCTCCACGATTATTTTTCTGTCAGAAAACCTAAGTTCAGCCAATCTTGTTCTTCTCAAAAATGTAAAAGTGAAACTTGGGGTAAGTGTAGGGGTGAAGGAACAAAGTTTCCATAGCTATGGAAAACATTTCTTGCCCTTTCCCTTACTGTGATACAACACTGTGATCTTCTGTGCTGGTAACTATATAAATCTAAGTTATGATGGAAATATTTAATCTTGTAGAATAGATTTGGCTCTTGGGCAATCAATCAGCTAAGTAATAATGGCGCCATCACACTACTTTATGAGACAGTAAGACAATTCCTGTGAGATTAATCTGCAGGATGGAAGGCTGAATAGTTTATCTGTGTGATGTGAGAACTGGGCTGCATTAGCAATCCATAGTATTTTCACAGAGTAACTCTATAACCACTCACGGTACAGAACAGTGACATTATTTTTTGTTTGAGACTTGCAAATAAGTTAGAGAATCTTGAAAATAATTCCTATAGTCATACATTATTCTTCATAATGAACAACTGAAAAAAACAGCTAAGATCCTCACCTTACACCCTGGATAGTCAGAATTATTAGGTATTTCTGCTTTAGCACAGCAATCAAATCCTCAGAACTTGTAAAAAATATTTAGGAATTATTTTATGTAATTTCTGCTGCTCTTGAGGTTTCTTCTCTTTATATTCTGGGAAATGAGTCTAACAGTTTTCACCTTATATGCTTCTCCTGAATATGATTATAAATAACTTTCTGAATATGATACGGGAATATTTTCTTTAGGCTTGAGAGAAACACAAATTTCTGAGAACTCAATGAATTATGAAGAAAAAATCCTTTAACTATTATTTCACAACAAAAGTAACTTTACCTTTGGTAGAAGCAATGTCTTACAGAGGCACTTCTTGAAAATCAAGTGAAACAGTGCCTAACTTCTGCCCTCAAATGTGCAAACACAACTCTCATTGATTTTATGGGCTAAGTACTCAGGGTATTTTACATAGCAGCTAAGTGCTCTTAAGCCCTAACAGACCAAGTATATTGGCTGTGTATCAGCAGGCTAATCCAAAGGATGCTTGGCCCTGTTCATGAGGGAAAGGAGAGGGAGATCAACACCTGTTTTCTGTTACAAGGCTGCCCAGAGTGCCGATTCTGCTTGGTGCATTCTGAATTGCTCTTTCCTGCTATAGGCTGTAGCCTTTGCAAAATAAAGAGCAGAACTGAGGAGATTTTTAACAGCAATTCTAAAAACTAGGCTTTGAGAAGTATGGGATACCTAGAAACCTGCCCTTGCTAAAGATCAGCCGGCGCTCATGGAGGCTCCTAGCACTGCTGAAGCACGACAGAGCTGCCAGCTGGTTACCCAGATGTGTCATGTCACCTTTGTCTTCTTTTTCCTTCTCAGCTGATTGCCATTACCCCAGAAAAAGACCAGTGCCCAGACATGACGTTTGGAATAGTGCCATGCTGCCTTGACTCCACAGCGGTGTGTTTTATAGGCAGCTTATCTCCTGATGTGTCGCCAGCCTAACTCCCTGGAAATTCATTGCTGCCTACTTCCATCACCACAGATACAGGCCAGCAGCCCCAGACACTGGGCTGGAAGAACTGGTGGAACCTTTATACTTTCTACCCCACCACTTGTAAACCATCTAATAGAACACACAGAGGACCTGCTGCTGAGAATAGCACTGAATTGGAATGGAAAGGGCTCATGCGGTCTATTGAGATGGTTATACTTTGATCTACCATCCTCTCAGTGGGGCTGGATAGGAAAGTAGCTCTGTCTTAAACCAAATCATCACTCTCTGAAGAGGAAATCATAAAAAGCATCTTAACTGTATGCAATTATATGTGTTTTCATTATCTGCTTCCTCTTCCAGTTTAAATCCCTAACTTTTTTTTAACTCTGCAACAATTATTTTTTAAGTCTTTGCATACATCAGCAGCTGAGTTCTATCATTTTAATAGTAAGAAATATCCCCAGAGCTGCTGGCTCAAGAGTAGCTCAAGTTGTGGAGAACTTCTGTTATCTATCTTCTGCTCCATTTGTGTTTGTTGGGTTTTTCTTTCCCTTAATTTAAAATGTTGCTCTGATTTACAGGCAGAGCTTTGCCATGAGTCACCGGACAAAGAAAGTAAGTGCACATGAGAATGACTCTGCAGCTGATTCCAGCACTTCTCAATCCAAAGGACTACTTCTGAGCTTTATAAAAAATAAGGCTGTTAGGATGTTTACTATCACAGTGTCTACACATCACATGATTATAAAAACCTGAGTGGGACAAGGCAAATATCTAGACCACTGAGTAATCCTTGATACACAGCTCTTTAAGTACCTGTTAGCTATATTATTATTATTATTATTATTATTATTATTATTATTATTATTATTATTATTATTATTTTGAAAGGGGAAATTACTAAAAGAGCTCTGATTGAGTCAGGCTATCCTTGGTGATTCTCAGTGGTTCTGCAGACACCAGATCTCAGGCATTCTCTGTCCTAGGATGGCTGCAAACTGGTAGGGAGGATCATATATTCCCATGACAACCGCCTAAATAATTTATGTTTCATGTCCCCTTCTCTCAAATATTTTGTGCTGACTTATTTATGACAACTACCTCTTCTCTTACTTGGAAACTTAAATCCTCAGCTGAGGCATGAGAGTTCTAATATGTGTCAAGGCAATCCTGTACATGTTTCATGGCTACTCTGATTAGTAAACTCTGTAGGTGGATATGGTTTTAGTAAGAAATCTTAATCCCTCAGAAACTATTGCTTAAATTCCATTGCCAAAAACAAACAACAGCATTTCCAGAAAGTTTTACAATTTAATGAACAGACTTTTAGTCAAAGAATTTAAAGAATATTTTTTTCATTGGCACACCCCACAAGTGAAATTGTATTGAAAAATGGCATATCAACTCATACCAGCAAAAATTCAGACTTACCAAGTCTACACAGGTAGTACAGCTGAGGATTGAAATACTGTTGGGTAAGCAGTAAATATAAAAGAGTACACAAAATACATTGAAATACCAGTCAGTATAAGGTATGTATACCTACCACACAATTTATATATATATATACATGCACACACACACACACACACACACACACACACATATATATATATATATATATATATATATACACACACACACACATATATATATATAGTAGGTCAAGAGTAGCTATAAATCCTTATTGTCTCTGAAGAAATAACTTCAACAAGAGTTCTTGTTATTTAAATGAACATCACATTGTTATAGCATTATGAGACATGGCAGACATCCTTACTTACAGCCAGGAAGGGTTTGAGTTGAAATCCAAGGTGAAGAACTGCCATAACCAACATTTGTACTGGCAGCAACAGCAAATCTGTACCATCTGTATTTTTTCAGTTCATACACTGTGTCTTCTATCCAGTCATCCATGACATTTTCATATAAATACTGATGCATCTCATATTCAATACATTCCATAGCCTCCCAGTCACTGCAGTGGATGGATTGTAGCTGTGTGGTAATCTTGTAGTTTTGAAAGTAGCCAAGGATAGATTTTGGTGATCTCCAATGCAAGGTCACACTTGTTGATTGCACATTGGAAAATACAATATCTCTGGGTGCACTAGGAACTATAGATTAAAACACTTGTAAGAGACCTTAATTTGAATGAAAAGTGATTGCAACTATACGACTTTTATCCACTGTTGAAAACATATTTTAATAAGCACATCTAAAGATCAAGATTCAAATTAATATGTTTAATAAGAAATACTTCCAATGGCATAAATCACAGTGTACATATTTAGGTAGCATATGTTAACTACAGCTTTTGAAATAAAGAAAAAAATATTCTTGCAGGCATGGAATGTAGAACCAGTTTAGAGAGATGTTACATTTCTATTGCTACTTTTGGGGCACTGTCTCAACTAATAGAGGGAATATTACACAAAGTTATTTTTCTGTGCTAAAACCCACAGCATGTTTTACTGTGGGTTCTAACTGAGGTTCTTCAGCCCTCATTTAGAAATACTCATGTATCTCCTCCTCTCTTGCTAATATGTGAAATCCTCACACAACACATCAAGGTAAGTTTTGTAAATCTCCCGTTTCACCTTCTGAACGAATACGTTTCTCTGGCATTATAGAAGCGCTTTACAAGAACATTAAGAGAAAGAGCTGAATAAAAGATAAAATAAGCTTCCCACAAATTTTGCTTCCACTTATTTGTAAGAAGTTATATTCAGATCCATGAGACAGAAGCAGTGCATATATGTACATACATATGCATGTACACGCACTTACCCTGTCTATACTGAGTCAGCAGCGCACTCCCAGATTTCACAGAGCAGTTGGACATATGGTTTTGTGCTATATCACATAGTCATAGAGAAAGCTAATATTATCTCTAAGACTCTGTAAGATAATACTAATACTCTCTATGGCAAAAAACTGAGCAGAAAAATCAGCTCAGAAATCATTGTGTGCACATAGCTTTAAAGAGTGCTTTAGAGTCTTTGGGGGAAGAGGTATCACTGGCAAAAGAAAAACACATGATACATCCTCAAACTGAAACTGAAGAAATCCCAAGGCTTACATAAAGAGGAAAAGGATCCCAGACCAATGTTACTGGGGAAGAGAAAACACCCCTTTTTCTTTTCTTTCAGCCCTATGGGAATATCTGATGTTTGATTTTGTCTGCAACAATTTGTTTGTTAAAATTATCACAATATAATAAGATAAAACTTCTCCACTAAATATGGATATTTAACAAGAAATATAAATTCTGAATCAGACAAAGATGTGTTGATGAAAAGGTTGAGAAATTAAAATCTCTTCAAATGAACCCAAAGCAGATGGAGTCTGCAGGAGAGGGAGTAGGCAGAGAACCATAGGCCATCTCTTGTTCTTCCACTGAGCTCTCATGCACAAGTACCCAGCACCCCAACATGCAACAGCCCCATAGGCCCCCATCTTGCTACACACTAACAAGACACAGAACAAAACCAAACTATATTAAAAAAATCTTTGCTAAAGACAACTTCCATCATTATACTCCATGCTATCAAAATTAAGTTGTTTTTCTCTGCTGCTATTAGCATGAAGATAAGTACAGAAAGTAGAAAAAATATCAAAACATGCAGTACCATTCTTGCTTGCTCAGATTTGGGGATGTAATACTTAATTTACCCCCTTTCAAAAAATAACTGCAATATTGTCATAAAAACTATATAAGCTGTATTAGCTATTTTTGTAAATTACAAGAAATGTCCTAGTTTGACTACTACTTTATGGAAAAAAAGGCAGAGAAATACTACATGGTTAGTAGAAAACACCTGTATTTTTCTTCCATAAGTCTTCTATTCTGTTGCAATGTATCCTGTTAAGATACTGCAAAAATTTGACTTCTTATACACTCAAATATGATAATGATAAAATGTGGGATAGAATAGAAAACTACTATTGGGCTACATACCAATACAGATACTAGGGTTTGTCATAAAGCAGATAGCAACTGGTTAGTTGCTGGGTGTTAGTAGAAAGGTGGAAATATATACTTTCACCTGCTGAAATGTGCAGCTGGTTTAAGCCCTGGCTGGCACAACTGCAGTCTCTGCACCTAAAACAAGGCAGGTTAAAGAGGCTGGTCACAGACAAAGGAAGAGCAATGCCCATGGTCTAGACACCATGGTGGCCTTTTCTTCTTAAGGAGAGTACCTGGTTCCCTTATTTTCAACACGCATGATGACATCAAAAATAACCAAGTGTTAGCAGTATTGCAGTAAAGAAGGAAAAGACACTTGGCTTTCACAGAACTAGAAATTGTATCAGGCAAAATGGTGGTGGCTTTGATTTGTGGGCTCTCTGGCAGACTAACAAAATTCTAATAAATCCAGCCTCTATGAGTCTTCCTTGTATTTGGAAAAGAGACAAACTCACTGAAAGTGAGGGAAGAATGGAGGGTGGAGAAATGACGTTTCTCTTTCTATCTGCCCTTTTTCCAACTGACTGCTGAAGATGCCCATACATATTATCTTCACAAGGCTGAAAGTAACACCTGGGATTATCCCAGTAACACTACATGAAAACAACCATTTTAAAAGATAAACTTGCAGGTATTCTGATAGCAGACAATCTGACAAGCATTTCTTCTTTCACACAAAGGCTTGGATAACTATTTTCTGTTGTCTTTTTTTCACTTTATAAAGACCTATATAAACAAAATATTTGTAACCTAAAAATCAAGAGTCAGTCAGCAGAATTCACAGTAAAATTTTCTCTCTCATTCCCTAGATAGACCTTTAAAATGGAATCAGAGCCTTAAATGTTAGTCACTTTAAAATCAAGCTAACTTTTTCTCCTTCCTTACCTAGGCAAATCAAACATAAACGTAATCACTCACTGGAACAAATGAAAAGATGTGACCTGAAACTGGAGCAGATCAAAGACGTTTGGTCCTAGGGCCCCAGTGAAGAGCAGTGACACCCAGTGGCACAGTGTCTCTTGAACTTGGTGATTGTGTTCAGAGACAATTTCAAGACAGCTATGCTATTGGGTTACAGATACAAAGAGGATTACAATTACTCTAGCATGGAGAATCAGATTTCCATTGCTCAAGAATGACTAAAATTCCCCCAACTTTTTCTCTCCACAGATGGTACTGATTTGAACAAACCATTCCATGCTTCCTAGAGTAATCATGCAGCTTGTCTAAATTTTCTAAACATGACTTAACTATGATGAAGTGATCACTGTTCACACTAAAAATTATGGAAGCCAGAAACTGCATATTTTTCAAATAGTATTTCAGGTTACATTGGAACTGTATAAAGACTTATTATCAATTCTTATACACTGACAATTTGCTATGTACCTCATGGGAATTGTATTACTAATCCAAATTTCCAGAAAGGTTCACTGAAAGAAAGGGCATGAGAAAGGTTATGATTGTGGTATTGTAAGAAACTAATTGCTGAGGACTATTCTCTGATTGGCTAGTGGAAATTCTCATCCTAATTCCAAGTTTAAATTTCCCAAGAATCATACCTAGGATCCCTTAAGTCTCATCACATATCTCACAGTCTTTCCCTTGTATTGTATATTGTATTGTATTATGTTTACTGTAATTCAACTATCTCTGGGAGTAGGGAGTTGTTCTAAGTCTGAAACATTTGGTGCAATGTACTCCACCTAATTTTCCATTTAATAGCTTCTAATTCAGCTTTTGAAAGCCAGCCAGGGAGCTGGCAGAGAGGCTAACCATGAAACGCTGGTGAATTCAGTTTCTGGAATGGAAGAGGAATGAGGTATTTTCAGATTCATCTCCCATTGTTCATATGATGCCTAAATTTCAATGCAAAGTCACTGAAATCAGATCCGCATGGGATATTAAGCTCCTAAAACCTATTTACATGCCTGAACTCTCACTGAAGTTGACAGAAAGTTAAACACCTAAATAGAAGTTAGTTTGGCAGATCTCAGCCCTATGCTTGTCTGGCTATAATTCTAATCAGTCCTTCCAAAGCGGGTGGACTGCTCTGGAGTAAGTTTTTATTTGACAACATAAATATAAGGAAATTCTTGGTAGAAAAAGCACAGTGGAAACACTCGTATCAAGTTAAAATTGGCCAGCAAAACTGGTTTAAACTAACAAAAAACACGTGGTAGTAAACACCTTATTCACAATGCAAAGATAACCTGAGGGCAGCAGACACATACACAAATCTACTGAGAAAAGAGAGGTTATGGCGTTCTGTGGAGACTTATGTAGAAAGCAACAACTACAGCTGCACAGGCTGTGAACAGAAGAAGTAATATGATATGGCATAGTTCCTAACAAAGTTAATAAAAAAAAGCCTGCCTACAGAACAGCTGCTTGTAGCTGGAGTTTGGATTAAAAGGACTGCGGCAGCCTAGAAGTCTGTTGGTATTAAGAGCGTCAATAGGAGGAAAGTGAAGAACAAAGTAGAACCGACAGCAGTGGGCACACAGCAAAAAAAGTCTTCAGAAAATAGAAATAACTGAAAAGAAATATTCTTACTGACTATCTCTATTAAATTTTGAAAGCTTAGTTACAAAAATGAGTTCCATGGGTTAAGCTGATAACCCTGATCATACTAAATACTAATTGAGTATAGAATGCTAACTTCAGGAGGAGTCATCATGATACAAAGTCCTGCTCAGTATGAATAAGTACATCATGAATAGGACTAAAATTATTTTGCTAACAAAAAAATGTAAAAAACTGTATACTATTTTTCCCCATGACTTGGGACTGACATTATCAGACATGCTTTAAAGGAAATTGCACAGTTGAGAGCACGTCTTAAAAGAGCCTCTATGGACCATGTTTCTCTGTCCTTAGCACATTAGAAAACTCAGTGTCCAGCTGTTGGATCTAAGTACTGAAAAATAAAATCATGCAAATCTAGAGAGAAATGCACTACTTTAAGCTAAAAAGAGTAGTAAAAATCTACCTGTACTCAAGTCTTAAATGTTCAGCTTTCCATTAAACTAAAACACTGTCTGCTATTCAGTAAACATTTTTATTTGACCTGTAGATGGTATACATGTCAGCTTTGTACATATATGTCACCATCGTTTCTTATATAGTAATGCAGAGTTGACCTAGTCCCTACAAAAAAATACAGAAATTCCTTTATCCTATGCTATATGAATAATCTAATTTATCAACCTTCTTATAAAAATCACACCAGTACAATTTCATTGGCAGCAACCAAGTGATATTGCATTTTTCTAGTGAAGATTTCCCATCAGCCTCAAAGCCATCAACTTAAATTTGGACCAGACAATTAATCATAAGATGTAAAGAAGTCCAAATTACATAAGGAAAATTAAATCTGGGAAAAAAATCAGCCATCTTGGAAAGAAACGTTTCAAATAATTCCCTCTGAAATTTTTGGATTATTTTACTTTAATACAATTTAAAAATGTGAATTTGCAGCAGGGATTGAACAGTGAAACACACCGCCCTTTTCTGCATTAGTGACAGGGGACACTGAAGCTCTGCCATTTCTAACACAGTGGCTCTTCAGCAGGCTGATTCCTCAGGATAACCAGGGCAAACCATCTGCACTGCACATCCTACTTGCAGCCCTAAAAACCCCTTGAGGGCATGGGTTTAAATATTCTTCCAATGCATCATACAGTCATCTGTCATTTTCTTCACTACTTAATGAGGAAAATCATGTAACTCCAGTTCAGAGCTGTCATGAACTGCCACATCCTGAGAAAAGGATTTATGGTGAAGGAGACAGCATTTCCTTGGATGTGAAGAAGGCTTTAAGCTCTTGCTATGCTTTGTACTTCTCAAAGGTCTTGATTAAAAAAAGCCCACATTTTCCAGTGGGAACCTGCGTACTGGAGATACAAATCCAGAACCTTTCGAGTGCAAAGACATTTTGTGCACATGTAACAAAAGATGATGCTAATTTGCCACCCCCACACCAAAAGACCTGAGAAAGTTTCCCATCACCAATTCCTTTAGGCACTGCTCTTCTTTATTCAGAAGGCATACTTCTGTGTAAAGCTACAAGTTAATGGCCTGGATAATGAAGCCGAATTTAAATGAAAAAATGCTTCTTGGGCAAATTTCTAGCTATATTTCTTTTAAATGCAAGTCATCATGAATGCATCTCTGTTTAGCAGAAAACAAATGGTAAGGACTGTCACCAGAGTACAGTGGGGGCCTCAACCTCTTCTTAGACTGTGTTCAGGTATAATATCAGGTATGACCAGCAGTAAGGGGGAGAAGTGGGGAAATTACTCTCTGTGTCTTAGTACTGCAATCAATATGATTAATATTCTCAGAAAACAGTGAAAAGTCTATAAAGTAAAATCTAAATGAAAAAATTTAAAGCAGAAGCAGTTTTCTTTTTATTATTCAAGCTTTGCATACCTCAAGTGGTTTTTTAATTGTTCTATTTTTATTGTAAACTGAATGACGGTTACAATTGTCCCAGATTTGTGAGTTAACTGAATATTCACAGCTTTAGTGTGCCTTTTGGAGAAGTTTCCTACTGTTTAATGGCTGTATCTTGCTTCTAAAAATTCTTTCAACCTTAATGAAATTTCATTTTAGTAAGTGCATTATCTTGAAAATAATCCAAGGATATATATTCAGTCATGAAATCCTAACTCATTTTTGCATGTATATGTACAGTATATTATCTTTGATATCCCTTATAATGTATTTAATCACAAACTAATACTTTCACTACAAAGCCGACAGCTTTTTTGACATACTGCACCCTGGCAGAGGTGGTTTACCATGACAATGGAGCTAGATTAGACAAAAAACACTACTAATCTCCTCATAAATTTAAGTTTTATGATTGATGTTTAATTGTACCTAGATATGAACAAATTTACCTCAAAAAAGGCAAACAATCTTGCCAAGAATTTAAAGGTCAAATGCTATGCAGTGAGACACTGAGCCAAATTCGATTTCACTTTATGTCAGAAATAAATGCATTGTCAGTGACTCAGTGCTGGCTACATATTCTGTGACTAATCTTAGACCACCATAAATAAGAAGCTGACAACAGCTATAAAACTGTTTCCATTCCCATCCATGAATCTCCAATTCCTAGTATCCAGTCACTACAAAACAATTCATGCAAACACACAGCTAAAGAAATGTCCTAATAATAACTAGTTTGTTGTAAATATGACTAAGCAACAACAAAGCAAGAAAGGGTCAGTGCAGAGCTTGTGGCAAAAAGCACATGTGTTTTAGTATAAATCCTTCACTTAGGAAAGCTCCTAGTGATAAGACACATGAAACAAATGTTACAAAATAAAGAGTGTTATAAAGTGGGGTTTTTTTCTCCTTGCTAGCACAACTCCTTATAACATGGACCATAGGACACTACCAGTCCTAATCCATAGCTTTCTCAGTCTTTCCTCAAAGGCTAATTAATATCCACTCCCAAATTTCTCAGAAATCCCAACAATTAACTTTCTCAGGTTTCAGGCTTCTTTAACACCACTAGAAGCCTTTCCCCCATCGTCCAAGATCCAAGGAAGTCTCCTGTTCTCCTCTGTTACCAGAGGGTAACATCCCTCCTAGGCAGCTATCTCCAAGTCTGAACTCCATGCCCACGTTCAGTCTTGCTCTGGCTCTGAGAGTTGGCTCCTCAGCAGCCACGGTGTAGAAGAAAGATTTGAGTGTTCTGACTGCATTTGTGAAATGTCCAGAAATGCAGGAACACATATCTAACATAGAGCACAGCAGCTCAAACGCACTACGTTATTTCCAGCCAACACCGTAAGACATTGAGTAAGAGTATGCTCATGTCTAATACTTAAACAATGCCTTTGCCTTTTCAAAATTGGATTTTGAGCCCTGCTGATGAACAGAAGTTTCTGAGCAAACCAGAGGACAGATGAACCAGGCATAAGTCTTAAATTGCCAAGGCTCTGGACAGAAGGGGACTATCAGGGATCACAAACTGGCAGCATTTGTAGGGGAACTGTTGACAAGGAAGCCAATTTAGGCAGAAAATTTTCATCAGAAATGTGCCACATCATAGTTCAAATAACAGATGTTGCCAGGCTTTAGTGGGATAGACTGTATCATGAGGAGGGGCAGTCACCAAAGTACAACCCTGGCTATTTTCACAATGCCGGCCAAAATATGCCAGCAAGGGGCTTGTCTTCATTTGGAGCTCATCCATTTGATCTGGAACCAAAGCAGCAGTAGCTCAGCTGACAACACAGACGTGGTCTAGATTCATTCAGACATGCACATCAACAAGTCTAATTTTAAGAAATTTGAAAATCAAAGCTCATAATGGGAGACCACGGCTTTGTGGAGGGATCCACAGGAGGGATCCAGTGGAGGTGCATGTCACTCAGGAAGCTAGCAACAGGGAATCTAAGAGTAAGGGTAAGTCTGAGCTCCCCCAAGTGCAATGTCTGACCCAAGTCTGCACAGCCGAGCTGCTTCCCTTCATTTGTCATTCTGAACCAAAACCCTGCTCCTGACACAGAGTCTTGTGTTTATTATTTGACAGATCTGAGAAAATTCACTCTTTCTGTTGAAGTATATACAAGTGCTGCAACTCATCTTTAAAGTTATTCAAAAACAGTAATAAAGTATTACAAAAGCTAAGTTTTGTTTCTAAGGCTCTGGGGTACAGTAGCACTCCTCCATCCCACCCCTGTGTTTTGTAATTACCCAGCTTTTCTGAAATAGAGACCTCCTCAACTCCATTGCATAAATTGATCTCACTTAAGATAACACAAAAAAAAAAAGAGCTAAATGCAATTGTTTCTCCTGTAATTTAGAAGAAACATTAAATCTTATCTGGATGTTTCTCGCTTAACATAATGTTTTTTTATTTGTATATTTAACTATCACAAAAGAAGAAAAAAATCCCAAGAAATAGTCCCAAGAGCAACAATTATCTCTGACTGGAGGACTGAAACACACCTGTGCTTCCTGGATTCAGATTTGAGCTCCTCTCCACTTTCAGTTTAGAAGATAGGTACACAGCTATTCACATGGAACTAATTCTATTTTGCATTGAATATCATCTCCATGTTCCACATGTCAAGTGAAAGCACTGCCAAGATTAGGTGAAGTGTGAAGTGTGTGTGTGGAGAGAAAAAGGAAGACAGACTTTGGGTAACAATTTTTCACTTCAATGCCAGAAAACCTGTCTATATTTTTCTTTGGATTTAGGTCACAATTTTCCTTCTTCCGTTAAAAAATCCTACCCATGAAAAGTTATTACAAAGTTTGCTTGCAGAGGCTAAATTCTTCTCAATTTCCTGAATTCTGAACAGCTTTATTGCCATTGCATTCATACCACTGCCAGTTAGCAAAAGCAAAACGACAAAAATTTCACTCCCAAAAACTTTTTCAGACATAGAGTCTCAAATATGATAAATACTCTAGGAACAAAGCAGATATTATACAGCAATCTAAATAAATAAAGTAACTATTCAAACTCACATAGGAAAAGATGTTCGCGCTGTGCTTTTAAAAATGGCAATTTATTCTCATCACTAGGTGTGTTCTATAATAGGACAAAGAGGAAGCCCTGTTTCTTCTCATTCCTTATTAGCAAGAAATTTAAACAACAGAATTATTTAACAGTCTGTATTTATGCAGTTTTTCCATGCCTGCTTGTTTCATAGTCATCATTTAAATTAAACAAAAAAATTACTTGAATAATTATTTACCTTTCTCTGGAAGTGTACTGGCATTGCATATCTGCTCTTCACCCTCACCAGCAGACGTTGCAGCTTTTATTTTAATTTGATAAGTAACGTTGGAAAGCAGATTTCTGAAAGTATGCAGTGTACCAGAAGATGAAAAATTTGTAGAATTTCCTTCGACTGCTATGATGTAATGTGTAATTATGCCGTTGGCAGAAGCAGGAGGGTCCCACTGCACTAGGATCGATTGCCAACTCGTGGCGATACAGCGAATGTTCTGTACAGCATCTGGCACTTAAAGGACACACAGGCACCAAAGATTAACATGCACATGCAACTAAAACTGTAATCACACAACAGTATCATTAGAGAAGCAGACACGGTGTTCATAGCAAGAGTCAAACACTGCAGTGTCAGATATTAATAAAAAACACATTGAAAGAACAAAACTATGACTTTGTCCTCATAAGATAGTTCCTTTCCAACTGCTATGAATGTGACTCATGTTAGTACTTGAGAGAGAAGAGGCCATCTATCTGCCTTCTTCCTAGTTGCGGGCTTCAGCTTTGTTTCCTCAACAAAACTTTTTGCTCATATTTCCCCCATGTGTTTTTAAACACAGTGTACTATAATATACACAGTATACACATTTTATGTACCTACTCCATATACATAGCAACAGCATCAACAGTAGAAGTTCCTTATTTGTTCTCCTATATATCTGTCAGCCTTATTTCTTTCAGGCCCTTCTGCACTTTTCTCTGTACAGAAGTCACTGGGCAGATTTCAGAGCTTTCATATCAATTCTTTCAACTTATTGTTTCCCATCTATTTGCTGGTTGTAGCAAAAAATTTTTTTTTAAATGCTCATAAAAATTAATGAAGGTAGAAAATACTACAATCACTTTGAAAATAGACCAATTATTTATGAACAACTGGTTAAAGAGAAATAAAGAAAGTAACACAAGTATGGAATGTCAGTGATGAAATGAAACAACTGATGGATGACCATGGCTTTTGAGGAGGACCACCTTCAGCTGCCTGAGTCCAACAGACAAACTGAAACAACTCAGTGATGGTCCAGATTTCTGACGGTGTTGTAACTCTTCGGTACAATAAACTGCAGAACTCTTCCCCAGAAACTCTTTTTTATTGGTTCTGGAAAGTGTCTTCACTGGAAGCATGATCCTAGCAGACATGTAGTCATCATATGGGATCTTTTCATTTTGCGGTCTGCTCCCTTTGCTAACAGTGTAGAGGACCCTGGGAGCCCCCTAACCCATGCTTGTTCCCTGGCACTGACAGCTCTTACAGAGTCTAGGGGTTGCTCTGACCTGGAAAAAGAGTTTTGTTGTGCAAAACTGGTTTTGCACAACAGCCAGTTTCACAAACTCACGGGTTCTCTTTAGTGAATGTTATGTATTTCACTTTTAGTGGAATGTTATGTATTTCACTTTTAGTGGCTAGCTTCCTTCCTAAAATAAATTCTAAAAAGAAAAAAAAAGAAGTTTAAAAATTTCTATTTGTCTAATATAATTTCCAGTTCATTTGCCAATCTTTTATCCAGCTGCTTTTGATACTGCTAATGTTTCAGTTATTTTCACAGGGATCTGAATTATTGCTTTGATCTGCAAAGACTGATACCTATCTAATTTTCTTCCCTTTATCTATGTTGCTATTAAAAGATTTATAGTAGCCATGTAAGCCTCTCATTTCAGATGAGGACATTTTTAATTCTACACTTCCGAAATCAGACTTCAAACCTAGTCTACAATAGGAATGTGAATCTGTGCTACACAGGCAAGAGACAATGAGTTAGTGTTAGGTTATATTTTCTTTGGAGAGAAGAGGAAGACTTTTGTTCAATCATACAAGGAAAACAAATATAAATGTATTTAAAACTGCCAGAACTGCAGCTTGTAAAAAGTCAGATCTAACCTGATTCCATCGTTGTAAAGTGGACAGCGTTACTGAACTGATTGCCGTTCCCAAGCTTGGTAAACGCAGAGACACTGATAAAATAGGGGCTGTATGGTTCTAATCCAACAATGTTTGCCTCATGGTTTGAACCTGAAATGTTCTTAAGGCAGGAGATATTATTAGTACATAATTAATCTCTAGAAACATTGTAGCCTTCACCTTGAACCTACTGAAACGAACAGGAAATTTACAGCCATAGTTTTGCGTCTTCCAATCTGAGTAGCTCTCAAATAGTGAAAACTATCTCCAGCTTCACATTAACCCCTCTCACCTTCTACTTCCTTACAGATCTTTAGTGGTTTCTATGAAACTACCCTAAGAATGTGTTCCCAAAGGCGGCTTGCTGTAGAATCCACTGTTTCTCTTTCACATGCTCATAGTGGCCTTCAGGCATTATGGAAGAAACTTCCTCCCACCATGGGGAATAACAGCAGACTTCACTGGAGCATTGTCTTTTCCTGCAGCTTTTACAAGTATCTCAGATGAACAGGGCTCACTATATATCTAAGCTTGAGATGCAATCCTGACCTCAGCTTGCTGCCTTTGCAGTTCACAGAACATTCCTTGAGGCCACCCAAGCAATCAGATTTAAGCCTCTTTAAAATTTTGCATATCATAAAATTATAGATTCATAGAATGGTTTGGGTTGGAAGGTGCCTTTAAAGACCATCCAGTTCCAACCCCCATACTGTCAGCAGGGAATCTTCCATAAGACTGCGTTACTGAGAGCTTCACCCAGCCTGGCCCTGAACATTTATATAGTATCTACTTCAGTTACAACTTACTCAGTTCTTATTCTTTGATATTTTTAAAATGAAGACCTCTTAACAGTTTTTTACTATTTTTTAAGATAGTAAAAAATTTTTGAATCTTGAAAGTCCATAGGTACTAAATAGTTAAACAAAAGTAGCCACAAAACAACTAACTTCTGTCATTTTCTAACATCAGGCTTACACTAAAGCACCAAGTAGGAGTAATAAATCTCACTGTCAGTAAAACATTAGAAGCCCAAAGCACGTTAAAACCAAACTATTTTTCCTGTTTAATTTGAAAAATTGAGTTACAGGTACAGGGGGAAGGAAAATAAACTGTCTTAGCAAATAGGAATTTATAGGCACTTCAAAATTCTAGGAGCATAACAGACATTTAAAATATTTGCCATATCTTTTTTTTTCCTAAAGCATGAAAAAATACTTTAAAAGATTATACACTCGTAATTATAAACATACCCAAAAAACTAGTTTTTCAGTGTTGTTTTGATAAATCTTAAAATTATATCTCATAATAACACCGTTTGACTGAGGACTTGGATCCCATTTTAGCCACACAGAATCTGCGGTGTAGTTGATAATGGTCAAATTCTGGGGTGGAGCTAATGGCACTGCAAAAGACAAATCACAAATACTTCAGGCAAAACAGTACATGCAGGAGAACATAGGCACTTTTGTTAACATTTGCATCTGAGTTCAAGCTAACAGTACTTCAATTCTATTTCAATCTTTTTTCTTCCTCTTTGACATGAAACAAATTCAATTAATCCAGAATACATGTTTAGTCAGCAAGGGATCTTCTTGGAGATCTAACAAATCTATTAATCACTTAAACATCCCTGCTGTCAGAACTAAGACATTTCTCAGAAGTCACATTACATATATAACTGGAATGCTATACACTTTACTTCCTCCACCCATATATGGACCACAACTCCTCATACATTTAAAAGATCTGTAATTTACCATGCAGGGGAGAGGAGGTCCATGTACAGGAGAACTGTGTGAATGTGTCAGAACTATTTCCATGTTTTATCATTTTTCAATTGCAGGGGGGATGAAGAGAAAGGTATTCTTGTTTGCTTCAAAATCCCTGACACTTTGCAAACCATAACACATTCCAAAGGCAAAAGATATTTCTTCATGGGGTTATTTTTGTAATCCTGTGCAGAATGTGACCTCCTCTTGTGCACTGTGGCAGGATGAGGAGCACTCAGGAAACACCTGCCTTGCAGTGCTTCCTCTGCCTGAAAGCTCTTCCCTCACAGACCAATGGAATATTAATCCTTCATATCAACAGGTCTGATGCTCAGATCTAAGATGGATGCTGTAATAGAGCTGATATTTTGAAGCTGTTTACAATTGAATTTGCTCACCTGACTCATCTGTGTAGAACTGAAGCACAGCGGAGGGACCAGGTCCTTTTATTGTTCTGGCAGCTGCATAAATGCTGTACAATGTGAATGGCAGAAGATCTTCCAAAATGATAAAATTATTGGTAGTAGAGAATGAGCTATTCCTTTCTGGCCCAAACAAATTTAAATCATAATGTATTATAATACCATTTGGCTTAACAGGAGGGTCCCATGAAAGCATAACTGAGGTAGTTGAGAGATTTGAAAATGTTTTCATTACAGGTGCTGATTCTGGGACTGTATGAAGAAATAGGAAAGAGAAAAACAACTGTAATCTCAGAAAAATATGAAATTAAAAATTCTATTTCACAGTCTTAAAATACAAATGTGCAGCAGTTGTTTGTGTCACTGTATTACAAAAACACTGAAACAAGAAAAATAAACCATCTTTTTCTTTCAGAAAGCTATTTGGGTTTTTTAATAATTTCTGTAGGAATTAATAAAAAGTCTTACCATCTTCATCAGTTCTTATGTGAAGACTCAGAGTATGCCGTTCAGAAGATCCTTTATCAGTGGCTGGTGTGATTTTCAGAATGTAATCAGTGTATTTCTCCAGATCATCAAAAATTATGCTTGTGTTGTAAGTAAGGAAAGATAATATCTTACTGGTTCCCAGTTGCATTAAACTTAGAGAAACATGAAAGAAGACTAAGCCATTTGGCTGGGATGGTGGAAGCCAGCTTACATTTACAGAAGATGAGGAAATGTTTTGATAGATCAGATTTTCAACAAAACCTTCTGGGACTATGAGAGATAATAAGCAAAAAATTAAATGCATGGATTACAGTAATAAAACATCCAAACCCCAACCAGAAATAACTGCTCAAATATAATTAATCTGAAAGAGTCAGTTGCAATATTTTTTACAACTTTTAAAAATAATTTGTGTTTCAATATCAAAAGCAAAATGGTTGAAGGTATATATGAATAATCATTTCTGTTAAATTTGTTTAGGAAAAGAGTCTTAAGGAAAGCTTAAGACAATAATTTTATTGCTTGTATCCACAGAGGCTTGTGCTCCATGTTCTATGTGCTCTAGAGTTTGAAAAACTCAGATCAAAATGCCTTCCTTGCAAAGATAAATATTGCAGCATCAAAAACCGCATTTAATGGTATTTTTTAAACTTTGCCATCATAACAGTAAAATAACTTTTAAGTTAGACAATATTTAATAAATATTTAATAAAAACCCTGATATACAATGAGCACTAAAAAAGTTATTAACTTACTGTCTTGATCTGTATACACATCTATTTTTTCACTGGTTTTGTTTCCATCTCCAAATGCTGTGCTTGCAGTTAACCACAGAGTGTAATGGCTGTATTTTGCCAAGTCATCCAGCACTACACTGACATTGCTGTCATTACCATAACTTGTGAAATTCTAAAGAGAGAAATAAAAGAAAATGTTACCACATAAAATGCTTTTTATTCATTGATTTCTCTTTCTAGTTCCCCATTTAGCCATCACCACCACCAGCAGCAGACATGATTCACCATAGCACTCAGAAGACATAAGCCTATGCTTTGACTCCTAATGAGTACTGATTTTTTCTGAGATACTTGATTTTACTATGTCTATTTATACCCCTTGTAAGTACTACAGAGTACATGATTGGCTTCTTCTATTGTTTTTAATTGTTGAATGCCAATTCAGAGATTAAAACTGTAATATTGCAGTATGTTTATCCATATTTCATCAAGAAAATTAACAAAAAAACCAGCATCTGCTACCACACATGAACCACACATGCCTTGGCTGATCATTGTTAATCAAATCAAAGGACGTCTCTCTCTTTAATCTATTTTTATAAGAGTAGATTTTGAACTCAAATCTTTCAGTGGCAGAGATCTCATCTCACCCCTTGATAAACTGTTCCTTTTGCTAGTTGTCCCTCGCAGTAACACCATGCCATTATCTCTAAGGAAATGTCTATAGTGAGTGGACTCATGTTAAACTGAAGGCATCAACAGAATTTTTTTTTCCTCTGTGTAGCTACTTGCTACAGAAAGAATAGGAGAAGGACCCAGTCCCAGTGTCTTTTGAACTATATTAAAAAATGTCATTAATACTGTGACTACGACAACAAGTTAGTGCTCAGATCAGCACCTCTAAGGAGGCCATTCCTATTTAGAATCAACAATTTTGGAAGAGGAAAAGACAAAATATAAAGGCTATTATTTATGTAAGTTCAGCTACACCACATAAGTTCAAATCAGTTGAAGTTGAATGTGTTGAATCATCCACTGATTTACAGAAACCTGACTTAGATGATCCAATACAGTTTGGTTCATGGTTTGAAAATTGTTGAGAAGTCATTTTGCCCATCAGCATATTCAGCTCAAGCATTGGGTAGCAAGTCAAATCTTCAGTGCTGATTCAAAGAGCCAGTAGCATTTCTGTCCAGCAGCCACATTGCCCTATTGAGCAGATGGCATGGGCAGCACTTCTCAGGACCAAAGAAATCCTAACTTTTCTACACAGAAATATTTTCAGGATGAGATGGATTTTGTCCAACCTCCTGATGAATTCCAGCTATTTCACCTGCCCCCTGTTTTTGGTGTTAGATCAAATCCACACCCTCCACTTCTTTAAAAAGCAAGTTAGCTTTCAAGGAAATTTTTTTCTGAAAAAGAGAGGCTGTAAGAGCAAACTTACTAATGCAAGAGAAAGGCAACAGAAATATTTGGGTATTGAAATTTAGAAATACCACATATAAGCACAGGAATGCTAAAACTGCACGCTGAAAAATTGATTACATTTCTCATAAGGAAAGTTATTATTGAAGAAGTCACCCTGATATGCTTTATCACACAGTTGAATCCATACTGTGCAAACTGATAGTTCAGTATGCAATCTTTATGTCTGTCACTAATGTCTGTCACATATCAATTTATATATCTCATTCAACACTTCACAAATTTTTTGTATGAGCAAAATATTTTTATTTTTTCAGAAAACTATAGGTCACACTCTCATTACTTTCCCTGAGATTTTTATATCTGTATTTGAAGACCTAGTTTTGCCTGCAGTCACTAGTACTGACATAACATAAATAAGTAAACAGTTTGGCAATGAAAACTTAAGCCTTTGTTTTGAATGCAGAACAGAAGCTGCACAAATTGTGAGTATAATTCATTTTTATTTAATGTGTGAGTATCCACTTATTAAATGACTATAAACACACTGTTAGTTTTGCCCAATAGACTAAGTGAAGTCAACATCAGTCAAAATACAAAAAATTCCACCTTAATATATGACTTTTTTCTAGAAGTAGTTTGAATTTCATACTAGCTGCACACCTAACTGAAAAAGCCTGGAAAGAGCTTTGTGTTATATTTGGTAAGTTAAGATACAGGAAACAGTGGATCAGATTCTAAGGTATTTAGTTAAACACTGATACTCAAGCAGGGTATGACAGAAAACATCATCTGGCCCAGAGGAAGCATTCTAATACCCTCTTTTTGTTACTATTATTATTGTTAGCAAAAGTTAGTAATTTATAACATGTAATAATCAGATTTTTTAAAAAATAAGACCTTAAATAATTACCTGAGTTTTAAGGTAAAAATGTCAAGCCTACCACATCAAGCTTTGATCCTAGATTTAATGGGAGTTTATTGATATGAACAGCTGAAAATTCAACTCTTAGTTTGAAAAGACCTTTACAATTTAGGCAGCTGTCTGGCAGTTAAGGACTCAGTGAACCAACAGGAATAACAGGGTTTTGGTGGGTCAACAAAAACAATTTTAAGAAGTAATTCCTTTACTGTGAGGACCCCAAGGAGATATCTCTAACTACTGATATGAAAAAATATTAGGAAAAAATATTAGGAAAATTCCAAAATATAAGGAAAAAAAAGGAGCACATAATTAAGAGTAACAGTGAGCAGGAAGAGTTGTGTGGGTACAAACTGAGAAAAGATGAAACTTGTACTAATTGTACCCTGGGGATAGAACACTTTAGGAAGTTTTACAATTAACTGTGGCTGTAGATGAAAGCAAACAGCTTAGGATCTTTGGCTACAGCTGAAGAAATTCTTCCTTCTGTCCCTTTCTTCATCCATACATGAAAGAAGTTTTGACATAGCAAAGTATCAGATTATTAAAAGCAGCTAAGTGTAAGCAATACACTCAAGCCATGAAAGTGTCAGCAGAAACTAGTATCTTCTTCACCTCAGGAAGTGGCAGACATTTCCAGTGGCATAAAACTGTAGTTAGCTGTATAAGGAAAACATGGTGATGCTCTTCTTCACTGTTAAGCTTTACCTCTGTTCTGTTTTCTTTTTTAGGTTCATTGTATTGCATTCTTGTTTGAGTCAGAGGATCACATACTTGACTCTGGGAATCAGGTGAGAGTGGTGATACTGTGAAGTCTTATCCAAACCATCCTTCAAGGAGTGGAATATTCCCTGTTCCATTAAAAACCTAAGTGAAGTTATTACATTTTGTCTGCTGTACCATTCTGAGACCAGCTTTTTAAAAAATTGCAGTGTATTGTAGAGACATTCCCCTTTTTATCCCTACTTTGGTCATACAGCTGAAGAAAATGTTTGATTGTTAAGTACCATAGTACATTGTTTGCATCCCTTGTCTGGATCCCAGGGGTAGACCAAGTTGAATTTCACTCTGAGCTGTACCCAGTCATATCCATTTTGCTTGGCTTGAGGTAGAGGTTGGATGATTTGGGTCAGATATTCAGTTGCTAGAAGGATCATAGGCTTTTTTTCAGTCCTTACCCCTGGTTCCCCTGTCTGGTCTGTCAGAGTAGGACAGCTTTCATCTGTACTGAAATTCCTACACTGGGGAAATTTATTGAAGCATATATTTATGTTTGTAATTAGCACCTTTGCACTTTCTTGCTAATCAAAACAGAAGTATATAGAGATTGAATAAGGGAGTTCATTCAAGCCAATGATATCTTTCGTAGATTCACATTTAGCCATGAGAAAGTTACTTCCATTGAGTCTTTGATTTAGTTCGTGGCTAGGACTGAGAATATGGACACTATGATTGCTTCAAGCACCAGGCAAGGCATCGTGGAGCAAAACTTGCAAAGCTGCTATTGCAAAGAGTGCAATCTTAAATTGTAGGAACCCGGCAGTGTCACAGAGACGTGAGGTGAAGAAGAGGCACAGTGTCATGTCATCTGTGAAGGAAGCACTCTTTGTCAGCATACATGTCAGATCTTTACTGCACTGGGACAGGGTGTATACACCATGAAGTAGCATTTTCCCTAGACCTATGACAGCAGAAGATGAAAGATAATGCTGAACTGGAACTTAGCCTAATGCAGGTGATGGTTTATTCTAGTTGGCTACCAGCCATTCCTCCCTCTCTGACACATTTTCTTTTACAACTGTCAGCATCCCCATAGAAACAGTCCACTCATCTACCAAAATCCTTAAATCTAATCTCCATCACTAAATATTTCCTTCTGCTATTCTTGTCTTGAACCTTGGGTCTGAGCAACCCAGGCCTTCTGACTAGACAGCTGCAGTGTTATTTTTCATGTAGACCAGTAAAGCAAAGAAACTATACATTATTTTTCTGACTGAAGAAGGTACATAAATTTTCCCTTTTTGACAGAAAACTCAAATTTCTGCATCATGTCAGAGAGTAAACTGCATCTTTTATCTCAGGTCTTTTTTTGTATTTGGGCATTTTTTCCCTAAACAAAATGCTTCACTATGCAACTACTAACTTCCTAGTTTTAACATATTAATAGTCAGTGGTTTATGTTGATTAGGTTTTAATATGCCTGAGCATTTTGAGAATGTGTGAGAAGTGATAAACTGAGACAACAGAATAGCACAGACAGTGATAAATTGAGAAAACAGAATAGTTTAGTATGACTTCTGTATCTATTTCAGATTATGAGAGTATTGGGAAATATTAATTTGCTTGATATTCTTCAGCAAGGGTGTTTATTCAGGCATCTAGAAGTTATGCTTTAAGACTTGGACCTCTGGCATTATGTCCTGACAAAGACGCAAAGACTGGTAGAGAATGGCTGCCTGCAATGTGAAAATGTGAAATGTGAAAAGATCACCCACTTTTTCAATTCTCCTGTATAATTTCTCCAACTGAAAATAAAGTTTGGTTAAATATAATCAGAATGGTGACTTTGACACAGAGTATTTCAGCCAAGGATTCTTTCTTTCCAAATATGTGCAATACAAAACTTAGCAGCAGACCCAGCAATTACATGGTTATAGTTCTAAGTTACAGAAAGCTGTAAGCTATATGTATGCATACTCATGCAGCTTACAACTGTCTGTATATATCATATGCATATATATATATATATATATATATAATCACACATCAGGCTGACTTTCACACAGGCATTTCTCTGTTGTAAAAGGAGTAATATAAAATACCTGACAGAAATGATTTGGGGTTTTTTCACCTGTTTGAAATCTGTCTTGCATCCATAGGAATGCAGATTAAGACTGTAGTGTAGATTAGGTAGTTGCCAAGATAAACAGTGAGCAGACACAACGTGAAGGGCAGAAGGAGTTAAAGGGAGTAGACAGATTAAGATTTGATTATGATTTGAGAGATTAATGCTCATATCCCATGGGCAGTAAGAGACAGATGCAACAGCAGCTGAAACTTATCTTCTGAGGGCAGAGGGATGGAATAGAAATCAAAGTCAAAAGGATGAAAATGGTAGGTTCCACACACAGAGGTAAAACTACTGTCAGCAGTAGCTGACAGAACTACTGTCAGCACTTTTGTCCTGACAACACATAATATGCCAAAGTAGCATTAACTTCCACTTGTGCCACCATCATTTCCTGGCCTAACTACATCACATGATAATAAAACTGGACCCTCACCTTGCTGGGCCAATGCTACTGTGCTCCATCTTCCCTATCTTCCTTCTTTATTTACAGAATCCTGGGCACATCTTGGGGGATTTTATCTCTCTCTCTCTCTCTTTCTCTCTTTCTCTCTCTCTCTCAGTGTGTCAGCTTTGCCTTACTCATTCATCTCAGAGTTACACCTTCCTAAAGGCAGGAATAGTCCAAGTCCATAGTCCTACTCTAAAATTGCTTGAAGTGTCCTTCATAGGGTGGGCTGGTTCAGGTGATGCACTGATGTAAAGTTTTTCCACTTAAATCTTAGATTTGTCCACTTTACATCTTAAATCTCTTAAAGAGATTTAAGAAAAAAGCTGCTGCCATAGCAGTGTGTGCAAAGAGTGTCTTTGATCTGAACTGTAGCCCTGATTTTAATCTCATCAGAATGTGAATTCATGGCACAGTCCTGCTTGCATTTGAAACTATGCAGTGCCCAGCAACTACATACCTGCACACATGTATATACTGAAGTATGTCAACAATTATTCACTCACAGCTATGTCTAACATTTGTGAATATTTTTTCTAGTTATCCTCAAAAACGTGCATACCTCACCCTAAATATATCTTGATCATAAATTTATGCAGTCAAGGTTGTTTTCCATACATAATTTTCTAAATGAATTTATATTTCTTGTTTTTCTTCTATATGTGTAAAACTTGTGGCCCAAAAACTGTAAAGGAAGCTTATTTCTCTTATTATATTTCTGTACTATAAGATATTCACAGCAAGTAGAATAAAAAGACTATATACAATTAATAAGTGGAGTGCATAATTAAGGATGAAAGCAGCATCAGGAAAAAAAGCTAAATTAAAATATATCTCCAAAATATTATTTACAGGATTTTCTCTTTTAAGCTTTAACTTCAGAATAACAATCTTTGCTTCAATATACTAAACAGTAATTTCCTTTTGAGAATAAGAAAAATATGAAAAAAAAGCATTCCTTACTTTCACATTACCTCCATATTTTCAATACTATACCATTATGTATTAAAAAGTAAAACCAGAAATAGAAATTTACTGAAATTGACAGATTAGACTAAAAGAACACTCTTGGGGGTGTGCCATGCATGTAGTGGGTCTTGAGTCTATCCACTACATATGCAAAGTGTGTATGTATATTAGGTGTATGTGTACATATATATATATATATTTACATATAAACTTTGCATAATGGAATATTACACAAAACCTATTGGCATTAATGCCAATATGACATGAATGCTCAGTGAGATGCACAATGTAAAACATATGATTACAAGATGTACTTCTGTCTTTGTAAGTTTAAAATCTACATCATGATAAAGGAAATATGAAAAAGCAATTTATTGATAACTACAAAACTGATTTCATCTTTAAGTAATTATTAGAACATTTAATTTACTTCTACAAAAGAATATAAAAACACGCTTACCTGTATGAATATTCCTGAGTTGTTTTTGAAATAAACTGAGTAGTACAGTATATTTCCATTAGGCTTTTGAGGAGGAGACCAGAATAGCATTATTGATGTGGAAGAAAGGTTTCTGTATGTAACATCTTTTGGTGGATCACTTGGTGCTGCAAAAATGTTAATTTTAGCATAACTTAAGCTTTTGTACCTCAAGGTTTTTTACACTTAATACCGGAGGTTCATCCACTGTAGTAGATTTTACAACATCCTATGGCAAATAAAATGTATTTCTGATTATGGTGTAGAAACTGTTTCACAAAATAATGAACTAAAACTGTATATGTGAAATGAATTTTTAAACCATTTTTTCAATCATATTTGTATTTAGCTGCATTTTTAAACAGATAAGATTTTTGTTATAGAATTTTTCCTGTACTTACTGCTTTGTGCACATAGAAAACCTAATTTGTAGACATGGAAGTTGACTGAGTTACGTGTCTATACTCCAAATATAGTTACTAGGGGGGAAAAAGTTATTTTTTTCACAAAACCTAAATTTAAAGCCTTTTTCTCTCTGATTATAAACAGAATTTAGGCTCCCAACTCATGCAGGTGAACAAGTTACTTAAGTTTGAACAGTATGATAATTTATCTTTTTTCCTCTTTTCTCATCCTATTAAATGTGCAGAAAGATCTCTGTAAGCCTTCTTCCATTAGTCCCTCCTCCTATTTATAAAGAATAGCAGCATATGGTTTTTCTCAGTAACACAGTGATGTAGGAGAGTTAAATTCAATTCCTTAAGTCAGCTTAGGAGAATTTAAATCCATATTTCTCACCATCCACGAAAGTGCTCTACAGAACTTGCAGTAGAGTACTGAACACTATGAGTTATGTATCTCTCTTGCTTTGTGCTGCTCTAGTTTGTGTAAAATATTAAAATATTAATTGGAGGGGGAACCCCAGCACCAGTTCCTTAAAGTCTGTCCCTATAAAGTAAAATTATATTCCCATACCAGTTTCAACAGCAACTGTGAATATCTACAACCTGATGATGTAGATAGATTTTGGAGGGATGCTATCCTGCCAGTGGTTGTGTATTGGGGAATTGTTGATATCTGTGCAGGTTGATTCTGAAGTATGCCTGCATACTATCTGTTTTGCAACAGATTATAGCAATATGATTGATGGAAAACCAGAAACAAAACTTAAACTGAATCACTTTCCATGTTGGAAGTATAAAATTATTTAAATGGAATAAACAAATCAATGTACACTGACAGTGTTCATTTTCAAATTAAAAATATTTCAGACTTAAAAGTGATACTCTAAGAAGTATTTTCCCTATCAGAAATTGTTAGCTGCTTAAAACAAGGATCTATTAAGATATAATACAAAAATAATACGAATTATTTCAAAGTTTAGAAAGAAATTATTTTGATCTTATCTGTCCTAAACAGAAATTTTTTTTTCTTTCTTTCTTTTCTTGGTAAATTAGTAGTGATATTTTTCATAATTTTATAAAGCCATAGATACATGTATACACAAAGATAGAGCCACAGAGACAGGTAGAATGTCTGTCCTTTACAAGACAAATGTTACTTCTACTTCAGTGGCCTTATTAACTTAAAAAAGTCTCACAGAATTTTAAGGCTGAATGAAAATAAAGATTCATACTGTTTATAAGCTTACCTCCTTCAGAAGTTCTGAATGTTATAGTATCACTTTTTATGTTGCCATCTCCAAATCTTGTACTTGCTGTTAGGTAAGCATTATACTCACAGTTATATTCTAGGTCTGTGAATTCCAGTGATGTTTCTGTTACATTTACACTCCTCTTTGACATTTTATTCCTAAAGAAAAATTATTTTATTAATTATATATATACACCATTTCTCTCTATATATACACACCATTTCTCTCTCTATATATAATTACAGCATTTGTAACAAAAATGAAAAATGCAATATTGTGTTAAATACAAGTAATTTAGGTTTTTAAAAGAGACTAGGATAAATTTTTGTCTTTTATGATTAAAAGCTAACTTTTGTACCATCGCATCACAGTAGGGCTCTTCATGTTGTTTCTTAAAAAAAAAATAACACCCCAAAACCCCACAGAAATATGTTTGCTAATTACATCACAAAGACAATGGTTACATGAAATATTAAGGAGAAGTATTTCTATCTATTAACTGCTTTCAAGTGGATATGTGGAACCCTTGGGAAGGACACAGTAGGGCATAACTAAACTGTCTCCCTGGACAGGAATAGCGAAATATAAAAAGATTATAGCAGGGAGCATGCCCTACTGTGACTCTGTGAAATTGGTCAGAAGGCTGAAGTTATAAATGGAATAATAGAAGATGATATGGAACAGGAATTAGCTGGTGCTGAGTTAATTCTGGTGGAATGTAGCAGAGGATCAGAATGGAACTCTAGTCAGGTCAAAACCCGCCTAGAAAGACTGCAAGATGTAACATTAATAAAACACTGGTATTAGCATAGGTATGAAATGATTATCAGAAAGTAAAATAAGGTACAGAAAGAACTAACTTGAATTCAAAAAGTGTTATATTCCTTGTAAAGTTAACATAATCTTTTAAGAAAGAAATAGGAGGAAAATAAAAACCTAACATTCCATTCCTTCAAAGATTTCTGTATGAGTAGGTGTCCTGTGTCTCTAATAGGATTTCATACAGAGATGATAATTTGATAATTAAAAGCAAGTATCTTGCTCCAGAAATCATTGTGAAACTCTTCACAAATGACAATGTGTTCTAATACTAAAAAAAAGAAAAAAGTGATTCAAAATTACTAGACTTTCATCCTTTGATAACTGAATGACTGTCCCGTTAGCAAAGATCACCATCTAATATATCTGAAATAAGGTTACATTAAAAAACCACTGGAATGAGAAAATGTATGAGAATGAAAGAAAAAATCCTTCCTAACCCTCAGATTTTGAGTGGAATGTCACTTGACATGGGAAACACTCTTGGTAACAGAGAAAGTTAACATTTACATTTTTCCCAAACTTCTGACATTTTTAATAGTCACTAAAATTTACAAGAGATTGCAGCTGCAGTTATCAAACTCTATACAAAGAAAGACAATTTTTCCTGGATCTTTGCCCAATGTATTCTTAGTATGGAAATACGTATCTGGTTATAATTTAAGTAAGAAGAAAATCCACAGCTTAGTGTTGTGAACATTTCTACTCTGAGTAACTGCATTCTTACATATGAGCTGCCAAAAAACATTTCCACAACCAGGCACGGAAAGAAGAGAAAAAACTTGAAGTATTTCAAGGGAAGTTGATTCTGTTTAGAAGCTACAAAGATTGCAATAAAAATAAGAAAACACTGATCAAAGCAAGTGCAGCCTTCACAGACAGTGAGGAAGTACCTACCAGAATAAGTTATGCCAAGAAATTTTACTGAAAAAAAAACAAATATAAGGTTTTAAACACTTTTTTTTTTTTTTTCAAAAATGGAGACAACACAGATTCTAAGAAATTGCATAATTCCACTTGACAAAGACAGGTACCATATTGTCTCAAAAATCTATACCTCCAAATAGACTTAGTCAATAAGTATCTCACAAAAATTTGCAGAAAAGGATAGTGTCAAAAAACAATAGCTACATACAAGTTCAGCAATTTTGTTAATTGCACCTTTAATACTCAAAAATTACATTAAAGGAGTATGAGTTTTTGGGTTCAAGGAAAGAAGAAATTTGCTTTACTATCTACTAGTACCCAAAACCACCTTGTCCTCTGACAAATTCCATTAAATATAACCGAAAACATTGCAAACATCACCCTTTCTATTCTATTGATTGTGTATTCTTGTTCCAAATCAGCTAAAGAAAGCTTACCAAATTCTCTATAACTGTTGCAAAATATTTAATGAAGTGAAGGAACATTTATTTAACAACTGTAGTAACCTTCTCCTTTCAGCTTCATTGAGAAGCACTGGGATTAACAGTCTCCTCCAGAATATATTGAGTACCTCCCAAGAGCAGCAACTATATGGCATGACAATTTGCCTTGTCAAATCTCCCCCGGCAAGGCATTTGATGAAACTGTATAGACAACTCTTTTAAATACTTCAAATTACTCTCCTTCCTCCACACCCCTTGCTCCCTGCCAAGGAAGGAGTGAAGTTATGACCCCTTTGAAGGCAAAGGGAGTTTTTCTCCAATGTCCTTGCCTTAACATGATACTTAAAGCCTAAATTTAGGTATGGCACAGTAAGGAAAGACAAGACAGAGCAAAAAGAATAGGGGCAAGGCTTACAGCAAGAAGTTATGTGGTTGCTTAATTGCAATATTTAGAAATATGGATATTTTAAGACTTGTTTCTTTTTTTAAAATAATTCTGTCTAAACCTTTTCTTACAGTAATAAAAGCAGTAAGTTATAAGGGAACATAAGGATGCAAAGTTGCATAACCTCAAGTCTTTGAACACAGAGTGCATCAAAACCATAGCCCTTATCATAAAGTAACTTTTCCCTAGCTTGAGGACAGTCATTATTTTAAAGAGCAACATACATTCCCAGTAGAGTAGAACTAACAAGAGAAGAAAAATTCTACTTTTCTGGAAAGAAGAGCTTTCTCCTCTTCACTTTATCATCAAATTAACTAGAAATTATCATTTTTTAAAAAAAAATGTAACTGAGGCCAAACCCCACCCCAAATAACAATAAAATAATGTAAGCTCAAGAGCAGTATGTCCATAAAAACTGAGGATTTGCACATCTAGTTCATGTCTTATGCACTTTAGTATTTGCTCCCTGCACCTTAGCAATGGCAATAAAATGGTAAAACATAAATGCAATATAATAAAAGTGATCAATAAAAACCATTTTCACTTCCAGTAGAAGATATAGATTTTTGAAGAGATGTCACATGGCTAGACCAAACTATGTTTTGCAAGGAATAGGACAGAAACTGCAAGTTTTAAAGTAGCAAAATTCCTGTGTAAAGGTGAAAAAATATGACAGGACTAAAAAAAAAATAATAGAAATGGTTAGATAGAAAAAACTAGAACACAATAAATGAAAAGTATCTGTTAAAAATATGTGTTTGCAATGAATGTAATAAATACAAAATATAACAGTAGGCATAATTGATAGCACATACAAAACCTCTAAACATGGCTCTTACACGCTGTCTATAACAGGAGGCAACATTTCTCTATTTTAAGCCTATTTCAAATCTCCTTGACAATTCAGCATAGGTTTACACCCTGCCTTGCAGCAGGCCTAATCAGAATATAATGGAAATAGGCATCATGCTCTAGTTTAATTCTGAGTTCACTTACTATAGCATAACCTTTGGAAAAAGATGTTGGAAATGCTTATGAAATGCTGAAATTTTTCCCCCATTTTTTTTGCTAGTCTGAATTTTTATATAAAGAAGTCCAGTATTTTAAGTGCTGGAGATGGATATTTGTTCTCCCAAAACATGTATTCAACATATTGTGTAACAAAAACCTAACATTCCTGATAGGTTACAGATTAACATTTATCCTCAGAAGTACTTGCAGAAAAATCTTACCAGACACAAACTGTGTAATAGAGGATAATTCCATTTGGCTCCAGTGGAGGTTTCCATGACAACTTCACAGTGACACCCAACAACTGTTTTACAGAGAGGGCTTGTGGAGGAGAACTTGGAGCTGTAAAATGAGAGAATAGGACACAACACCTTGTTAAACAGCTAGGATCGGTGGGATACACAGCATCCTTAATTAGGGTTTGAATTATTTGTGATAGAAAGTTAACCTTGTACCACCCTGGTACAGTATCCATCCCATAAAGTTAAGGCACAGCTTCTTTTCCTTTTTCTGACAGATGATAAAAGAAGATTTTGCATGGTGTTGTTAGAACATCTGTTTCTGTGATTCAATGGAAAAAGTACTTCATGAGAAAACAGAGCAATGGCTAGGTCACAGGGATTCACCTACTGCCCAAGTACATTGCTGTAATTTTTTTCCCCTTCTAATAAAAGCAAGAGCTTCATAGATATGAACACATGAAAATACAGCATAATAGTTCCCCTGAGGAAAAGAATGTGCTGTAAAGAATTATACGAAGTGCCAAAAGGTGGAAAAGTGGATAAGCATGGCATTGAGAGATGATAAAATTGAGGGATAGTAGACAGCAGTAAAATCTATTCACTCCATCAAACAAGGACCACATTCATAGATTTAATGTGTTGCAAGGGCAAATGAAAAGATAGGCATTGACTGAGATCCCTAAAATTAATTTTAAGATGATCCCTAGATGACACTATACCCCAGCTCTGCAGGGAAACATTGTAAATAAATGAAAATGTTAGACCACGTTTGTCTTTGTTCTAAGGTTCTTATTAATTTTACTGAGGACAAATAACGAATGCATGCATAAATTATACTGCTTTATTATCAGCATGTTATTGAGAAATTAATCTTTATCTGCATCTTGATTCATGGACCTATGCATCACTATGAAGTAATATTAGAATTGCATTTGTTTTTCTCAAATTAAACCAAAGAGCATCATGCACTAAAAATTCAGGTCATAGCTGTAGTCATGCATGAAAATTGAAAATATGAGCATAACTATTAGCAAATCTATGAAACATTTGGTCTGAACCTTGGAACACTGTGTTCCTGTGAATACGGAACATGTGGTGTATTATAAATATTGTTGTTTTTCACTTCTTGTTCCTTTCACTATCTTGAAAGTTGGCATAAAGGTTTTATAACTCCTTATATTACAGAAAAAACTATTTAATATTTTTTTCACGAACAAAGGTTCACTGCATTCAGTGAGTGTATTTACTGGTGAAAAATGTTGACATCTGTATTTTGTGTTTTACTTGTTATATTATCCTCAGTGACTATACAATAAAGGATCTGTCATATGGCAAGTGTCATCTTTTTGACATGTCTAGTTAATTCTAAAATTCTTATTCAGGGAATTATTTTTTTTTCTAAAGAATACAAACTACATTGGTCTAAATAAAAATAATCTCTGCTAAAAGAATTGATTTATCCAATCTAGCTCTTTTTAGTCTGCTCCAGCAAAATAACTCTTGAGCAAAGTTTTTTTACTGACAGTGTGGCTGATGAGTTGCTTGGGTCAATTCCCCTTTAGATATGTTCCCAGAGATTTCCAGCTGAAGCAAAGGAGAGGAACAGACACAGCCTTTTCCAAAATGTCACTCACAGCACCTAAGTTAAGATTTTTGCTATGAATTTTTTTTTTCAGGATTCCCCTGCAGAAACTCAAAAGGTGACCAATGATAACTTTGCACTACAACATTGTGTTCTGAAAGTACAAGCATAATTTTAAGGTTCCTCTGCTGGTTTGTGACCCACTGTAAAAATTAGCAGGGTTTGCAACAACTGTGTTCTACCCTCAGGCTGCACATGCCCCAGCTCAATTTGGAAGTCCGGTGCTACAGATGATGGACTTTGGGCATTTTCATATTATTAATAATTTCATAGCTATCTATGTGTACCTGTACGTGCATCTGCTTAGAATAATACAAGAAACCCCACAGAAATGTCCCTGGACCATTCAAACTGCATTTTTGTGGTTTTCCCTTTCCCTAGGTCTCACATGACTGAAAAAGCAAATACAATAATTCTACCATGTCATGTATTAGATTAAAATAGCATGAGTAAATTAAGATACTTCAGATTCATAAGATATTGGTAAGATTAAAAGTCCAGGCACAGCAATTGCAGCATTTCATACAGCTTGTCCTGATAAATATATTGGTAGATAGATGGATAGGTAGATAAATATGTTTGTGTGTAGATACATAGTTACAGATAGAAATGGAGAGATATAACTTCCAACAAAAATGCATAAGACTTAAAAGTATCTGACATGAAGTTTAAGAGTAAATTAAGAATACAGGTAGAAAATGATGCACTGAAACTTCTGTTCTGACTTACCATCTTCAGCAGTTAGTACATGCAGAGGTGAACTACGAACGCCCTCTCCCATTGTGGTACTAGCAGACACTTCTACAGTATATTCTGTATACTTATTTAAATCTAAACAAACAAAAAAGAATAATTCGATAAAACAATGATTCAATGGAAAAAATTAGTTTTTTAATGGATTGCAAGTATTTTTGAAGTGGTGAATAAGCCTATCACACTGATCTGTGTCATTAGAGACTGAAATAAGCATTGGGAAAGCTTGGAACACCAAAATCTTGGCAAAAGAAGGGTCAAAGCCCTAATTACCAGTTTATACTTCATATTCCTAGAATGCTTTGCAGTTTGTCCTTGGCTGTAGTCTGAAAACGTAGCAGTGAGTGTACTGAGCTCCCAGCATTAATTGCTGTGCCACACCTCAGCAATAATGACAGAACTTAGGAAAAGATTCAAAGCTGAGTGGAAAAGGAATTTTTTTATCCAGAATAAGATCAGAAAGATATGCAGGTGACTTGAAGGTTTCCTTTGTTAAGATGATATTGAAGTTCCTTGTACTTTAATCATCTAAAATACAATGAAATTTATGTTAGACTCCACCATTTGAGGCCCATTTCACCACATTATGACAGGACACAAGTTATTTTTTCAGGACAGGGAGTAAAAAACTTTCTGTAAGGGCAAGAAGGATCAGGTCCAACCAATGAACTAAGATATCTCTGTCTGTTGCATACTTCCCAGAAAAACTCACAGTTGCCCTAAGTTCCAGATCATTATATACTGGCCTGCAATACGTAGTGTCAGAAGGGTAGTGTTTATAACCCTTTGCTCAGTGCCATTAGCCCTCACGAGATATATTGTGTAGGTCTGTATAATTCCGTTGGGAATGGATGGTGGAAAAAATGATAATTCAATTTCCATGGATGAGATGTTTCTATAGGTTATGTTTTCTGGTGCAGACGCAGGAACTAGAAGAAAAAAAATTAGATTTCAGTCAGTTTCATTGATTTGGAAAGAATTCTTATAAACCAGTTTCAATTAAACAGATTCAGATTTGTATCCTATTTTTTTAATGAAATACATTTTTAAAGAGGCTGAATTTGAAGATCAAAAACACTTAGACACACACAATACCAACAAAGTCTTTAAAAAAATATAGAAATCATCTTAATTCATCTTCATCGCTGTCATGGCTGCGCTTGGCCATGGTCCCACTGATCCAGTCCCTGCCTGACACAGCAGCCCAGCCTCAGCTTGGCTTCCCACTGCAGGCCTGCCCCACTGGCACTGGGCTCTGTCTGCCTTGGTTATTGTCACTGAAGCTGTGAAATTTCTTTCCTGGCTTGATCTCAGACCTGCTGCATCAGCAGGAGGTGTTTGGCACTCCAGACAGGCCCTGGCTGCCCCACCTTGCCTGCTCCATGTGCTTTGCAGTAGGGTGGTGAGACAAGTCCTGGCTAGTGACACCTCTGCTCATCTGGCCCGGGAACCCCGGGGCTCTTGGCTCCCCATCCCTTACCAAGCACCTGGCCTTGCTCTTTTGCTTTGGTTAGAAAAGAGAAAAATGGGATTCAAACTCACTGCCTGGCAAAGTAAGGAAATACTTTTTAAATTATTGAAACTTATCTCCTGGACATCAAAGGTTATCATGAAGCAACTTCTTGTCAAAATTTTTCATTCATTAAAAAGTACTCACCAGTTTCAGAAGTTCTGACCAGAAGCGGAAAAGATGACTGATTCCCATAGCCAAGTCTGGTGAATGCTCTTACTGAGATGTTGTAGAGAGTATATGGCTTCATTTCACTTAGTGATATACTTGTAGATGAGGCATTTTTAATAAAAAAATTGTTGGAATCACTGTACAGAACTTCGTAGTGAGTTATGAGACCATTAGGCTGCTCAGGTGGTAACCATCTCAGATTTATTTCTGTTGCAGTTACATTTATTAATTCTAAGTTTTGAGGTGGGGAATCTGGTTCTGCAACACAGAAATCAGAAAAAAACCTTTTCAAATAAAGAATACAGAGCTGAGATCATAAACCTATTGGATCCTGGCGTTGGATTCTAACTGTAATAAAAGGGCTACGCTCATTTTCTAAATCTTGTTCTCAAAGCCTTTCCACTTTTTACCTTAGTTAATTTGGATATGTCTCTTTTTTACCCATAAAATTAGGCATCTTTTTGCATTATGACACTTTAGCTTTTCTGGAATTTCTTTTCTCATCCACTTCCAAATCTATCTGAAACTGCACTTATTATAAAAAAAAATTTCTTCTCTCTACTAGTCTCATGCAGACTGGTCCTTCAAATCCTCTCATTGTCTTCCTCATATTCAGTTCTTTAAACTTGGATTAATGTCCTCTGCTTTCTTTGAAAATAACCACCCTTAGTACTTAATCAACTATTGAACCAAGAGAGGGCCTCCATGCAGAGTAACTAAATTGCATTTAGAGAACCCTGTGTAAATCTTGCACACTCTGGTGTGAAGGTCATGCACAAAGCAAGTCCAGCTCAAGGGTGGTGTGTGGTTAAATCTATTGGCAATGTATGAGCTCATGTGACTCCAGTGTGCTAATAAGGCATGGAAGTGTTGGAGAAGTGAGTGGGCTGCACTTATGAATAAAATCAGCTCTGAATGTCAACTTTGATTCCTCTGAAGGCTTCACCACTTTACCCCTGAAATAATCTGTAAAATCAATATGAAAATATACTACCTACTCAGAATAATAGGATTCAGTTTGTGTACAAATATCCATTTGAAGATATTTCAGAAGTCATTATGAATTTTTTTGCCTAAAAGGTCCCACAAATCATTTTCATTCCTGATTTCTGAGCACATGAAAGTGTTAACTGTAACAGATCACTGCTCTCTGGATGACAAGACTGCCCACATGAATATTTCCCATGCGAAGAAGATTAATTTTTAATTTAAATGTATTTTGCCATGTATCTGGCATGGTAAAATATTTAAATGCAACAGCCTAGTTTCTTCCATCCTAATGCAAGTTATCTAAGACAGTTGTAGTGAATCTTTTATTTGGAGGCATCTCTCCTTTCAAGAGTCAAACAAATTTATGTTTCTGGGCTAAAATTAGGACACATGAATCTCAGCCTGAACTACTTCAGGAAAGCTAAACAAGAAGAAGAAGATAAACAATTATGGATAGCCTTAAAGAAAAGGCAAGAATTCTCGATGGGTTTCTCACTAGTTTCCTCAAGCCTTGCATGGCTCTTTTACGAATGAATGAACAGTTGGCTGTTGGCTCTGAACAGAGAAACTCTACTAAGAAAAATTTCTTTAATACTCTCAAGCAAGGGACTGTAAGCTTTCAGAGAGAAAAATACTGATATAAGTAATTTTCTTCCCTTGTGATATGCCTTTCCTCTGTAAAAATAGTGAAAGCATAGGAGAATATAATTTTTTTAAAGATTTACAACTATTTTAAGTTTCAGCATTTAATCTCATATTTTGTGTGGTTATTCAAGTCACCTAAACTTCAAAATTACCCATGATTTTTAATCCTGTAGCTGTTTTCCCTCCTTTATTGACACTCAATTATTTTTCTTGTATTATAGTACATTTGAAAATGATAGAGATTAATGAAAATTGGGCAACCACCCTCTGGATTACTTCAGTAAACCTGGAAATAACCGCTGAAACCAGTGAAAATACAAACTTGATGCAAACAAGAAAAGACTAACATTCATGGCTCTGCTCTGCAAATCAAATTCCCATGTTTTCTTTGCAGAAGACAAAGACAACTCCAGCTCTTGCCCCAGTGCCTTCATGGGTAGGAACTGCCTTGCAAGTAAAAAAGGAAGATTCAAAAATCTTTATAATGTAGTATTATACCTGACATTAAAATTATTGAGCAGTCCCAAAATTAGTAAAAGCTATACAAAAACAACTGCTTATTATATTCAGCATTAAAAAAATCTTCACTTTATCAGCATCTTTGCCTACAAATAGAAATATTGTCTCTGAATTGTTGAAATGCCCATATGCTTCAAAACCAACCTAATTTACACGTGATAAAAAGAAAAAGACAATAAAATGGAATCACAAAGATTATTATTTAGATGAGTGCTAGGGACATTGTTTTGAGAGAGGAGCCTCAGCTCTGCAGCTTTCCTTCCATTTGTCTATCACATTTGAAATTAGTTGATTGCAGGTAATGCCACAGCTTTCATTACTATTTTTTTAGCACTTACCTAAAAATTATCTGAATGAAGTCACTGCCTGATAGAAGACTAATAATTTCAACATTGGTTTTATCTATACACTTTGTTCCCCCTTTTGTGTGTGTGTGCTAGTCTTCTTTTTGAACAGACACAAACGTCAGTACAGAAAATAAATCATTGCAAACAGTGCATTACCGTCCTCAGGGGTTCGCACAAACACCTCGTTCTCTTCAGACAAAGCACTTTCTCCAACTGCGGTGGAGGCTGTGACTCTCATTTTATAATCTGTGTACTTTTTTAAACCTGAAAAGATTAATTTAAAACATCTTGACTCTTAACTTCATAGCAAGACTGTTGACTTCTTTTGCCATAGCTACCTATAAAACTATAGTACTGGATACTGTTCTGAGAGTTTTTGATACATGCTAAAAGAATATGTAAAATACTGTTTATTTGGTGACAGTCAAACAAGCATGCAGTTAAATCAGCAGATTTTGAAGTAAGTCAGGCAGCTTCAACCCCGTAAATAGCCAAAACAATTTGTCAAGTATGTCAAAGGATACATATATTAACATCCAAATATGGGGGTTTAATCAGCTTGCATTATTCTGATTAGCATCAATGATAAGTGAAACTCTATTAGAATGTGTTTGCTTCAATTACTATAAAGAATACTACCTTAAAATAAGAAAATTGTTATTGATGTCAGATAAATACTGTGAAAAAAAAACGCAAATCTGAAAAAGACTTGATGATTTAGGAATATTTTCCTATGGGGAAAAAGGAGACTGAGGCAAATATTCCAAGGAGAAATCCATTTCACAGATTATTGCTTGTACCATTTAAAAAATTACTGTTTGTCTTAACCAGCCCTCTTCTCCCATCTCACATACCCTACATATTCCTCCACAGTAGACAAGTCTGAGTAGGGTCCCAACCTTGGTTTTATATGCAGTTTTGTTGTGTGTGTGTGAACGTGTGTGAATGTGTGAGATTTGATCCACATATATTTCAAATGGCTACAATATAAAATTAGAAAAAATAAGTTTGTAAAATTTACTTGCAAGTTTAAATTTTTATATTTTTTTAATTAAATGACACCATACCTGTCATAAGTAAGCTGTTGTTTGAAGTTGTTTCATTAAATGCTTTTTTTGCATCCAGTTCCATGGCATAAACAGTATAATGAGTGATTTTCCCATTAGGATTTGCTGGAGGATCCCAATACAGCAAGACAGAGGAAGAGCTAATATTCTTGTAAAATATATTTTGTACTGAGCTTGGGACTTAAACAAAAACACAAGAACATACAGTAAGTAAATAAATAAGTAAAAAAATTCAAACATTCAGTGAAATAAATAATTAATATATGTCAACTTTGGTAATACCAGTTTCAGTTTACCTTGTTCACTTGTCCTGACTGTAAGAACTGATGGTGGTCCTTCTCCAACAGCAGTGAAAGCAGACACACTAATTGTGTAATCTGTGAAAGGTGTGAGGCCCTTTATAACATATGACAGTTCTTCAGCCAAAATGTCGATGTTATATTGAATATCTATGAGTCAATAGAGAGAAATTGTTGCTTACTCATAAAGTAATTTTATTTCTTATTCATTCTAAACTCACTTTGGCATGGCAACCTGGAACTTTTTTATTCTCAAAGAATTAATTTATATGTCAATTATAAAAATAAAAAGAAAAATCTGCATTCAACCTTTTAACTTCCCCAAAGGAGAGTCCCTTTTCAGTGTACAATAGATAGGTAGGCTTAGGTAAAATGAGTAGAATTGTGAGGTTTTGTGAGTAATCCTCTAGAAGCTAGGAAACAGTACTTTTGTATAAGGTCTAGTCTCTCCAGTGATTTCAGAGCAATGGCTCCTAGACTGATGGAGCTTTTGAGGGGTTTTAAATAGTTTCAATCAAGAAAGACAAATTCCATCTTCCTTGCCTTCCCAATGGTGCTAGAACAACAATACTTGGAAAGGCTGCCTTCACAGATCCCTTCATGCTGGTATTTTTACCAGAAGAGTTGTGGTCAGTAGAATGATGAAGCCATGCATGCCCACAAAGAGAGTGGTGCACTCTAAAATAAAGTTCAAAGTCAGCCACAATCCAACTGTGTTAAACAAAACCATCTGCTAAAAAATAGTCATTATGCCAGTGCAACATGAAAAGGTGTGGGCACCTCACATACCTGAATATCAGGCTCAGAATTCAGTGAGAAGGGCATTAAAATAAGGGCATTGAAAAAACATCAGGCCCTGTTGAAAATTTGGCTGTCAACAGCTTTAACTACTATAATAACTCCTATAAAACAATACTTGGATGGTAGATCACAAGAGACACTGGCTGAAATAAATTTTCAGCAGCACAGACATCTTTTAGCAACTCAATACCTCAAACTGAATGAGGCCATAAAAAGAAGATTTACATTTAAATGCTGTGCATTTCCTGTGTACGACAAAGAAGATTCTTCAGGATTAACACAGCACAGAAAATATCCACTGTCGTTTAAAATAAAGGATTAAATTCTGGTTTTAGATACTGGTGCATATAGATGAATTCAGTGACTTAATTAAATCATTTTTTAAAAAACAAAAAGTATATTTTCTCCCCACTGTCCAAAACATTGTAAAAATTTTGAGTGATATTTGAAATCCCTGCCTGTCAGCTGAGGGCTGCTTAATGATTTGTAAATATCCATACTTGGTAAAGAAACAGTGGTCCATTGATAATACAGAACAAGTGTACTCACTAACGACATCACCATGTCATGGGGTCATCTCCACCTGTTTGTAACCCATACAGCAAAGTTGTAACTTTTTGACCTATTTACCTTCACTGACATTTGAAAACCTATTAGTCAAAAGGCTTAGAAAAATCAAGGTCTCTGAAGGGCTTGGAGATATGTTAATCCCTGACAATCACACCTGCTTTGGCAACTGTAATAACTGATTGTCTATGCAGCTTGGCTGATGGCTCTCGGGTGCTCCTTTCACTAGCAAGAAGGTCAGCTGGGTGACAAGGGGCTAGTTCCTGCCTGTGTGGCATTCCCATTTGCTTCAGAAGGTTATTTGGTAGTAAAAAAATCTGACTCCAGCAAATGACCCATTTATAGTTTGCTTGAACCATGTGCTAAAGATCATATCTGGGACAGTGATGGGGGTCCTTCAGCACAAAGGATCAGGTAGAAAAATATCCTAAAATATCTTACCCAAAGCAGAATGTAGTTCTGTAGCTCCATTTATATCAGGGAAATTATCACCAGATACACTTGTAAATATTACTGGGGAAGCTGTCTGAATGCTGGAAAACATTTCAGCTGAACCTTCATATAAATCATTGTCTGCTTCCATTGAATTCCAAGGGGTAGAAGAAAGTTTGATATTTTCATTTATTGTGTATGGTTCCAAAGAGTCAATCAGATACTATAAATTAGAAATATAAAAATAAAGTACAAACCTAGTCATCATTAAATTATATAATTGAATTTATATGTAATATAGAAATGATGCTTGTATGTTTGTACACGCAGATAAATACTATATAAATTTTACCATACAAACATCATTGGTCATTAGAATAATTTTTAAAATATAAGCTTTGTCATAAAAATGTTCAGGTGCCAGTAGCCTACAACATTTCATTCTGGTTATTGTTTAATCAAACACCACCAATGTTTTTTTATTAAAAACAATTCTTAAAATACGTATTTTATAATAATGTGGCAATTTTAAAGTAAGGCCTTTAATTTTACAGCTATAATTTTAGAGCTATATTGAATAGATATACATTTGAACTTGGGAGATTTTATTTGTACTATCTCCTGAAAGAAGGCAGCAGGCATTGAAAACACAAGGACTTCAGATGATCCTTCCAGTCCCTCAGGGAAAGGATTAGCAGGCTGACTAAATCTCTGAGAGGGAATAAGAGGAGAGGGAGAAAACCAGAAGCTGATGAAAAAAAGGGGAAAGAAAAACAAGGGTGTATATATATGAAAAGGGAGAGTGTAGGGGAGGCAGCGTGATATAGGGGCCCATAAGACAGAAGATGCAAAGAAAAAAATGTTGGAAAGGGATGGCAGCAGATATAAGTGCAGCAACAACAACAAAGAGAGGAGAAACAAAAGCAGAAAAGAGAGAGAGGCTAAAGCATAGGTACAAAATGGTGTGTTAGTACCAGATCTTCATGCCCCTTCAAAATCTGGGACCAGATCCAGGACTCAAGTATCTCTGAATTGTTCTGCTGTCATCTGGAACACTCCCCACTCACACACATGGCCCACCTCATTGCCAGAAAGACATGTTTTTACAGTGATGTAACTAATACACATTAGTCCTTTCCCTATGGACTCTGGGCAGAGAAAGGGAAAAGCCACATTTTTACTCCTTTAATGTGAGGTACATTAGCCACAGGCACAGACAGAGCATCAATCTCACCTAAGTACCAGGAGGTAAAAACTGTGTATGATTCCACTTCACCAGCATTTTATAGCAAAATAGTAGGCCACATGGAAATACTTTTTGGTTCTGAGGATTTTCCACATATAAGACACCAGCTTTTTATTGCTATTGGTTTTTGAGTGCCATTAGCACAGTGACTCTATCAGTTCAAGCCCTGTAGCTGCTCTAAGCTTTGGTCAATGCAGTTCTAGATAAAGCAAGGTTGTTTATTACTTGCCTTGGATTTTAATTAGAAAAAAACATTCTATAAATTATACTAAAGCAGCAATGATACTGCACTAAGAACTCAAAAATTAGGAAATTCCATCACCAAAACATTTTAGTGCACAATATTTTAATTTTTTGTGTCAGGACTATGATACAATCTTTAATTACAGAGTTATATGTTTTCCTTTTCCAAGGATGCCTGTCTGGTTTAATGAATGGATCTTTATCCTAATTTTGTTCCCCTTGCTCCTTATTTAACATTTGACTCCAGGGCTCTATTTAATGTATATCATTCAACTTGAAAGTGAACTCCTTCCTTGAGCCCTACATCAAAAACTTAGATCCAGATCCAGTGAAAGACATCACTGCCTGAAAAAATAAGCAATTATGCAGACTTTGGGCACCTGTTTCCAAAATTCAGCCCAAAAAGCCCTACCCAGAAAGAATTAAATCCTGAGCTGAACTTTTGCCAGGGGTCTGCAGTTCTGTGCTGCATACTCAGAGATGCTCTAAGCACACAAGGCAGATCAGGACCCAAAATCCAGAAGCTAGACTGATTGACAGCCTAAGTACCCTCAGAGATATGATCCCATAGATGTGCACAGACATCCTTAGTATGCAACCACAGCATGGAGTTAAGCATGTAGCATCACACACGTGATTTTAAGGATACAAAAGGAGGCAGAAATGTCTAAGCCTGTCTGCCTTGCTAGTAAAACACTTAGCTAGCATTTGGACACTTCTGCTGAATTCAGAGGGTTCATAACCACGTCTTCTAGAGGTTTGACTGAGTGGCTGTGTATCAGTGTAGGCACCCAATTCTTTACTCTGGCCACCCTGGCCTGCAAAGAACCCAAGGACTGTGGGCTGTGGCTTCCTGCCTTCAGCAGCTGGATCATTTTACCAGAATGATTTAATTTTTCATGTTGTGGAAACAATATTACTGGAATCGTTTTGAAAGCCAGTCAGAGAAAGACTGTGAACTGAGGAAGACGGCTTTTAAAAAAACTGACAACTTATCAGTGGGAACTAGCTCATTCTGTAAATGTCAGATAAGGCAGAGAGCAAATTTAATCTAACATAAAATCCATACTAAAAAAAAGAAAATAATACCTTATTTTTGTCTCCAAGAACAGTGTTTTCCAGAGTGGCAAGTGTTGCCTGCACATGTACTTTAACTCTGTACTGGGTAATGATTCCATTTGGTTGTTGTGGCTTTCTCCAAGTAATTTTTATATATGTGGCTTCCACTTCTGCTAGTTGTAAATCTGATACAGCACCTGGGACTAAATTTCCAAGAAGAAATTTCAGTTCATTAAACACTTGGGATTTTTACAAGGTTTTTCAGCACTGTATACAAAGTACAATAGACAGTCCAGTTTCACATCCTTATCTTTTGAGTTGATCCTGTGCAGAGTAGAGAGTTACTTCATGTGTTCTCTCAGCAAACAAGTTACAGTTCTAAAAATATGCAGACTTTTTTTAACACATAAGACATGTATGAGTATGGTCAGAGACTAATAAGATGTAAACCAGGATTGCTCTACTGAGGTCTACTTGGTTGGAATCAAGCAGGCCTTTGCTATTTTCCTATATGGACTCTAAAGTATTCTTGAAAATAAAAGGTTAGCTCTAAAATCATCAAAGCCATAGAAGGATGAAGTAAAAAAGCTGTGGGAAAAGTTACTGTGATACAGCTTGTTAATTTCCCTTTTACAATTGGTTTATATAATTTTATTTAGGTTTATATAATTTTATTTATATTATATATTTTATAGATGTGTGTAGATATAGACAGATACATATAATAGATAGAAATTACATAATTTCTATAATTTTTTCATTAAAATTTCAGTCTAATTTATATTGTAACTTCCATAGGACCTCCAGAGGTAAAATACATTTATATTCAATAGAATGATATTCAGATTTGATACAAAAAGAATTTTTTTTCCTAACACACACCAATAAAAGACATTTTTGAAATTACTTGTATAAGGAGGATTTTTAGATTTGGCATTAAAATAAGACACACTGTGTTATGCTAAAATTACCCCAAACCCACCAAAATTCCCTTTGGTTTCTGTCAGTGCATTTCAACAAAAGATGAGCACCTGTACTCAGATAGGTAATCTCTGGAAATTGTCTCTGAGAGCTGCCTGAAGAAGACCATTCAGGAAAGAATATGATAAATAAATAAAGATAGGTTTTCCTCCCAGTGTTACATCTTGACAAGAAACACTGCCAGCAATCCCTGAGGCAGAGATTTTCTAAATTTTTGTTGTGCAGCATAAAAGTAAGACAGAAATAACCATCTTGTAACTTCCTCTCTATTACACAGCAACTCTCAATTTTTCCTCCATGCATCCTCAAATGCTGACCAAGAGTCCTGCACAATCGCACATATATGTGAGATAAATCTGCATTTCCGTGCAGCCAAGGATTCTAACCTGGTGAGTTGGCCACTTGGGACCACAATTCCACAGGACCGAGGGCTTAGAGGCAGAACCAGCCACTTGTACTGGGACAAGCCCTCCATGTGGGGCCTGTCTCACTGCTGAGGGTGGCTCCATTACAGATGGTGAGGATGAATCAAAGGGGAGATTTCATAAGGAACAGGGGGTTGAACGAGCCAGCAGCAAGAATCTGGGCTGCGCTTTCTTTTCCTCTTGCTGCCATCTAACGGGGCAGAGGGGGCCCTGCAACTTAATTACTGTACCTAATATTAATTACTTTTGTTAGAAAGATGCTACATTTCTTTCACAATCTCTGAAGGCCTTTGATAGAGGATAAATGTACTGACAGAGCATGAACTTAACAAAAACAAAGAAATAAATGTCATAATAATATTAAACTGATTTCTTTTCCTCTCTTGTAGGGCTCTTACATGCATTCTCTCCTTTGCAAAGTACCTTAAAGGCTCTGAAGGGAAAACTGAAACCCTTTATCATGTTCAATGTTTGTTTTGCCTCTCTGTGCTTACCATCTGCAGGAGTGAAAACTGTGAGGTTGGTCTTTGGCCCCACCCCAGCACTTGTCTCAGCACTGACATACACGTCGTAGGTTGTAAACGGCACAAGGTTACTAAACACAAACTTCAGGTCTTTTGTACTGTTATCCAGAACATGACCTGGAATTAAAAACAAAGAGATTTTAGGTCTAAAAGAGAAACAGCCCATGACTACTTTCTGGTATGATGAACAAATGAAAGGACAAATTTGTTCGGGGAAAGGCTAATCAAGAATCAACTTTAGTGGAATAATGCTGAATATATGGGGAATAAAACAACAAACCAACCAACCCACCAATCAACCAAACAAGCCACTTCAAGGAGGAGGGAGTTTTAAGAGTAAGAGATTTTAAAAAATGTATCTTACTTTTCCTGTGTGGTCCCATAAAAACATTAGAATACAGCTTATTCTTATGTCTTGCTTAACTACAGACAGTTCTATAATTTCTGTATCTATATATGTCTGAGTTCAAAAAAAATGCAAAAACAGACTTAAAGTGTTGATTGTATAATGCATGAGAATGAACATTCTCAAGAAATTTTTATCAGAAAGAAAAAAAGTAAAGATTTAGATATATAAGCACAGCAACCGTGTGCTTAACCTATGTATCTCCTGAAAGATTGAGTAGAAGTTGATTTTATCCATTCCTAGAAATATCTAATGTGAATTTCACTTTATACTCTTCCTTTCACCTTAAAATTAATCTACAAACCATTAAAACATATAATAGCAAAAAGGGATCTATAACACTGCTTTTGACTATCCATTTTTGATTGGCAAGCCCAGAAGAATGTGTAAGGAAATAATCACAAAAAAATCAAAAGAAATGGTAACATCAACTCTGACTTACCAGATGGTCCATACAGCTCAACTCTGTAACTGAATTTCCCTGTTACTATGGTCGGTGGGTCCCACATTACTGAGAAAGACTTTGCTGTAATGTTGCTCTTGGCAAAATTCTGTGGTGGGTCTTCTGGAACTTAAACATATTGGGAAAAGTCTTTGAACATAAAATACTTTATATTAGGATGTCCAAGAACCCCATAACAGACAACTCGTTTCTAACATAAACATGAAATATTCTGAAGGGCAGCCATAAAAGCCATAAAATTACTTAATTTATTATTTAAGGTAATTCTCAGTGAAGGTATCAAGAGAGTTGATAGTATGGAAATAATTTCTAAAAGACAAAGGTGAAAAATAAACCAGAAAATAGCCCTGAAATCATGAGAAGAGAAACTGACCAAAATTTCATTAACCCTTGAGAGAGCAGCAAACTAAGGCTATTGAAATTCCATCAAAGCAATTCAACTGAACATTTCTAGGAGAAAATAAAATTTCTTTTTATCTGAACAGTGCTATCTATTTTGTATGTATGAAAGGGAACTGAGTAACATCAAATCATATCAAGCAAAAGAATGATGTACTAACAAACAGAAAGCCAGAATACCACTCCTTTGGAATGCTTTTTTTGTACAGCTCTGCTAACAGTGCTCCCACTACCTAAGCCATTATAAAGGTGCTGCTCATGGACCATTGCTTCCAATTCCAGCTTCTCAGTGCATTGCAGGTAATCAAAAATCAACTTCACTTGGTGCTTAAAGATTTCTTCAGCACTGAACAACTTTCTGCAATAGGTGCAGATTGGCAACAAAAGTACAGGAGTTTTCTTCATTAATGTATTTCTCAACAAAGGCAAAGAAGCCTAAACTACATTTCTATGTACACAAAACACATCCTTTTACAATATTATGCCTGACAGTTAGGACCCTTCATCTTTATTTTCAATTCTTCTACCATTATTTTATTATTAGCAGTTCTTAAATTGTCCCCAGTTTTTCATAAAATTTGATCTGTCCTGAGTTTCTTGGTATCTTTGACTCCTAACAACAAGTGAACTCTCACTCACTGTACATTATTAGATACATGAATATATATGCATTTTCAATTGTTTCCATCAGGTAAAATTAAGTAATCACAAAAATACAAAAGCATGATACAGATAAAGACAGATTAGGACAGAAGTATCTTGCAGCAGAAAGTTTTTCACACAAATTGGAGAATTTTATTGCCATTTTAGAGCCATATGTATTTAACATACCTGATTCTGGTGTCCGGACAATTGCACTGTCAATGTAACCTGCTTCAGTGGTAACTGCAGAGACTTCAAAAAGATAGGTGGTGTATGGCCTGAGGTTAGTTACAACAAAGCTGATTGGTTCACTCCAAACAGAGCTCATCTGACTTGTTGCCTCTGTACTTGGTGTCACTGTAGTCTGTGAAAGACTTGTGGGTTTCCCAAAAGTAGTTGAAGGAGTGGTAGTACTCCACAAAAAAGATTCACTCTTATCCTATAAGTAAAAATAAGAAACATAATAAAGTGCATCTATAACCAATAATTGTAAATAAATGTAAAATAAGGCTGACCATCTTTGAAAAAAATTACCCTGAACTGGTTCTCCTTTTTGTGCTTCACTTTCCAAATTTAGGCAGACTTTGCTAGTGCATCCTGTTAGTGACAGTGTTAGAATTTCCTGTCTTATTCAAGAAGATCTCAAATCTGACTAAACAGAACCATCTCCCTAGGATTCATTTAATTATTCCCAGTTTCCATTTTCAGCATTCAGTCTATCTCTCGAAAAACGTTCCCTAGTGACGTCCTTTTGCATCGCATGTATGCTGTATGTGTGTATGTGCACACACACACATAACATACATATATGCACACATCATGGATAAAACTAGACAGGAGTTTCTTAATCCATTGTGTCAGGAGACAACTCTGAAAAATTGCTAGGCATTGTGGTGACCAATGCTTATGGTTCAGTAGGTGGCAGCCTACTTTCTCAGATCTGAATTAAACCAGCCTGGTGTTAGGAACCTTTGCAATGTCTAAAATGATCTTTCAAATAAAAACTGAAACCAAATTTATGTTAACTAATGCAATTTAAAATTGCACTTTTCTTTAAAGCGCTAAGTGTAAGAAATTTTTAAAAAAGGTCAAAGGAAAAAATGCTTGGTTACTTGACGTTTTGACATTTCTGTAACTGCTAAACTTTGCCCAAAGTAAGAAGGAAAAAGAGAAAAAAAAATCTAGAAGAGAGAATTTTCTTCAAGAAATTCCAAAAGGATTCAATGTTTACAGGTCTGAATTCAACAATAAGAACAATTCAGACTGCAACCATATTTTTGAAAATCACTCTGCCAATCATGTTCAGTTTTTATTTTGGTAGAAGAAGTATTTTAAATATATTGAAATGTGCAAAACAGAATAAAGCATACTTCTAAAATACAAAAATATCACACTATATCAAAAATATCATACTATATAGAAAATAAGATATTAACAATACTCTATGTCTTCACTGACCAAAAAATCCATGTAAATTCTTGGGTTTTTTCTAATTGAATTATGTGTAAAATAAAAAGATAAAAATTGGAAGCTGAAAAAATCAGAAATTTTCTATTTCATGATTTTCTGTTAAAAGGATGCCAAACTTGACCTTTCATAACATTTTTGCTTTGATTAAACTGAACTTTTCAAGCAAAAGTATTCAATTTAAAATACTTTGAACAGAAAGGCTTTTCTTCATATTATATCCTGTCTTGGGACTAAATCTGTAAGGTTTTTGAATCTTTCTGAAAAGTAAGGCTCTACATTTTTAAGTCTCAAATTTTAAATGTAAAACTATATTCTGTGGGTTGAGTCTACTTCTAATTTAGAAGTTTATAGCACTTACATTACATTCTGGTAACCTCCCAGACAGAAGGTCCTCTACTTTAACCAAGACATCTTTCACTACAATTCCACTTCTTGCATGTTTCACACTAATCTTGAAACTAGTTATCTTTCCATTTGGTTGCCGAGGGAGAAACCAGATCAGATTTACAGCTGAAGAATTTAAGGCTTCAACTGTGAGATTCACTACTTTACCTGGAGCTTGAAAACAAAACAAACAAAAGCAGTGAGATAAACTGTTCTTCTCAGCACTGAAAAGTAGCAAATATTTCTTTTTTTTTTTAACTCCATTTCTAGCTTCCAAATTCTGAAGCAAACACATAAAAAACATTCACAAACACATAATGTAGCTGATCTACAACTGGCTATTTTTCAATCTGGTTTAAGTGAGAAATATAAGTATTTCAGTCTCATTATATATGTAGTAATGGGTTTGGTCAACTTAGAAATTTTCTTCTTAGAATGTTCCAGAAACAGAAAAACATTGCCTTTTTTTTCTTTTTTTTTTTTCTGGTTAAGAGCATTTGATAACACTGTGTGTTTTATTTCACTTTACCTGTGTCATCTTTTCTGCTGCACATAGATTTAAGTAACTCAATTAAGTTGGAATATTCACTATTGCTGCATAAATGCTGTTCTTTATATCGGTGACAGTCTCTGTGGCCTTTTTCAGAGCATCAGTATTAATCACAGCACAAAGGAATGAGGTGCAGCATTGAAATCAGATTTTACATGCTATTTTACATGCTGAAATCTCCTGGGAATTAAAGCCCTGTGGCCCTGTCTTAGTGCTGCCTACATGTGGCAGAGTCAGCAGCAGGTTCTGCTATAGCTGTCTTTTCACAGTCTTTTTAAAAAAAGGCATTCCACAATTACAGACCTTCCACAGGTGAATTGAGACAACTCCTCCAAGCCTCATATTCAGTGCTTTCAGTCTTGCTAAATCTCTTCCGCATCTTTCACCTCTTTTCCCCTCCTCCCAAAATTCAACCTTTATATTTAAATTATTTTATCTTCAGGCTAATTTTCTCCCTTTAAACTTCCCATCTTTATGTTCATTAAGATGTTTGGCTTTCCTTAGCCGTAAAGCAAGAATTAGAACAAAAAAACAGTTGAGAAAAAAAAGTATAACCGTTATACCAATGACACACCACTCACCTATAATTTGAAGAAACCTTCCAATTACATTTATAGTAAGGTATTTTAGGTTTAATAAAAATGTAGACAGAAATGCTTCCAAAAATAAAAAGCTCATGTTCCCATATGGAGAAATGATAGTGCTGTCCTCTGTCAAACATGAGTAAATAATAAAGCTTACAGAAATAAGATTTTTTACCAGCAATAATGCACAAATACTGAAGAATAAGGATCTCACACATATCCATGTGGCAAGTTTACTACTCCTTCTTATACTGGGTTCATAAATTATTGCATTATTTGTTCAGAGTGATTTCTGCCATTAATTAAGTTATCTCACTCTGCAGTTTGCACAGAAAGAGAAAGCAGCCTAAACCCAGATGGGCAGTCACTGCCTTGGCAGCACAAGCTCTGTTTTCCATTGAGACTGGTTCACAGGTGCACTGCCGCAAGCTCATCAGCCAAGGCACAACTGCTCCTGGAGCACAAGCAAGACCACAAACACTAAATTAGTAAAAATTGTACAAACTCAGACTGTGTTTGAGTTTGCACAATCAAACTTTCTAAATCAAACCACCAAATCAAATTTTCATTTCAGATTTTTTTTTTACCTTCAGAATCAATGCATAAAAATTTAATAAAATACATTCTGTGCTGAAGTTCTTAGAATCCATTGCTAAACAAATACAGATTGACTTAGCAGACAATGGCAGAGATGATCCCACAACAAAGTCTGTCTCCTAGAATTGTTGCAGGCAACAACAGATGGATCCACTTGATAGGTAGTTGTGCTCTGCTAAGACCTTGCTTTCTGGAAGCTCCCTACCTAGAAACTGGCATAGGAAAACTCCAAGAAAAACAGACTTTGTGTACAACAAACACCCCTATGGGCACACCCTAAATGGCATCGTTAGCAAACAGAACTAAATGAAACTTTGTCACTGAGTGACAGAATAAGAATAAGGATTTTGTTCTAAATGCATTGAAATTTGTTCAAGTATGAAATTCATCATGGAAATTTATTTGAACAAATTAGAGCAAATTTAATCAAAATAATTGACAGCTTTATTAAATTTACCACTTTCTGCAGTCTGGAAAAGGAAAGGATCGCTAAACACTCCAATACCAGCACTGTTCTCAGCAGCAACCTACAGGAAAAAACAGAAAGGATCCACATTAGAAAATCTACAGTATACACAGTTTCAGGGAATATGAAAATCCTAAGGATTCACAGAGATACAGCTTTTAGCTTTTAAACTATAAATATACAGATGAACATGCCCTTTATAGTTGTGTTGTATAATTTATACTCATTGTTTAAATATAAAAAAATAAAAGGGAAAAAGTATGTAACAGCATAAGAAATTGAGAAAACCACATATGAATATTCACACAGGAAAAGAGGATCACTATTTTATTAGCCCCTATTTTATGCAAAAATCGACAACAAGAATAACATCAGTAACACTCCTTTTTCTTACCACAATACACTTATTCCAGATTCTGCATTCCTGTTTTACTTACTATAACTTTAGGGGTAAAAAGGAGAATAAGCTGCCTTTTATTTCTCTGTCTCCTGTAGGCTAGTGAGAGCAGGTCAACCTTCCTCAAAGCAGAACCCCAAGAAAAGCATGACTTTTTGCAGAAAGGCAATAGGTCAGGGAGAGTGTAGAGGCACTTTATGATGAAAATGCTTCAGTGCTCACAATCATGGAGTCTTCCCACAGAAGCACAATGTATCAAAATTTTGGTAAAATTTATGGAGATGAACAAAACCACAATGCCATTTGCTCTGCAATATAGGGTTTGGTGACAATTCAACTCAGTGATGGGCCATGGCATCCAGTACTTACAAAGAAAGAGGAAAGAAGACTAACTACTTTTTTTGAAAATAAGTAAAAGGGACAACAAAAGGTAAACATTACTAAAATTCCAGCAGTAATGGTGAGAGGTGAGTACACAGAGGGTAGCAAAGGAGAAGGCCTCAGGCCAGGAAGGGAAACTTGCTCTAATCACTTCTTGGCACTAAACAGTGTGCTTTTCAAACCCTGTAAAAATTAAACGAAAGGACAAAGCTACAACAGACAAACACAGTAAAGGAATACAAGGTAGCATCAAAGACAATCTAGGATGACAAAAAGAATCTGTGTCACTGGCTAGCTCCTTCCTAAGCCACAAAAACACATGCACATCCACCCCATGACTACAGCCAACCCCACCTACTTGCGCTTCACAGGGACAATCTTGAAACATCCTTAGAAATTGATGAAGTAATTGCAATAGCTGAGGAAATTGACTGAAGATCTTCACAGGTTGACATGCAGTCAGGAAATTCTGGCAGTATTTAAATTATACCATATAAATCTTAATCTATCTCCTTACCTAAACATTGTTTTTATTACCTCATCTCAAGGTAGCTCTTGTAGAAAGAGGTCAGAAACAAAACTAGCATTCAGACAGACATGGAAACCCCTACCTCATATGTGCAGCTTCAAGGCAACAGAATGGAATGAAGCAAATCAACACATAATTTCATTAAATTCTTGATATTGAAAAGAGGAACCTCTCCAAGGTTCTTATGAAAGAGTAAAGCAGACAAATAATTGCTTGGTAAATATTGCCAAGAGAGAAGAAATTAATTTCTGCCCACCTGAAGTCATCTATTGTTGAGGTGTTCAGAGATGGATCAGGAATGCCTATTCTCAGTGCAAACAAATTCTATATATGGAAGACATGCTTTTTTGGATCTGGCTGAGATGACTTAGTAACCTACATGTAATACGCAAAGTACACCAGTAATTTGAAAGATTAAATGTCAATGAAGATAAAGAAGGATTTAGATGCGCCCAAAAATTCTACCCCCTTTTCTTCTTATGTTTTACCACATAATGCCATATATTAATTCAAATATCAGTAGAAGCAGGTATATTTCAGTGCAAGTTTGACTGGGACATTTTTAAGCAGATTTTAAAAACACTACTCAAATAAACTCAACTAAAAAAATATCTGGCTAACATATTTTGTTATATGGCAACAGTAAATAACATGGTCCCTCAGAAAACTCTACAGGAACCTACTATAAACTCACACAATTTTCAATAAATCAGAATTCAAAATACTGAAAGGTATTTGTCAAGCCTTTACCATAATTTCATAAGTTGTTCCAGGGTTAAGACTGGTGAGAAGAACTTCCAAACTGTCTGGCTTTGTTGTGACCTGTGTATAAGCTGTTTGCATCCATGGGCAGACTTCTTTATATCTAACAATATAGGATAGAATTCTCCCATTTGGATAGAGTGGTGTGTTCCATGAGAGCAAAATCCCAGCAGAACCCACTCTTTCACCTGCAAGGAACACAGGTGGCCCAGGATCTAAAAATAAATTAAAAAACCAAATTATATATGTGTGCACACACACACATATGCACACACACAAGCACACACATGTAAACCAATTTTTAATTAAGATTCATGAGAGTGGAGACACATTCACAGATTCTACAGAGAAATTAAATCATCTGCCAGCATAGCCTCATAAAACTACTGAAAACTGATGTACTGCTGAATAAAAATCTTTTTTTCTTGCTACAGTCCTGTTAGAAATCATTAGGTCAATTTTGAAACACCAGAAGCATTATTCTGTAAGAATGTAAAAAATGTATTGGTCAAGAACTTTGTTTAAAACCAGAGTTTAATGCCAATTTAATATCTTACATATTCTAGCACTTAATTAAAGTGTGCTCTCTTAAAAAGCTCATCTGCTTTGGCTACATTTTATTGGAAATAGCTCTGAACATTTCTTTATGTACCACTATAGGTGTAAATCAGAGTCTGGATATTACTACATGACACAATAGAAAATTTTTCAAAAGCTTGTAAATTTTTAAGCTCTCATAGAGCACTTCCAATTCAGCGTATTTTTAAATAGTAAAAGAAGATGAAAAATTTTAATGGCTGTTGAAATCTGATTATAATTTTTTGGACATTACTGTGCACAGAAAAATATAAGACAGCATAGTTTAAAAAATGAACAAAATTTCATCAGTCATTTTAAACTCACTTGTCACATTTGTTGTCACAGTTCTACTTGCAGGTGAACTATAGACGGACGAAGAAACTGCAGAAACTGTAACATTGTATGTTGTTCCAGGAAGAGTATTGGAAAAATCAGCCTGAAATAGGACATCATTTTATTTAAGCCTTTTGTAAAGAATCACAAAAATGAATCCCTCTCTCCTCAAAAAAAAACCCCAAAACAAACAAACAAAAAATATCCCAACAAAAAAAAAAAAAGGCACAAAAAACCACAGGGAATTTTAAGCAATTCATAACTAAATTTCTACATCTGTTAGATACAGTATTTTGCTGTCAACTACCCTTCATAAGATGTGAGCAACATTCAATATAGAAGAACAATAAAATTAATAGTTAATTTTATCCCAGAGTCTCCTATCAATGTATCTATAGATGTTTTCCTGTATTATCATTATCAAAGTAAATATGAAGCATTATAAAACTCCTTTTTGAAAGAATGAACAAGAAAAACCCTGAAAAACAAGTTTTTGACCCTTAAACTAGCCCGTCCTTTTCAGTAAGCATAATTATTAACTTCTTTAGCAAGAAATTATATAAAATACCTGTGTCTTTGCAGTTCCAATGAAAAACAAAAGCAAAACATCCAGAACAACCATTATTTCTGTTAATATTATATTAATTCCAGAGAGCAGAATCAAAAAGTGCTCCTATATCTTTTTGATGGCTTAGCAGTGAAATGTTGCCTGCATTAATGATTTAAGCAGAGATCCTCCTGGCAAGTACACAATTAATGAGTCTGTACTACTCAATAGCTCTGCCCTTCCCTTGTTAAACTATTCATGAATCCTTGGATGACAGTCTGTGTCCTTCTAGTAGACTTTAAAACAACAGTAAGTTCACTACCTGTTGTTAGGCAGCAAACTGTGGGTGCTGAAATTTGCTCCCATCCCACCAATTTTTCATTAATACTTTCACATTCATATATGCATTAAACAGCTAAGGAGGAAAGCTTGAATTCCTCATCAGCACAGCACATAAGGGAAAGCCAGCCCTGCAAGTCCTGTAATAAAAGCACTTACTTGATACTCCCTAACTCCCAGATCTAGGATAACAACAGAAGCATGATCAGGAGCAAGAGCCACATGAAATCTGTCTACAAGTCCATACGGTAGTCTCCAATACAGTGAAAAATAATGTGATGAAACATTGAAGAATTTCAGACTTTCTGGTTTTGCAGGTTCTGAAAGAGAATTGTGGAATAAATGACATTCACCTAAATAACTCCATTTAAAGTATATTAGTAGTTACAACTGAATAGAAAAGCATCAAAGAAGAGTTTACTTGCTATGCAAGGGATTAGTGTGGATATGGCAACATGTGATCCTACGGTTGCTACACTACCCCTGGGATTTGGTCGATGGCCTCTCAACTGTGCTGGGTGCCCGTTCACAGAGAGCAAGCTCGAGTGTCTCTGCACAGTGTCCAGTTAACAACAAAATCTCTGCACAGTCCTGGGGTTTCTGTGGCCCTCAGCCTCAAACTTAGCACTAATGCTGACATAACTACTGCTACAGTCAAAACTCAAGATATAGCTAGTGTTTGTCCTGCTGTTTACCGCAGGGCTGGCAACTATTTTATACATTTCATGTATTTGGAATCCCAGTAATTCCATGAACTCTGCTCAGTTAAGATCCCAAAACGTGGATAGTTTACTCCTTTTATTAAAGCAAATATCCACCTGCTCATGTCACAACATCACATTTTCTTCTGCTTTTAAATGCATCTTTAAATTACTGTATTTAAATTTAGTGTATTATTCACTCTAAGCCTCATAATCAATAATGAATGAAAAATTAGGATTTTAAATTCTTCAGGAGATCATTAAAATGTCATCTACATATAAGACTGTATAATTTGTTCATCTCTACAATCTCTGGCCATGTTCATCTCTTTTCTTTCTACTTTAAAATTCACATATAACTATCAGCTTTCCCCATGCTCATCTCTCAGAGCAAGCCCAGTCAGTGGTGCTCTTCACCTCATTTCACATTCACCCTTGCACTCAGTCCTCTGTCTGCCTTTCTAATATGGTTCTTCTGAATTCAGACTAAATCTTCTAGTAGTTTATACATTGGTATCATACTGTGCAGCCTGAGTAATGCATAGGTTCAACTCTGAAAGATTTCCATTCCTTTCTTATTTGCTGTAAGTCTGCTAAGATTAAATATCTTTGATGAACCCTTTACACAGACTATACAAAGTTGCATAATTGTTTCAAACAGATAATTCCAGTTAATCAAATAATCAGAAATATTAATATATCCAAATACTAACTTCAGATTTTACATTCCATCTGTATTTGTCTTATATGTATGGGGTTTTTTACTCATGGTTTTAACACTAACAGAACAAAAAAAATCTTAATAATATATGTGGAGTTGTGCAAGTTTAACTGAGAGCATAAGTTCTTCCTTTTAATATATTCTAATAAGTTTAGAGTCCTACTGCTTTCATCAGTCCTATTATTTGCGTGGATCTCAACTTCTATTAAAGCTGGATTTTAGGCATATAGAGGTCTTTTTGTACAGACCCACAATAAATTTCTGAATGTAGTTTACAATCTAAAATCTTAATTCTACAAACATTTCCAAATGCATTTAACTTCACCCATTGTAAAAAACAACTACTGAAATAATCGTAAGGTAAAATCCAGCTTGTGTGTATCTCTCTGCAGAATAAGATCCAAAATACTAAAAATGGTCAAAAGAAATGCAGCACAGCTAAGGACATTATGTTTCTGGCAGGTATCCCTACGTGTAGCTTGAATAGGGTACAAGTAATATGCTTAGTAAGTAATGCCCATGACAACAGCAAACTATTACACCTAAGCTCTCTTGAAATTTTGAGTGAGATGCGCAATGATAAACATGCACTGTTAGGGACATGTACCATTCTCTGGCAGAGGAAGCAGGAAACCATACAGACCTGTTACAAATTCAAGGACAGCAGAAGATCCTTCAATATTTCCTTTTAGTCTTCTCAGTGTGAAATTGTAAATGCCCCCAGCTATCAGGTCTGTAACACTGAAGTCTGTCACTGTTCCTGGGATCCTGAACTTTTCTATAAAGGTGTTGTTGGATAAAGATGCTTTATAAGAAGTGAAGTTAGTCTTGGTTGGATTCCACATTACAGTTGCAGAGGAAGTAGTTACCATTTTTAATCTCAGACCACATATCCCAGCAGGTTCTATGGTAAAAGTAATGAGATTAATAAAGAAACAATTAATCCTTAGTACTTGAAACATAAGACAATAGCAGCTTTTAAAAATAAATAGTTTTTACACAAAGTAATCTTTTGAGACTTCAAAACATCATGAAATATGCATATAAATTTTAGAACTCTTTGTATGGATGTATAGAAAACAGTGCCACTATGTTGCACAGGGTAAATAAAACCTGGGGATGTACCTCCTGTGGTCATTATGAAATTTATGGAAGAAAATTTCAACTTTATGAGGTCACTAAGAACAGTAACATTGCTCACTGGTACAACAGGATGAGAATGGAACACTTTGTAAGCACAAGTAGAGCTTTTGGTCACTCTGAAGCTTTCTAATACATTATATGTCACATAATTTTAGAAAACTGTTCATCTGCTCACTTAGGGACAGAGTAAATAGCACAGACTCAGGGATTATCCCTTTTTTTCTTTTTTAAAAAGTATTTTTTATTATATGAAGATTCCTAAAATCACAGATAATTCACTAATAAGACTTCCATTTATCTGTGTAGCACAGCTGCTTGGGAAAGAAGAATGTTTCCATTCCCCCTAAAAAGTGAATCTCCCACATAATTAGTTTATCTTCCTTGAAGCTTTATGAAAAATATTAATTAACATATGCCTATTACTCAGCATGAAAAAAATCCTAAGGATTTACCAATAAAATTATACTTTTTATAATCTAGGCATACTCAGGACCCATCAACAATTCTCTTGAAAATATTTATCTGAGGAACAAAAGCATCTTCAGGAACATGATAATGAATATTCTGCTGCATGTTTCATTCACAAGAATCTGCAGGACTTGTTCAGGTTTTTTTCAGAGATTCACTTATCTTTGAATAACTAAGTGCAGAGCCTCCTTGACTATTAACTGAGTTAAGGAGTTGTAATCCAAACACGCCACAGAACATCCATCAAAGAGAGGAGGTCTGTGACATGCATATTTATAAATCTGGGAGTTGATTAATTTTCTGATTACAACTAGCTTCTTTTTATCTGCTTTTGAAGCCCAGAATTCAATATAAATATTTTCTAAATTTATGCCACAAATAAATTTCCCTCTTTTTTATGTTGTATCACAGGAGCATTGGAAAATACATGTTTGCTCAGAGACAGAAAATGAGTGTAAGATACTGGTTTCTGGACTTTGCCAAGCTCTCTGAAGCACAATTCCTCTTACTGTATTAAACATTCTGTGTCCTTGCACAGGAGCAGTACTGCAATCTGAGATCATGGACTTGCAAGAAATTAGGAGATACGGAAACAATTGTAAACAAAATTCAAGGTAATTATAAAAGTATAGGACGTTATTCTGGCAAGATATTACTTTGTTAAACTGGAAGCTTTTTTCAAAGGGCTATTTCCAGCCATGTCTAGACTCCTCAACCTCAATTCAGCAAGTCATGTACAAGGCTCCTATTTAAAAAACTATCACAAGAAGAAGCACAACTTTCCTCCCAAATTTGAAGTCTCATTTTGAGCTCTGTGATCTTTTTCAGTTACAAACGATGAAGTAAATGTCTCTGAATATTTACTGGTTTTCAAAAGGACAATTTATAAGGTATTTCCTTACTTGTGATGACTTTTTTCTCCACAGCCACAGAGGAATCCAAACCTTTAACTGTCCATAACTGAAAAATGTATTCTGTCCCAGGGGTCAGATTTTTCACTACAGCTCTGCTGTCATAAATAGTTCTGGTAAGCAGCTTTTCATTATTCATCAGAGAATATGAAAGCTATCAAAGCAAAAGAATTCTTTATATTAGACCATTTAAGTTCATAAAGGTAATGATCAGAGATTACAACTACCTGTTAGTATAAAAACATTTAGAATATTTTCCACATTTTAAATACAAAAAGAATCAAGGAGCTTTATATCATGTTCCACCAATATAAAACTCCAGCATTTCTTAATAGCCCGGAAGTGAAAGCAATGACTTTAATACTGAAAAGTAGATGAAGTAAGCAAAGTGAAGTTGAGGCTTACACGTTTTTGCTCTTAGAGGAAGGACAATAAAGTGTACCCTGACTCTTCAGTCTCACAGCTGTACTAATGAACTGTACAATTAATTACTCTGTATCTTTCTGGCAAAAATCCTCAAAACAAAACAAAAAAGCAAAACATAGCAAAATAAAGGAAAAAATCTGAACACCTAAAACCATTCAACCAAAAAACACACCCATGAGCTGTTAAGAGCTGAAATTCTGAAAAGACTCCCAAGGGATCAGTCGCTGAACTCCATTCACTGTTATCCCTTAAAAATCCATCTGTTAAGAGCCACTGCAGAAAACAGAAGGGTTGGAGATATAAAGTCATTGAAATCTAGGGACTTAACTCCTAGAGGCTAGGCTTAACTCCTAGATTCCTTCTGACCTTCCAGAGAATTCTAAGGTAACAAAAAATTCCTGCACCAGTTCTTTCTGTGGACCTAGCGGAGTGGTCCTGCAGACTCGTTCCCATCTGCACTAGTGAGAGGCAAGATGCAGACCATGCCTGCCCTGCAGAGGAGGGCACTGAACAAGCACCTCCAACAAAAACCACACATTTCTCAGGAATGGCTCTTAATGCTGAGACCAAGTAGGGCTGCAGCTGCCTGCACAGTGAGTCCTGTCCTGCCACTAGTTGTTTCTTCCAGCAGAAAGGGGATGTTGTACACATGGCAGTGACCTGAAAGCACTGGGTTAGCTGCTATTCATCTGGGGGGGGGAATGATCCATTTCCCCTCTGTCTATTTTACCAGTACAGTGTCTGTTTATACAAACAAAATCTTGGAAACTGTCATCACCTTATTAGAATTACAGCACTGCAAGATGCTAGAAGCAAAGCTATAGATTAAAGATTTACATCTAGTATAAAGAAGTTAGGAAAGTACCTTTTGTGCACTCTTCTCTTTACAAACTACAATATATTGCATAGAAAGTTGGTGAGCAGGGATGATTAATTTTAAATGATTAGTAAAATGATCCCTTTCATGCAGGTGCACCTTACTAAGCAACCAGTCTACGAAAGCCTTTCTCATTAAAGATTTAATGAAAAGCTCATTTATACAGACAAAGCACAGTCTAATGTAGCTGCTTGCTCTATGAGATGCTGAACAATAATACTGAGACATAAAGATCAATATTACAGATGACAATTATTTTCCACAGAGGGGTGAAAATAGCATTAACACATTCAGAAGTGTATCTGAACTGGCTCAAAAAATAAACAAGATCATTAAATTTAACTTTAAAATTTGTAAATATGCTTCAGACTGCACCAGCAAATAGTGTGAGAGGTTAACTGGCTGCTCTTATCCATTGAGATCAATGCAGCTTTACACTAATGAAGAGAGAAGAACTGTCCAGGAACTATCCTAAGGATACTAAGATTTCAGATTTACGTAGGGATATAATTGAAGCCACAGGAGAGCAGAAGGAAAATAATTGAGCATCGTAATATTGGGGTAAAAACGGTGTAGATCATTAAAACAAAGTACTTTGACTCAGGGTAGAGCTGTATACCAAAGAATATCCCATTCAAGTAAGTTAACTGTGAAAGATCATTGAAATCCATATTGATTCAAGTGATGTGTTAAAACAGCAATATACTAAGTTTTGTTGACCATAAGCTGGTCAGTGGCTACAAAATGTTAAGGGTAATACAAGACAGACTGCAAAAGCCAGGATACAAAAGAGAGATGGGCTGCATGTCTTAGTAAAATGTGATCCATGCTATTTAGGTGCTATTGTGGATCATATTTGACAGAGAACTGAAATAAGGAATGATGAGAAATTGAAAAAATTGAAGTTTATGAATCATGAAAGGTATGGCGAACAGGGAAGTACTAGGTTTTTTTTTTAAACAGGGCATAACAAATCTGTGAAGTATAAATAACAAAAAAAAATCAGGAATAGTCCCTGTTTTTTTTTTATGTATATCTAATTTCACTCAGGAAATCCCTAAACTACTTACTGCCCAAGGCCAGAAGGGTATGGCAGGTATTCAAGGTTTGCATTTTTGTCTAATAAATTACTATATTTAAAAAAAACCCTATAATTATTCTTTGACTTTCTAAAAAACACTTACATTCTTCTGTAAGGAAGGATTTTTTATTTTTTACTTCAGTTAAATTAATTTAACTTACAAACTTGAAAAGCTAAGAAAAAATATTACATTGCAGTTACATTCAACCCTTGACCTGCGATCTTTTTTACTTCACACTAGTTGAAAAATCAGTTTTTGAGATCTATTAAAAATATAATTTTTTAATAATTTTTAATTGTTATGTAATAGAAGGTACATATTTAGCTGACCTTTTTGAATAGCAATATTTCCTCCCAATACTTACATGGATTATCAAAATAAATATTTATTACTGGTTTTGCATCACAGACAGAATGATAATCTAATTGAGAAATTCAAGAAAAAAATTTCATTGTTTCTTCTCATTCTCATCTCACCTGAAACATATCAAATCCTCCTCTTGGTAGTTTCCAAGAAAAATAGACTGTATTTTCTTCTTGTCCAAACACTTGTAAATCTGATGGTGGATCAGGATCTGAGGATGTAAAATTTAGATTTAAAATAATTTACATTTATTTTAAAGAAGTTGACATCTACAGAATGTATAGTTTTATTAATTATTTTATAGTTCTTTATAGAAAGAGATTTTATTTTGTACTTAAAAAGAATTTCAAATAAATGAAAATCACCTCTAATATTAGAAATAGAATCAGAAATAAATTCAACCTTTGTCAATTTTTATGGACAATTTTTATCATGTTAACACTACTGCTGATTCAGTTAGTGGCAATGTCCCCCTTAATGCAGAGGAAATTATGCTTAAAAAGCTTTTATATGCTTAATCACTTTCAAAGATGTTTAGATTGAACAGAAAAACTTAGAAGAGTTCATTCAGTCATTTTACGATGCATGGATATAAGGAATAGCTTTTC